GAATATTTTGCCTGTATTTATATCTATATACCATGTGCTTATCTGGTGCCTTACCTGATGCCTGAGGAAGCCAGAAGAGGGCATTGGATCTCCTGGAACTGGGGTTATAGACAGTTATGTGGGCGCTAGAAATTGAACTTAAGCCCTCTGGAAGAACAGCCAGTGTTCTAAACCTCTGAGCCATCTCTGCTGTTCCATCTCTAAATTTAAAGCAAATGATCCTAATATTGTAGATTTCCTTTCTATTTGGGGTACTTTGAGGGCTTGAGTATTTTGTTACTCTGTTAGCTTTTGTAGATACTGATAGTTGCACCCATTGCAACAGGTAATTCTAACCATACAAAGCTCACCATATAAAAATAATGCCGGGCGGTGGTGGCGCACGCCTTTAATCCCAGCACTCGGGAGGCAAAGCCAGGTGGATCTCTGTGAGTTCGAGGCCAGCCTGGGCTACCAAGTGAGTTCCAGGAAAAGGCGCAAAGCTACACAGAGAAACCCTGTCTCGAAAAACCAAAAAAAAAAAAAATAAAAGTAACACACTGGTTGGTTGGTTGGTTTGGTTTTGGTTTGTTTTTTTGTTTGTTTGTTTTTGTTTTTTGTTTTTTGAGACAGGGTTTGCACCTTTCCTGGAACTCACTCTGTAGCCCAGGCTGGCCTCAAACTCACAGAGATCTGCCTGCTTGTGCCTCCTGAGTGCTGGGATTAAAGGCGCCGCCACCACCCAGCAACACACTGTTTTTAAAATGTCGTTGTGGGTGAGCTGTTGAGGTGGTTCAGTCTTGAAAGCTCTTGCTGTGCAAGCCTGAGGATCTACATTTGATTTCCCAAGCACCCACAGAAAAAGCCAAATGTGGTGGTTCACGCCAGTGTTGAGGAGGTAGAGATTGCTGACCGGCCTAGCAGAATTGGAGAGCTCTGATCCAAAACAATAAGGTGGAGGTCAAAGAAGACACCTGACCTCAACCTCTGCCTCTCCACCATTTGGGTGAGGGTTATAGTTTATTGATAAATTGTTTGCCTAATTGCAAAGCCCCAAGCCTGATCTTCAACACAACTAGAGAGAGAGAGAGAGAGAGAGAGAGAGAGAGAGAGAGAGAGAGAGAGAGAGAACTACGTAAGCATGTAATTGTAAGAGAGAAAGACTTGTCACCAAATACAGTAGGTTCTCCCTCTACTTTTCTAGAGGGTCTCCAGCCCCAGAAGCAGCTAGTAAGGAATTATAGCCATTTATTATGACAGTGACTTCTGTTTATGTTTATAAACAGTATGTGTAAACTGCTATTCTTTGATTAGAGGACTCTTGTAGACCCTCTCCCTACTTCTGCTCCGCCATTCTCCCAGTACAGTCATGGTATAGTTTTTGGCTATATTGCTATTTGATATTTGAATTATTAGAATTAATCATTTGTAGCCCAGTATAGTAGTGTATTGTGACTGTCTTCCTAATAGGCCTTTTATTTTTAGGGTTTTTTTTTTAAAGGTATTATTTGCTTTGTGTTTATGTATGCTTAATTTTATTTGTCATTGTAGAGACTCACAGAGGTTTCCTAGTGAGAACTTACTCAGGGTCTGAGAATCTGAGCTTGCTTTATGAGGCAGGGCTGTATAAGGGGATGATTTGACCACGGGTGTGGTTACCAGGTATTTGGAAGGGTCTACACTTGGTTGTGCGGTGTGCTTTGATCTAGCAAGGAGGAGGTCTTTTGCCCCGCCCCTTGGCATTGTTATAAAAAGCCCTTTTGAAGAGGCAGAAGGGACCATTGGTTTTTGATCCAGGTCCTCCCGAAGCTATCCTGTGTTTCTTTCTCCTCTTCACTATCTTTCTATCTAAAAGTTTCTTATCCCTCTCTCCTCATAGGAACTGTGCTTATAAATACATAAATCTTAAAAACCTAGATCTCCAAAATTTAAAAAAGACCAGTATGATAGTATACCTCTATAGTCCCAACACTTGGGAGGTAGAAGCAGGAGCACCAGAAAGAAGTTCAAGACCATACTAACTGCATAATGAGGCCAGCCTGGGCTCCGTAAGATTCTGCTTCAAAAAACAATACCAAAACAAATTTAAAAATAAAAAATTACAAGCAACCAAAAATTTAAAAAGGAATAATTTGAATTGTTTGTGGTGATTGTATTATATTTATTTTTCTGTTTTTGTACTTTCAGTCCTAGGGGTTGAACCCAGGACCTTGTATATGCCCAGGCTTTATCTAAGCTGTACCCAGCCCTCATGTTTGATTTCAAGTCTACCCACAGGAGGTCACTGAACAAGGAAGTGGAGAAAACCACACACAGTGGACCAGCTAAAGCATCCCTCTAAGTTATTTTGAACGCCCACAGTGGGATTAGAACAAGTTTCACTCTGCTTATTTATTATGTGTTAGATGTTTGTTTTGTAAAACAACAGATTTGCTCTTCTCGCTTTTACTCTCTTCTTTTAAATTTGTGAGACTGTTTAAGGCCTTGGGACTAAGCAGCTTCAGAATTGAAGTAGGTTCAGACTGAAGCTTACAGGGCCCTGTACAGATTTCTGGGTCCTGATGAGAGAGGAAAAAGGAGAAGTTATACAATCCAGGATGGTCTTTTACTAAAGGAGGGATGAGGCTGTTGGCAAGAGATGGGTCTCATGCCAGGTGCTCTCCCTCAAGACTAACCTCAGGCCTCTTTTGAAGTACATGCTTGATTTCCGTGTGTGTGTGTGTGTGTGTGTGTTGTGTGTGTGTGTGTGTGTGTGTGCGCGCGCGCGTGTGCGTGTGTGTGTGTGTGTGCTGTTGCACTTCCCTGGCTGGGATGATTACCAGTGTTGGCACTTCAGCAAAGTCCAAGCCACTCAAGCCAAGGCTAAGAGTGCTGACTGCTGCTGTGGACCTCCTTCATGGAGTTCAGAGCTCCACTTCTGCTCACTGGGCCTTTGGCTCTCTCTCCAGCCTTTGCTCCTCTGGTCCAGGGAGGCCTTTGAATCAGGGCAGAGTTCTGGTGACCTGCAGAATGTGGTAAGTGAGCCACTCCTCTAGGCCTCTCTAGGTTAACTGGGGCACTGCATTACACCTGGTGCTGGAATCTTCTGTAGCAGTGCCCATTGCAGTAAACATGCCACTGGCCCCAGCGTAGGCTGGAGGGGCACTGATACTTCTCTCCTTTGCTCACACATGGGGCTGCTCTGAGTTATGTTTTCAGGTCGTTCTAATGGTCTCCCTCACTTTTTGGCCAGTTTTTCCTTCTTTTATATTGGGTCAAGACTAAGATTATGCAGCCCTACATTCTGCCATGGTTTATTAAAAAGTCATTTCTGCCTGGTGGTGGTGGCACACACTTTTAATCCCAGCACTTGGGAGGCAGAGCCAGGTGGATCTCTGAGTTCGAGGCCAGCCTGGTCTACAGAGTGAGATCCAGGACAGGCACCAAAACTGCAAGGTATGTGGTGCATGCCTTTAGCCCCAGCATTTGGGAGTCAGGATCTCTAATTATAGAGGCCAGCCAGGTCTACATAGTTTAAGTTCTAGGCCAGTGTTCCATAGTAGACCCTGTCTTTAAAGTCAGGGAGGGCCTCCAGTTTCTAGTTCATTGAGCCTCTTCTAAACTCCCCTAACCAGAATTTTCTTTTTCCTTGAAACTCTCCTTGTTCATTTTTAATGGAAATTTGGTAGGTATTGCAAACAATTTCTCAAATCATTAATTTAACCACAATCCCAAAATAATACTTTAGACTCTAGTAATTTCGGGTTTTATATGTCAATAAGCAGCCCTGTGAACTGCAGACAGAAGCATTCTCTGCTTGTGACAAAGTACTGGCAAGGACTTTGAGGAAAGAGTGGCTGGTGAGATGGTTCAGTGGGTAAGGTGCTTGCCAAGGGATTGTGAGGACCAGACTTGAGGCCCCCAGCCATCAGGTAAAAAAACTGGTGAGTGTGGTAGCCTGATGTGGCATCCTCAGGACAAGACTCCTTGCTAGATTAGCTGGATCCATAAGCTCTGGGTTCAAGTGGGAGACACTGCTTCAGTATATAAGGTGGAGAACAATGGAGGAAGACACTAGGCATCGACCCCTGGCTTTCATATGCATGTGTACCTGTGCACACATGTGCTTCCATACACTTGGGAACATGGACACATATACACATATTTTGGCTCCTGGCTTCATAGGTTTAAGTCCTTGGTTGCTTGACTCTGTTGCTTTGGGCCTGTGGTGGCACAGAATATCATGGGAATACAGGCAAGACCTGCTCACTGCATGGTGTCAAAACAAAACAAAACCATAAACAAGAGAGATGAGAAAGGGCTGGGATCCCCAAATCTTACCCAAGGGCTGCCCAGTGACCTAGCTTCTCCATCTAGGCCAGATCTACTAAGAGTTACCTTCCTAAAAATGGCAGCCAGCCTTTAGCAATTGGGTCTGTGGGCAGTTTTCTTCAGCTTTGGACTCCAGCAGCCTAGGCATGCCTTCTTCTGATAGCTGGCAGCATCCCATTCTCTGTGAAGTTCTTCGAATCTAGTAGTTGCTCTGGGCACTACAGAGAGAACCCTGGCAACTAGCTTTCTTTCCCTTTGAAATTGAAGAACGTTTGCTACTGTGGTGTGTGAGGCCCAAGCTTTGGAGATTTAGGACAGACTTTTCTCGTAGGGCTGGCTGTGAAAACTTAGATATGATCATTTTAGTGCCTGAAGTTGAGCCGTCAGAAGATGGTTCTCAAAGCACCGCCTGTGTGGATTTCCATAATGCAGGATCGCACTCTGGACACACAGAGTCAGTCTAGAATCTGTGTGACCAGCCCTGGAGAAAGGCTGTGAGTGACTCTCCACAGCAGGCGGAGGGCCGCTGCCCCACACCATGGCCTCTTGTGTTGGATTGCTGCTCAGTCTTTTTGTTTGGTTTCGCTAAAGTTGCCCTCTGATGTAAATTTCCTCCTGCCTGTTCGGTTGGAAATCCCCAGTTACCCATATTTAAGTTTCACGGGTTACTTTTCCAGCACTTCTAATTCTGAATTTCATTTTTCCCATAGAGCTGAGAAAACAGAAGTCCTCAGTGAAGATCTGCTACAGGTAACAAAATACATTTTTTCCCTCCGGACTAGGGATCACATCCCAGGCCATGTGTGTGCATGCATGCTGGGCAAGCGCTCTGCCACAGAGCTACACCACCAGCTCTTTTCTTTTTTAAGACAGGGTCTCACTGCTTGGCCCAGACTGACCTTGAACTTACTCTGTGCCCTTCCAGGCCTTGAACTCGAGTCCTCCTGCCTTAGCCTCTGATGAGGTCTGTACCTCCAGGCCTGTCAATATAAAGTTGTCTTAAAACTGTCTCTTTAAAGACATGAAATGAAAACAAATGGTAGATCCAGGACTGGCAGTGTGACTCTGATAAAGCACTTCCTTAGCATGCACAAGCCCTGGGTTCCCAACCTAACAAAGGAGGGTAGTTCGAAGGGAGGACTTGGCGCCGGGGGTGACATAGACATGAGGAGACTTGGCACTTGTGAGGCCTTTCACTTCTTCTTTCTAGGTGGAAGAGAATAACTAATTAGCATGGGGTTGAGTAGAGACAGAGAAGCATGGGGTGGGATGGTGAGAGGAAGGGGATCTGAAACCCTCGGTCATGTTGTGGAGTTCACATGGGGCTAGTCCTGCTCCCAAGTACCAGGTGTTGGGATGGGCTGGGGGCCCGGTCAGTCCACTGGCATGGTGGCCTGGCCACAGGCCCTGGGCAGGCTGCCACCCTGATCCTCTACTGTGATGTTTCCCCTGATGGGACAGGTCCTGCCCACTGCTGGAGGCCCCCAGTGGCTCCAACCTAGAGCTTTGACGAGTCTCTCTTGTTCATGCTGTTTCCTCCCCATCTCTGGGCTGCTTGGGTCTTGGGAGCTTAGGCTTGTGTTGATATGGCCAGATCTAGCATAATCACCTGGAGGTCTGGGACACTTCGTGTTGTCAGCTCAGACCTTCCTTCCTTTTCCTGTCAGGAGACTTTGGCCAGGGCCACTGTATTCCGTCTGTCAAGAAGTTTTCCTGACTTTGGTCTTGGAGAAGACACTGGGGCCTTTCATGCTTCATCTCTGTTCACATCTCCCCAACTACAGAAGGCTCAGGGTGGTCGAGCCTCGGCTGCGTGGAGTCTGTGTTAAGCTGTTTGTCCTGTCTGCTTGCCTTGTGGTTCCTTAGCTTACACAGCAGTCTGTCTACTCAAGTGAGGCTCTAAAGACCAAGAGTCTGGCCCCAGAAGACTGTCTATCCATTCCCATGGAGAAAAGGAGGCTGGGATAAGTCAGAAAGGGCTTCCACCACAGCCTGTCAAACATCTCAAATTGTGTCAGCCACCTGCAGGTGGAATATAGTCATTTTGGTTTCCATGGACAGATTAATTTCTGGATGTCCTCATACAAAACAATGCAACATTTGAATTTCGCTTGTACACATCCTTTTGATGGCATCCTTATTTATTTATTCACTTACAGTAGGCAAGTACTCGGCCACTTAGCCTCACCCCAGCCTTGTCTGTACTTCAAATCCCTCTTGGTTACTCACAGAGCCTTAAACGATGTTAGTACTGTGTACATAGTTCTTATGCTGTGTTGTTTAGAGAACAGCAGCAAAAGTACACACATGATCTTGCAAAAAAAATTTTTTCTTTGAATGTTATTTAATCCATGGTGTTAAATCCATGGATGTGGAGGGCCACTTGAGCTGGGTTTTGGTGCTGGGAATTGAACCTAGAGCAGTCTAAGCCTGTGTTTTCCCTCTAGCCTGGTACATTTTTAAAAGCTCTTTTTTTTTTTTTTTTAAAGGCAAGGAGGTTTTAAGTTCAAGGCCAGCCTCTGCTATATAGTCAGACCTTGTCTCAGAAAACAAAACAAGAAAGATTTGTTAAAGAATTACATTCTTGGCCGGGCGGGGTGGTGGCGCACGCCTTTAATCCCAGCACTCGGGAGGCAGAGGCAGGCGGATCTCTGTGAGTTCGAGGCCAGCCTGGTCTCCAAAGCGAGTTCCAGGAAAGGCGCAAAGCTGCACAGAGAAACCCTGTCTCGAAAAACCAAAAAAAAAAAAGAATTACATTCTTGACAGTTCTTAGTTTTGGGCATGTATCTTAAATTCATTTTCTGACTTCCTGAAGTACTGTTTGTGTTGGCCAAGTTTTAGCTAGGTCTTCATGCTATCCTGCCCCAGTAATATACATGATCTCATTTAATCCTTGAAGTTCTGAGATTAGGCCCTTGTAGCTGAAGGAGGACCAAGGCCTGATGGCACTCAGGGGTAGCTGTCCAGTATTGTTTGTGGGCTGTGAAAGCTTTGCCCCCTCTGAAACACACTGGTTTGATAACATAGACTGTTCTTTGTTGTCTGTTGTTAAAGTGCTACAGATGTTTTCCATCTCTCTTTTCTGCTGTTTTTAATTTGAAGGAGAAAAACAAAAAAAAAACAAAACCCAATGGTTTCCAGTGCTAACTGTACTACCAGGTCTGCCTCCAGTTGGCCCTGTGGCCTAGGGTTGAGTTAGTCCCCCAGTGTCTAAGTTTCCACCATTGTCCAGTGAGGATGTTGACAGTCTCTGCCCCATGGGTTAATGAGAGGACTAAGGAGAAAATGAACCAAATGGTGGGGAGCCCTGACATTGGAGCCTGAGAGAGGGGGTTTGATTTTGCTCTGTTCGATACTCCAGGCCACCAGCAATGTATTGCCAGCCTGCCTCTAAGGTAACACTGCCTTCTTCCCCCATCTGTCTGCCAGGGCTGCCTTTTATTTTAGTAGTATGGTGATGCCCCAGGAGGCTGTGAATCTCAGCAGGCAGAGACTGGAATGTATTCCCTGTTGTTTTTCTAATACCAGGCATAGGAGAGTACTAGGTACTTGTCCACCATAGTCAAAAGTAGAAACCTTCTGATCCTGTGGCAGCCACTGGACCAGGCACGTGGGGGAGACCAGTGAACAAAACAGACAGGATTCCTGTCCTCATGGTGTTGACATGTTGGTAAAAAGGTCCAGGGGTCCAGTGATTCATTTGCTCTTGTGGCAGATGGAGACTGCTAGGTTTCTGATGCTCTGACCAGTGGCCACTGTAGATGGGGCGGTGCTATGGCATGTGCTCCTGAATGTCAACTTGTCTACAGGTCACAGTCCTGATGAATGGGGCTTGGGCCTGAAGAGAAGCTACTAGTGTCCAGGTACCTTTGAGAAACAGGCACAAAGCAGACTAGGGATCCAAATGTATTCTGCTTTGAATTTGCTGACTTTTCATTAGAATAGAAAGCGTCCCTGAGGCTTGCTCTCACTCTTCATGAGTCATCAGAACACACATTTTTGGCATTCCTTCTTGTAACAAGCAGCCCTCTTTGCCATAAACAGCTATATCCCAGCAGTCTTATTTTCAGAGGCTGTTCAAGATGTGTGGGTCCCTGGATCAGTATTTCTTACTGCTGGGTGTCCATTCTGCTGAGGGGGTCCCTTTAAAACAGAAACCAAAACCTATCTGAAACCTAATATGGAAGAAAGTTTTGAATATTGATCTTGTTTTGGTTGTGCTACATGGATTTTGGGTCTGCTGCCCTGTGGGAAAAACCCCATTGCCCATGCTTCTGGTGCTGCTATTGACTTTTCCCATGTGACTGTAAATAGGAGTTTGTTTGATTGGACCAGAACTTTGATGATGCTCTGGCCGGGAAACTGACTGCCACTATTTGGCCTCGTAGACATAGTCATGATTGTCTTTTTAGCCTGAGGAAATTCAGCTTTGGAGGGGTCTAGAACATTTAAGTATAAGGAAATCAGCTCTGTGCTTTCCTGGAGATATTGACATCTTGAGGAGTGGAGTGCTCCTTGCATCTAATAGGTAGAGGCCAGAGATGCTGCTGAACACACCACAGCGTACAGGACAGCCTCCTGCAACCCAGGACTATCAAGTGTCAGCAGCGAGAACCGTGGTGTGAGTGAATAGGAGCTGTCTGTCAACACCCAAGAGCTGTGAAGTTTCACTGCAGCTTGCTTTTCCTACCTCCATGCACACACCAAACGTGGAAGAAACTAAATTTCTCCTTAAGACCTTTAAATGACTCTTTGTCTCTGCTTTGACAGATCGAACGGCGCCTGGACACTGTGCGGTCAATGTGCCACCATTCACATAAGCGTTTGATAGCATGCTTCCAGGGTCAGCATGGCACCGATGCCGAGAGGAGACATGTGAGTATTAGATGCATTGGGAGCCACATTCAAATGACAGTTCAGTGACACACCAGGAAGCCTGCGTTTGTGGCTTTGTTAATCACCAGACATCACAGAAGGAAGAGCTTGGCTGCAAATATCTGTGTCACCCTTCTTTTGTTTCCCACGGCTACTTACAGGGCGCAAGGTTTTCCCTGGCTTGCACAACAGTTAGGATTCTGCCATTATGTAAATTGAGTGGACATTTGCATACACTTGTGGGTCCAGGAATGCTTGCTTTGGTCTGCCTCCCAGAGACAGACTGAGTCATTGCTTCTGTCCCCAGTGCTCCTCTTCTAGCCTGGCTTCTGCACCACAGACCTTCCATCCTTGTCTCCGCCCTCCTGTAGCTGCCTTGCTAGTCAGCCCTGTGACTCTCATTGTGGATGTCTTTAAATTCCTCGTCCCTACCTGCTCTGTAAGGTGAGACCTAGTTATCATGAATACCTGAACTGAACTGTGTGGGCTGTCATCCTGGTTCCCTTCTGAACCCTATTTCCTGCCTCCAGTTTTCATCCTTTTCAGTCAGTCTTCAGTCTGGTTATCAGAGTCAGTTGCCAAGGTGGGAAGATGCTGAATATTCTGTGGTGCTGGTAGCATACCTGGACACATGGAGGTGCCCAGAAAACTAGTGGGACCTCTTAAGGGGGTCTGCTGGTTACCATTGCCTAGAATACAATCCAGACTCTTGGCATGACTTAAACTCTTTGTATTCTAATCCCATTTTGCCTCACAGCTTCTTCGTTCCTTGCTTCTTCTCATTCCCACTGCAGTCCAGCCACATCATACCCAGCAGTCCTGACATAAATCTATGTCCTTTACACAGCCATGTCCCATCTTTTTCTGTTGTCTGCCCAATTGTCACTCCTATTCATTAAAAACAAACTGAATTTTTTTTTTTTATCAAATACCTACTGTGTTCGAGTGCTAGAGATACAAAATGGATAAATGCTCATGGCCCATTTGGGTGATGGATGCCACCATTGAGTAACTGTGAAACAACATAGTGAATACAATGTGCATAGGATGCTCTGGGAGGGCTGAGAGGAGAGAGCAGAGGAAGTAGTCAGGTGGGCTTCTTGGAGGGCTCGGTGCCTGGCTGTGAAGAGGAGACTTACTGGTGGTAGTGGGAACATGCCAGCAGTGGGAGCAAGGGGCTGCAACCTCATTTCTGAAATGTCTCGTACCTTAGTGTTTTTTCACAACCTCAAGCAAATGTGCCAAAGAAAAGGCTCTTTGAAGAGTCAAGAAGAGTTGCCATGACAGTGGTGAGAAAAAGTAGGAATCCTCAGGAGAGCATAAACCGTGGAGAGGGGCTCCAGGAAACAGATACAACTCCCGAGGGCACAGAAAGGGCTCCACCCCATGGGAGAAGACAAAGGATGGGAAGAGAGATGGAGAGCAGCTTCCTCAGCTCTGTGAGCCTCCGTGGACAGCAGAACTCACGAAGGGAGCCTGTAGGAGCGCCCAGCTGGCCTTCCTGTACGGTTGGCACATATGTCACCAGTGGAGAGCTTTTCAGTCCCCTCTGGTGACAGAAGAGCTGTTCACCCCTGGGAAGGAAGCCTGGTTCTTCTCTGGAGTTTCAGTGTGGATAGATGCTTTCATTAATAAGATGATTCGTCCTGCAGAATTTCCTTGTTTACGTGTTCCAGGAAACAGAATCTCGGCTATAGAGTTAGGGACCGTGAATGACATTTACAAAATAGGTTCTTTGTAATTTTTCCCTCCACAGACCCATGGAGTTCTAGAATTGCACGAAGTCCGCCTCTTGATTACTACATTTATCTTATGTTTCATCTCTTTATGAAAAGAGCTCACCTAAACCATGAATTATCCTTAGTTATGCTCATATCTTTCTGCTCTGAGCGCATGGCAGCCAATATTGGTCTCTTTGTGGTTGCTGGGAATCAAACCCAGGTCCTCTGGAAGAGCAACAAGTGCTTTTAACTGCTGAGACATCTCCCCAGCCAGCGCATGGATAAACTTCAATTCAGAATGCACAAAAGAACATGAGTGAAGTTTGTCCCAGTCTTGTCCCCTCCCTCCCCTATCAGAACCACCACTATTGGTACTTTGTTGGATAGCTGTCTAGAAGTACTCCCAAATGGCACAAGCCAGTGCATGCAGGAAAGCAGGCAATAGGCACTCTCTGACGTGTGTCCTTTTCCCTGGGAAGACAGATGAGATGGCTTTGCAGAGTGAAAGCATCATTTTGCAAGCACTATGTTGTTAGAAGCAGCCTCTCTGTTACTTTCCAGACCTCTTCTACATGTACTCTGAGATAACACCAGCCAGACTGGGGCTCCTGTTGCTGATCACTACTGAGGTCTGCACTTGTGCCCTCTGTGAGGCTCCAGTCTAGCCACTTCTCCTCTGGGTCTGAGTTCCCTGGTCAGATGATCCTGCTGCTGATAAAGAACAGATCTCTGATAGAAAAGTGATTGGCTTTGTGCTTAGAAACACCACAAAGGTTATTCAGATATTTTTAGATATTTAAAGCTGAGTTTTAGGACTGTCGCCAAATCAAGACCCAGATTAAGAATGTTCTAGCCTAAGTTTTGCAGTTGAGCGTTTTATTACATTTACTTGTGATGATATTTAGAGAACAAGGTCTGTTCATAGAACACAATCTGAAACTCTGGAATCTGGGGGCTTAGGGCTCTACCTCAGCTGGTAGAGTGCTAGCCTGGCATGCATGAAGCCCTGGTTTCAGTCCCCAGCACCACGAAGACTGGGTGTGGCAGTACTTGCCTGTAATTATAGCATCCCGGGATCAGAAGTTGAAAGTCATCCTTGGCTACTTAGTGAGTTCAAGGCCAGCTCAGGATCTAGGAAACCCTGTCTCAAAAACAAACAAGGACTGGCAAGATGGCTCAGCTGGTAAAGGTGCTTGCTATCCTTGATGGTCTGAGTTCAGTTCCAGGAGCCCACAAGGTAGAAGGAGAGAACAGACTCTGTCTTCTGACTTCCACATTGGCATTGGTGCAGGTTTTTTTGTTTTGTTTTGTTTTTTGTTTTTTTTGTTTGTTTGTTTTTTTGGTTTTTTCGAGACAAGGTTTCTCTGTGTAGTTTTGGTGCCTGTCCTGGATTTCACTCTGTAGACAGGCTGGCCTCGAACTCACAGAAATCCACCTGGTTCTGCCTCCCGAGTACTGGGATTAAAGGCATGTGCCACCGCCACCTGGCAAATTATTTTTTAATAATTTTAACTTTTAATTAAAAAATTAAAATCTGAATCCAAAATGCCTTGAAATCAAAACCTTTATGAGTACAGACTTTGGACCATTTCACATTTTAGATTTTCAAGTTGGGGATGTTTAGCCAGTAAAGGCAGTGCACATATTCCAAAGTCTAAACATTTGAAACACATGTTGGTCTCAAGATTTCAGATAAGTGATACTCAGTCTCTATGCACCTGATTAATTAGTAACAGTAATAGCAGCAGCAACAGTAGCAGCTACTGAGCCCCTGGTGAGCACACCCCATGTGGGGGCACTCCCCATGTGCTGAACACACCCTGTGTGCCAGGCACCTAAGTTGGTTTAGTTCAAGGACAGCCACAGGCTGAGCCACAGCGACAGCTCTCTTCCTTGTGCAGGTTGCCTGGAGGGCAGGGTACCAAGAGTGACCCGAAGCAGCCCAGTGAGAACAAAACATCAGATAAAAACCCACCTTGTCTTTGCCTTACAGAAAAAGCTTCCTCTGACAGCGCTCGCCCAAAACATGCAGGAGGCTTCAGCCCAGCTCGAAGAGTCTCTCTTGGGGTAAGAGCGGTACTTCTGGGGACCCTTGGCCTGGAGGTGGGGAGGTGGGCAGCTGTTGTGTCTGGCAGCCACCCTAGGAATTGGGAACACAGCAGTGGGGGCTCTTTCGTCGGGGGAGCAGCTGGGGTGCTGGGGGTGTCTTTCTCTACTAGGAGCTTGGGGGGAATTGGGTGAAAAAGGGGCCACACCCAAGGGTCAGGGTTGTTCCCCGGTGCTTGCACATGAACTTGTGCACTTGCCCATGCCAGTGTAGGCTCAGAGTTAGTACGTACAAGTCCTTCTCAGTCCTTCAGACTCACTTACTTTCACAGTGGCCGTCAAAACACAGAAGGTGGTGGTGGTCTCAAAGGAATGAATTTCCTGAATTATTTGGTTGTTTTAACTTCAAAATGTTATACCTAGTTTATTTTCTTTCTAAATATACTTTTATTTTTAATTGACATATAGCTAATTGTATACTTATAGGTTATGGTGGTATGATGTATTATATCTGGATAATTGGAATGCTTATCACCACATGCACACACACGCGTGCGCGCGAGCGCACACTCACATGTCTGTGTGTGCATGTGTGTTTAGAACATTTTAAGTTTTTTCTCCAAGTCTTTTGAAGTTAAAGCCTGTGCAGGTTTCCATCTTTGCTTCCTGTACTACTGTCATTTCCTCACAGCAGTGATGCTGTGTACAAGCCCAGTGCTGAATTCTCCCCAAGTCCTAGTTCACGTAGCCTTTACAGCCTAAGAGGCAGGCAGTCCTAATGCTTCCATTTTACAGATGAGGGACGCTGACAAGAGAAGGGTAGGGAGACTGCCTAAGACCACACAGCTGCAGAGTACAAAGCCTGTATTCAAACTGGTCAGCGTGGCTGTGCTACCACAGCCACCTCTCACCACACCACACCCTTTCTGTAGCCGAGTGAGCTCCCTAGAGAGCTGGAGGGGCATGGTGCAGAAGAAAGGCAAGAGGAAGGACTGAGCCACTGGAGTGACATCACCTGTGTATTTAAGGAAAACAAAAGAAGTAGTGATGTTTGATTGACACTGTGTTCTTGGCCCGTGGGGTCAGCCATTTCATGTGCAGTTGAGAACCTTGTCTTTGGGTGATGTTGGGGAGGAAGCCACATCTGTACTGGGTAAGCTGAAGACCAAGTTTTGGTGTTAACTCTAGAGGAAGCATTGCTAAGGCTAGACTCAATAACAGACCCAGAACCACACAGAGTGAGTAACCTTTTGCACATGTTAAAAATTTTCAGGGTATTTTGAGAACACTCATTTCATCTGACTTGAGAGCCTACTTCTTTGAGTTGTAACCTCACATACTTTCTCTCCTTCCACATTAAGTCCATGCCAGAGCTAGTCCTTCCCTCCCTCCAGCCTCCTGTTCTCAGGTTGGAAGCTAGGGCCTCCTACACTCTAGACAAGAACTGCATCAGTGAGCCACCTTCAGTCTCAGTTCATTTCCTTTGAAAGCACAAAGCTGGCCTTGCATTTTAGGTGACAGTGTACATGCATACATTGTAAAGGCTTTATTGGGAAGTGCTCTGCTGTGTTCCTGTCACAGAGCAGAATACAGCCACATGACAGACCTGCTTTAATGAGTGCATGGTTGTTGTTTGGTATCTTGTCCCTAAAGGAAGATGCTGGAGACCTGTGGGGATGCTGAGAATCAGCTGGCTCTTGAGCTCTCCCAGCACGAAGTCTTTGTGGAGAAGGAGATAGTAGACCCTCTCTACAGCATAGCAGAGGTGGGTTCTTGTGCTGCCTAGCAGGGCGGGGATCAGATAGTAAACGGTTAGTGTGGGCCTAAAATTTTAAGTTATCAGCAGCTTTAATGTAGAACTTTGGGAAAGTAGGGGAAGTTTGTATCTAAAAGAAAACCTTTGCTCTTGGAAGAATTCAGCTAAAATCCCCAGGTGTATCTATGTGGTCTGTTCTTCCTTCCAGGTGGAGATTCCCAACATCCAAAAGCAAAGGAAACAGCTTGCTAGATTGGTGTTGGACTGGGATTCAGTCAGAGCGAGGTAAGGTGATGCTGTGAGGGTAGTGATGAGTGCAGCAGAATTCTGTGATCAGCATTCAAGCCTGTCAGACAGATACCTCAGTCACTGACCAGGTCACAGCCTCTTCCAAGTGTGGCAATGGGGATGTTGTTAGAACATCCTGAACTAAGTGTATTAACAGGAAAAGGGCTGGGGCCTGACACTTCCAAGATCACAGCTCTCAAGACATTGGAGTTGAGGGATAATAGACCTGTGATCCTGACAGCTCATGAGAGCCTCCCCAGGTCTTAAACCTCCATGATCAAGAAGGGAAGGACTCACTGAATGCTGTGAGTTATGGTGGCTCTGGGCGGGGGTGAAGGGGTCTCTGGCAGCAGTGCCTCGGAGAGCAGCTCCTGCTCTGGAGTCTGTGGCTATGCTGTGCTGCATTTCTGTTTCTCAGACATCTCTGAATCAGGACCCACTGATGGGGTGTGGGTGAAGGAGAAAAAAAGTCATAAACCAGTGGTTCACTGTGTCTGATTTAATAAATGATAAGAGGTGTAGTTGTTGAGTGTCACTTCCCACGTGGCAGGTGTCAATCCATCTGTTACTAATTTGATTCCCTACCGGTCCTCCATTTCCTCCTCTTTTTTTTTCAGCAAATATTACTTGCTTCCCACTTAGTGCAGAGGCCCCTTGTAACTAGCTGGAAAGACCAGGATGGGTCTGATACAAACATCCTCTGTTTCTGTGAAGGGGACTATTTCACAGTGAAGCTGGGACCAACACAAGCTGTCTGTATGATTTACTCCATGCCCTAGAGATAGCAGGTGACAGGACCAGTGCTCGGACGGAGAGTTCTGCTGTGTCCTTGTCGTGTATACATGTGTGTCTAGATCCCTGCATGATAGTGAGACCAGGAGTATGCTCCCTACCTACACTTTTGCTCAGAAGAAAGAATGTCTGCTACTTAATTAAGTGAGGTTGTGTGTGCCCTTCACTGTGTTTGACTAAGCAAAATAGAGAGGTTTATCTGTCAGGGCATCAACATCTCAAGCACATGTGCCCTAGGATATCCAACCCTGATTCTTATGTCCATAGTCATACTCACTTAGTTAACTCAAGTGGGTATTGGAGAAACTGCAGTGGCTGAGTATTCCTTACTTGCCTTTACTTGTTCCTGTGGCTCTGCGGAAAATGGGATCTTAATGCAGTGAGCCTCTGTGATACATGTTCTGCAAATGATTGTGCCTATTCCTCCTTTCTGTTTTGTTTTTGATGTGCTGGGATTAAAGGTGTGCCACCATGCCCGGCTGCTTGTCCCTTCTTTTACTCCCTGTATTAGTTCTGCAAGGTAGACAGTGTCCATCAGCTTCACCTAACAGACCAGACAACCCAGGCAGAGGTTAGACTTCAGGTCACACAGCTCCATAAGCTGGAACTGCTCCTCAAACAACACTCCAAATTCTGTGCTTTTCTCAAAGCCACACTGGCCATTTTACTTCTGTAGACATGGAAAGCTTTCTGTGCATCATCCTGGGAATGAGGAGTAGGTACAGTATGGCATTGGCAGGGCAGGGCAGCAGACCAAGAAGCTTAATAAGATGTTAGTGTGTGTTTTCTTGCTGTATGTGCATACTATCGATATTTACATTTTCAATGAGACCGACCATCTATGTTCAGAGGGTCAAAGCATATTTGAAAACCAGAGATAATGGTATAGATCCATTATTCACATCTGCCCCTCTGCTATTACTATGTGTGTCTGAAATGCTTTCATAGCCGCAGGGTTGAAGTTCTAGCTTTTACTGCTAAAAGCAGTTACAGGTCTCAGATGATAGAAAGGTGCATCATAAGGCATCCTCAAGAGCAGGGACTTGTTCTCAGAATATAGGGAACATTCCAGATGTGCTTCATGGCAAGGACTCAATGATTGGGCCCTGAACAGAAGAGGTTCCACAGTTTGTGTTCCAGCAGTGGCGCTGTGTGACACAGAATGTGCTTGGTTAGGCCACTCCTCAGCACTGCAGGAGTCCTGCCTTGTGGAGAAGCTAGCACCTGTTTTTGCCTGCTGCTGTTCTAGAGGCTAAACATAAGAAGGAGGAAGGCTGCCTGAGTTAGCTTCCATCACAGGGGAGTCAGGCTGGGGGAAGGGTCTTCGCTTCAAGGCCTGACTCCTGTTTGAATTTGCACAGCTCCTTCTCAGTCTGACTCTTCCTGTTTTGCAGGTGGAACCAAGCACACAAGTCTTCAGGAACCAACTTTCAGGGGCTTCCATCCAAAATAGACACCCTAAAGGAAGAGATGGATGAAGCTGGGAATAAAGTCGAACAGTGCAAGGTATGGGAATTCCCTTGTTGGGGTAGACCTTTAGCTGCTTGTTGTTTTCTATAAATAATGGGCAAAATGTCATGTTATAAATTCTTCAGTGTTTTACCTAGTTCATATCAGAATACTATGAATGGTACTGAAAAGTAGTTTTTATTTTGTTATTATTTTTATTTGTTCTTCTCTCATACATTATATCCTGACCACAGTTTAGTTTTTTTTGTTGTTTTTTTTGTTTTTTTAGTTTTTATTTTCTAATACTATATATTATTTTATAATCAAAAAATACATTTTTAAAAATCCAGGTGGGGTCTGGAGAGATGCGCAGTGGTTAAAGAGTACATATTTCTCTTGCTGAGGACCTGAATTCTGTTCCTAGCACCCACATTGGGTGACTCACAACCACCTGCCACTCCCTCTCTAGGGAGTAGCACCCTCTTCTGGCCTCTGCAGACACCTGCACTCAAATGCTCATGCCCATACACAGCACATTCACATAGCTAACATAAGTATAAATAAATAAAATAAATCTTAGCAATGCAAGTGGGATGTTTAAGGAAAACTTGACTGGGCTTATTTAAAATAACCAGTTGAGAGAGAGGGAAAGAAACTAAATATAATATAAAGTTATAATTAAAATGACAGGTGGTGGTATAAAGACAGAGCAGTATAATAGTATAGGTTTTCTGATATAAACACGACATCTATTATATAGTAAATTGGTCATATTTACTTTAGTAAGGGAAGGATTTTGTTTGTTTGTTTGTTTTTAGGCAGGGTCTCACTATGTAGCCCTGACTGTTCTAGAAATCACTATGTAGGTCATACTGGCTTCAACTCTTATTCCCAAATGCTAGGATTAAAGGCATGGGTCACTATTCCAGGGAGGAAGAATTTTTTTTTAATGTTTCTATAACAATTGGTTTGTAATTTGGGAGAATAATAATTTTCTCTCACAAAAAAGTAATTCCAAAAATACTTTCAGAAGTTCCATACTGATTAGATTATTAAGTGATATTTTTCTCCTCATGTCTAACCATGTAAATAAACCCTCATTCAAATGCTTTTAGAGGCACTAAAGAAATCAGTCATTGGTGACTCTTGGGATCTTCATTTTCTTTTTTCCTGCTGTTACTTGTCTTTTTCCACAAATGATCATTTCCTCGTAGATTGTGTTGGAACTCTTACATTTTGGTTTGTTCAGGCCATGTTATAATCCCTCCCTTAAGATAGCAATTATTGCTGGATGGTAGTGGTCATGTCTTTAATCCCAGCACTTGGGAGACAGAGACAGGTCGTTCTCTGCGAGTTCAAGGCCAGCCTGGTCTACAGAGCGAGTTCCAGGACAGCCCGGGCTACACAGAGAAACCCTGTCTTTAAAAAAAAAAGCAGTTATTGATCTCTAAACTGTTAAATACTGACTATAGTAGGTAAAAATGAAAATGTACCCCACAGAGTTGCACCGTAGTTAAAGGATCATATTTAGCTTAGTAGGTAGAGTGCTGACCTGGCATGCGCAGAGCTCTGAGTTCTGTCCCAGAACCACTCAAAGTGGAGTAGTAATCCTAACACTTGAGAGGTAGAAGCAAGAGGATCAGAAGTTCAAGGTCATCTTGGCTACAAGCTTGAGAGCAGCGTAGGCTACACGAGACTAACTCAGAGAGAAAGAAACAAAAAAAGAATGTGAAAAAAAGTCATATTCAAGTGACACTGCTAAGAGTGTGATATGTTCAGAGGGACATGGATCCACCAGCTTACCAGTAGAGAAAGGCATTGTCTCTGGGGTCTGGGAACTGGGGTGAGTGTCTCATAGGCATTGATCTTTCCTAGACTCAGCCCAGACCACAGACACTGCTCAGTTCTCTCCATGTGCTGATGAGTGAACTTACTGTAATTCTCCCCTTTGTTGGAATATATATAATTCTTTAGAAATCTGTTCTTAGGCAAACTGGACATGACACAAGCCTTTTAATTGCAGCACTCTGGAAACAGAGGCAGAGGCAGGTGCATCTCTGAGTTTGAGGCCAGCCTGACCTACATAGTGAGTTCCAAGACAGCTAAGCCATGTAGTGAGACCCCGTTTCAAAAAAGAAAAGATAGACTGTTGTTATGCCTGATGGGTGTGCAGTTCTTCCTTAACTCACCAGGTTCCATGCTTAACAGTTTTCTGACCCTTGAGCCAAATGACTGCTATATTCCAGCATGGTGTCCCCAGCTTTAGTTTGTGTTTAGCATTTGACTGTTTATTTTTCTTTCCTCCTCTTTCTGGTTAGGAGCAAGATAAGGTCTCAGGACATCTACTTTCTTGCTTTGTAATTTATTCTAAAGGGATATTTGTTGCTCCTAATGTGCATTCCTGAATAAGAGAGCCCTCATATTACTTTGTGTACCTTGATGGGAAAAATAGAAGATAGTGCATTAAAAAGTTCACTTAAGACCGGGCGGTGGTGGCGCACGCCTTTAATCCCAGCAGCACTCGGGAGGCAGAGCCAGGCGGATGGATCTCTGAGTTCGAGGCCAACCTGGTCTACAGAGCAAGATCCAGGACAGGCACCAAAGCTACACAGAGAAACCTTGTCTCAAAAAAACAAACAAAACAAAACAAAACAAAAAAGCTCACTCAACCTATATGTATAGTTTTCTAATATCTGTGTTTCCAATATATATGTAAAATGTTTATAGACACATGTTTAGAAACATTAGAAATATATATTCAAATGCCAAATCTGTCCTTTAAATTTCTGTCCTGTAATCCCAGCTACTTGAGAGGCTAAGACAAAATGATTATAAGTTCAGGGCCAATCTGGGCTATAGAAAGTACTCAGGGCCAGCTAGGACTTCTGTGACTTTCTGTCTAAAAATAAAAAGTAGAAATCAGGTTTAGTGATAGAGAGCTTACCTAGAATGTACAAGGTCTGAGCCTCAATCCAGTGCTGCAAGTTAATAAAAATAGCAGCAGTTTTTACATAAGTGATTAATTTACATTACTTCACATATTAAAAAGGGTCACTACAGAGTGAAGTTCTTCCATTTCTCTTTCTCTTTGCCCAGCATTTACCGCCGCTGACACAGAACTACTGTTTCTAGTATCTTGGTTTTTTCATACATATTTTTATATTTATATGATAATAGAAGTATGACCTTTTCCCCCTTTCTGTTACCCAGACCCCAAATGATAATAAATGCCAAATTATGCTCAATACTTTGGCTCTCTAAAAGGTGTACCAGCAAATATCTTGGTAACTTATTTTCTTTTCTTATTTGAGTGATAAAATCCTCTGACAAAAGCAACTTAGGGGAGAAAGAACTTGTTCTGGCTCACACTTGAAGGTACCACTGATCCCATCACAGCCACAGTTAGGAAGCAGAATGCATGCTGCTGCCTAGCTAACCGTTTTATACAGTCTAGGACCCAAACCTCAAACATGGTGCCACCCACTTTTAGGGTAGGCCTTCCCACCCCAGCCTGATTAACATAATTCTTCGCAGGCATTCCTTCAGGGGTGGTGGGGTGGTGGTGCTTGGATGCCTGTCTCTTACAGGTTTTTGGATCCTGTCACATTGACAGTTAGCACTAACCCTAACACTTGGATTTCCTTCCATGCCAATCCGGAACATTTTTCCGATTCTTTTTTCTTTCCTTTTTTGTGAGTGTGTGGTGAGTTTGTTGAGTGTGGGTGAGGTTGGTGGGGCGCGTCAGAGGACAGTCTTAGTTGTTAGTTCTTGCCTTCCATTGTGTCTGAGGCAGGCTCTGTTTACAACTGTGTAACCCAAGCTAGTTGGCCCACAAGCTCCGGAGAGTCTCCTGTCTGGGCCACCATCTCACTGTAGGAGTGCCGGAATTACAGATGCATGCCTAGTGCCCAACTGCACTCAGGTTCTCAGACTCGGGAGGCAAGTGCTTTATCAGCTAGCCATCTCACCACCTGGAAGTTCTTTCTGTGTGCCGTGCACAGTTGTAACTCGGTCAGTAGACGTCTCACCTGTGGCTGTTTTCATCCCCTTTGTTTGATCTAAGAAGTCCCAGAGGTTGTGGTCAGGTGCCAGTTTCTTTACTGACGTTAGTGACACATCTTCTCCCCAGGATCAACTCGCAGCAGATATGTACAACTTCATGGCCAAAGAAGGGGAGTACGGCAAATTCTTTGTGACGGTAAGTCCCTTCCCTTGACTGGATGTTAACATGTTATAAAAGTTGAATCATTTAAGCTTTATGGAAAGAGTTCATTTTCAGTTTTGCTCAACCATTGTGTCTGTGTCCATCCAATGCTAACGTTACTTTTGTTTTTGAATGTGGGTCTGTTCTCAGTTATTAGAAGCCCAAGCAGATTACCATAGAAAAGCATTAGCAGTCTTAGAAAAGGCCCTTCCCGAAATGCGCGCCCATCAAGGTAATGTAACCTGCGTGTCTGCTGATACCCCCACTTGCTCTGCCCCCGCCTCTGTTCTTCTTCACCCTGCCTCTGCATGCCTCTCCTTGAGATGAAGCCTCTCTGCCTAGCATTTCCCAGCATAATTTCATTCTTGCTGCATTCTCTAATTTCTTCCAAACCCAAATTAACACACTAACGGAGCGTTGCACTTCCAACACCTTCCATTGAAGACAAACAGCCTCTCTGCTTCTTGTACAGGTTTGAAAACCTCTGCCATCTGATTACCCTTTCCAGTCCTATGTTTGTTCCGTAGGGAGCATCCATCCGTTTTAGAACAGGTATTCCAGACTTACCGAGGAAGACTTTGACAGGCCAGTCACTGTGATCAGATCACAAGGCCATGGCTGTTGGAAAGGTTCTTTCTTCCACTTCTCTCTCTCTTACCAGCTCTGATACTTTGTCTGCTCTGCTGAAGCACGGAGCCCTTTTGTCTGCCGGTGTGTTGAACGCTCCCTGGTGTGGAGTTCTGAGTTGGATGTGTTGGCTCTGGATGTGCCAGATCTTGCGGTTACTTCTCGCTGATGTACCATTAGAGTCAGCAGCTACAGGCGGAAGTTGTCGAGGCAGGAAGTGTTCTGTCATCTTTGAGTTGTACAGCATTTGTCCCTTGGTGTCCATGAGGGGATTGGCTCTCCAGAACAAAAGTCCCATTTGCAAACACCCTCCACACACACACCCCATGTTTTTTTAATCTCTAGATAACTTACAGCGTCTGTTATAATAGTGCAGTGCTACATAAAAACAGTTGTTATCCTGTGTTGTTGAAAAATAACAACAAGAAAATGAATACTTAGTACAGATCAGCCTTTTCCAGTGTCTTTTTCTTTCTTTCTTTTCTCTCTTTTTCCCTTGTAGTGCTGGGATGGAACAAAGGTCATGTATATTTGAGGCAAGTGCTCTGTGCCCGCAACCTTTCCAAATACTTTTGGTCTGCAGTTGTTGACTCTGTTCGCTCACAGTTACGGAGAGCTGATTCTAGTTTTGTTTGGTACATCGAGCTGACATTTGTACATCCCCTGTGGAGCCATTGAGCTTATACTGCAAGGGGACCTGGCCAGGTGCTGAGTGTGGCAAACGTGACTGAACAAGGTGGGCAAATGGGAGGTGTTCACTCATGTGCGGGCAGCTGGGCCCCTAGGGAATGCCATGTCTTTGCCTGAGTTTCAGGAAGCCCTGATGAGTTATTCCGTGTGCCTGGATGCTTTGCACTGTAGAGTTAAGAGCGCCTCTAGCCTGACTGAGTGCATGGGGTCTTGAGCAATCCCACGTGCAGTGCAGTGTGTCTCCTCCCCTGGCTGTTCTTTTCAGGACAGGCTGCCTGTGTTTTCTCAATCACCCAGTTTCCCAGTCCTGGACAATGTGTTGAGTCTCAGCAGCAAGGCTCACCTTTCCAAGAGACAGACTGCTCTCAAGTTCAGAGCATTGAGAACATGTCTTTGTGAGATGTCCACCGCTGGTTGGGCCCTACATGGGATAAGATGTTGGTGTCATTCTAGCCTTTGAATGGGGAAAGCTCTGTTGGGAAGAGTTGAATATTAACAGAAGCAAGAAAGTTGGATTTCTTAGTCATCCCCATTCGGTGTTCTTCCTCAGAGAAGTATTCAGAAAGTCAGGGGAGCAGAGAAGAGCTCAGGATGCAAGAGGGAAAGCTGGAGTGTGACTAGCATCACTCGGAAGAGGTGTGCTCTTTTTCAGTCACTCGCTCACGGGCTGCAGTCTGGCCCCCTCACCTCCACCTGTCTTTGTACCTACTTTCTTTTAGTCTGTCTTTTCTTCAATAGCCTTCTCTCAGAAAGACGCAGCATATCTATAGGAAAAAAAAAAATCATGCAATGGGATCTTCCTGCCCCCATACCTGGAGGACTCCAATATCTACTTCGCTGTTCACCTTCCTACCCATAACCCTTTGCAGTTTCACTTCTGTGCCCACTCCACCATTAAAGGAAATTACAGTTCCCCAAGGAGCAGCGACCTTTTCCCCAAATCTTGGTGTTTGACACAGCCCAGGTCAGCACTGTCTGAGGACACCTTCTTTCTGATTTCACTCTTCCTTCATGGTTAGGATTCCACATGTCTTTGATTCTGTTCCCGCCCGGCAGTCAGCCTTTTCGGAGGTCCCTTCTCATTCTTCTGTTCCTCTCTCGTTCTCCCCTCTCATCCTTTTTCTCTAGAAATCCTTCATCTTGACAGCTCCCCCCACCCCCAGCCCCAACTGCACTACACCATCAGTTAGTTCCTTGGATCTGTGCTCCCTTGCATTCAACAGACCTTAGCGCCTGAGACCTCCTACGCCAGCTGTCTTTCCCCCCTTATCCTCCATTACTGCCCTTTTTTAAACTCAGCAACTGTGAAAGCTGGGAGCCATCACTCTGTCCCCTTGCATATCTGTGACCAGTTCTGGGGGTTGACACCAAGTGCCACCCTCTTCCTGTCCCATCAGCCCCCTGCACTCTCATTTCCCTGTGTCTCAGTGCTGTTCCCAGCCAACTCCCTCACGTGTGTGCTTGTCTCCTTCCTGACACCCATCAGCCCCTGCCTCACTCATGTCCTTTGAGGAGCCTTCTCTAACCACTGCGGCCAGCACTGAGCACCTTGTCTCTGAATTGCTGCTCTCACATTGATGGTCTACACTGGAAGTCGCAAACAGCCATAGCTCATTCAAATTTATTTAAAAATTAGTCGCCACCATTAGGTAAAAAACCAGATCATTTTTAGCAGTCCTAACCTCTTAGCTTCTCTTGGACATTTCAAAAGTCTCAGCACACCATGCTTTCCCCTGTGGAAACCTCTGTCAAGCTCTCAGAGTGGCTGCAGCCATAAACTCTCCATCCTGACCCACAGACCTGTTCTACCTCTCGCCCCCAACAACTGCGTTTGCGACCCTTGTCTATACCATTGATTGCCACATCTTAGCAATATGTCCTGTCTGTAACAGCTGTTACATGTGTGTGTCTTATGTGTCCTTCACAGTCTAGTTGTTCTTACTGTGAAAGTGGGGAGTCCTCATGAATTGTGTATGTCTGCTGCAGTACTTGACACATAGTAGGCCTGTTTGTTGAAGGCCAGGTCTTGAGCTGGAACTTGCCTTTGGAGTTGTATCTAGGTCAGAAGTTCTCATTTGTTCCCTCTGCTGCTGACACTCCAAAGTAGGTGGGAAGCCATACTCTGCTCAGTGTTTACCACAACATTCCAAGAGAGGACTGGAGTGTGGCCATCTCTCAGTGTTATGGGGGTCTCAGTTCTTGTCTTCTCAAAGGAAAGTGAGTCATGAAAAGATGAAGCAGAAGTTTATTTGGGAGGACAAGCACTCCAAAGAGAGACTGCAGTGCAAAGGCAGGGAGCAACATGGTGGGCCCCATGTCGTTGGCTTTGAAGTTTTTAAATGTTAGGAAGTAGGTGGCACACTTGTGGGGAAAGACAGCCCTTTTCTCATCCCAGACCATGGTGGATTGGATCTCCCTTTTAGGGTTCTTTGTGTGACCCGCTGGACAACTTCACAGAGGGGCAGAGATGCAGACCCTTTGTCGGTGCATGCATGTAGGAGAATGGCCCCCTCCTAGTGTTGCATGTAGCAGTAATGACCCATGTGCAGCCTCAAGGACATTTCACCACGGGGCATTCTGACTGACAGGAGACACAGCCACCAAATGCTGCTGCAGTTCTCTTGGTTACCTCATCCCTAACTCCCTTTTAGATTGTTCAAGGTCCGTGGTTGAACTCAAGACTGTCAGTTAAGATATTCTGCTATTTTAAAAATGGAGATTTTTTTAGTGTGAGGGCCGGGACCATAGTTTTACAATAGACTACAGAGGCAGGAAACAGGACTTGGGCAGGATGTTGAGCTCCTTCCTCCCAGCCTGTGTCTATCTCCTGTTGACATCAGCATCCAGGGTTGGACATGTTGTAGAGGTGATTACAGGTGTCATATGCAAAACTCTCAAGTGCCTCGCGTGTATACACTAAGAGAATGGTCACATGACCACTTGGAGCCTGATTGGCCGTCATTGCTTCAGGTAAAAGGGACAGAGTAGTCTAGGTAAGATCTAGACTTCTAGAGAACTGTCACAGATCTCTGTCTTGTGGGACAGGACAGGCCCTCTAGATACTTTTTCTGTTAGAAAGTTCCCTGGGCCAGGACTAGGACCTGGCGAAAAGCGAGACGCTGAGAGTGGCCTATACTTTGGTCTGTGTTTTTATCCACTGCCTTCTGTCTCCATCCCTTTCTCTCATCTTTCTTCACTTCTTCTTGCTGTCATTTTAAACTTTTAAACATTTTTTAGGCCTGTGCATCCGTGGCATTTTGTTTTTCTCCCTTCCTCTCTACAAGGGTGTAAGGGGCCCCGTCCCATGCATGGAGGTGAGGGAAAAGTCACTGGACAGTCCTGTCCAGATCCGGCCCTCCGGTGGCAGGGTGGTGATGGGAAGGCATGCAGCAGAGGCTGGGAGGAATGTGTACTCTTCCTTAGCTCACAGGATCATATGTTGGTTCTTTCTTTGGTGTCTGTGTGCTTTCCAGGCAGCACTAGATCTCTGCAGTGCCCACGGTGGGCCAGGCCAGCCAAGCACCTCATACTCTAAATCAGCACGTCCATGTTCCAAATTCTTCTATGACTGCTTCATTGTGCATGTTTCCGCGGAGCTGCCTCTGATCTGTAATGTCTGAAGTAAGGCCTGTGACCCAAAAGTCATAAAATACTGTTGCCACCATCAGCACAACCTTCAGCCCAAGCTGCTTGGGAACCACATACACCAAAGTTTTTCTTCTCAGAGATTTTGAAACTTGATGGGATTGGTGGAGAGTACTGCATGTCACAGCGTGTTACCTACTTTGAGTTCATCTTGACCTTTTTTGGTCTTGTCTGATAAACATGGCACCCCTCTTGGGAATGCTAAGGGTTATCCTTTCACATGATGGAGTTTCTTTCTTGTTCTCTACCCACGAGGCCAGCACTGCTGTGCATAGCTAGAGTAAATTTCTTTTCAGTAAAGACAGTGTGCTCAGATGTAGCCTGCATTGTAATGCAAGGCCTCTGGCTCCACATGTATTGATGGTACGTGGTGCAGGTCCAAGGCCACCATCAGTATCTCCCCTAGACAAGTCATGCCATAGGGCATGCTAGGAGCCTCTGTCCCCCAGTGATTGTCCCAGCCTGACACATGGTCTGTGCTCCCATAGTTGGTAAATGACAAAAGCTTCGCAATTTCTGGGTGTTTCTCCTCTCCCCAAGCCCCAGCCACCAGTCTACAAGGGAGCCCTTTGGTGCCATGGAAGGAAAATCCCCAGAGATTCATGAGGTGGCCAGAGGTCTTACCAACTATTTCCTGCTCTAGATAAGTGGGCAGAGAAACCAGCCTTCGGGACACCCCTGGAGGAACACCTGAAGAGGAGTGGGCGTGAGATTGCTCTCCCTATTGAGGCCTGCGTCATGTTGTTGCTGGAGACTGGCATGAAGGAGGAGGTGAGGGGCACCCAGGTCCCACCTGCCAAATCATTTGACCCTCTTCTGTCCAGATCACCCCTGATACACACACACTTTTATTCTATAGCCACTGTGGAGGTATAGACCATTGGCTTTCAAACCTTTGTCCCCATGATCCATATTTCCCAGTGAGTCCCGGGACCCTTATTTAGTAAATGAAGTGGGGCTCCCAGAACAGGTGCACTTGTTCTGCTTGCCGTGCACTCTGACCTTTCACCATCCTGCCTCTTTCCTTTCCATCTCTGCTTATGATTTGGGACAATGCTCTGGTGGCTGAGAACATCCGTGACCTTGTTTATGACAGTCTTGCATTCGTGTGTGCTGTGGTTCTAAAGGGTATATTATGTATTGTATTTTATGTGATCCATACCAGAAATACTGGCATGAACCAAGCAGGGCAGCTCTTGTTTCTCCTCTTACATAGAGGGAAGCATGCAAGGAGTTCATGCCAGGGCAGAGCTAGATTTAAAATGCAAAATTCTTTGTCCTTTAAAGGATCTTTTGTTAATCAGGTGGTGGTGGTGCACACCTTTAATACCAGCACTTGGGAGGCAGAGGCAGGTAGATCTCTGAGTTCGAGGCCAGCCTGGTCTCTTATAGAGTGAGTTCCAGGTAGCCAGGGCTACACAGAGAAACCCTGTCTTTAAAAAAAAGAATCTTTTGTTGAAGTCTCACATGCATACAGAAGAACAGAGGCTCTGTAGATGAACAACACAGTGATTTTTCACAGATAAAACCTTGGTGTCTAATCTGGCCCAAATCAAGACCGTCCTGGAAGCTCTCATGATGGCTTCTGGTACCTAACATCAACTTTGAAAAGCCCCAGTCCATGCTTCTCAAAGGGGCCTGCTTTTGCTCTCCAGGAGAGTGACGACACTTTTGATTGTCATCAACACCTACCACCACTACCTGCTCATTCCCAGTGAAGAATCACTGGGTGTATAAAGTGTTGAGAAGCCTGCTGACGTATTGCTTAAGTCCAAGTCTCTTAAATCCTGGTCCACTATCCATTATACACCTACCTGTCTTGGTTGGTTCTTTATGTGTTTTTCTTTAAAAAAAAAAAAAAAAAAAAAAAAAAGTCACAATTAGGTCAGTGAAAGTTACATGCAGTCTGGTCTGTTTTCACTGATGTCATTTAAAAAAATAACTAAAAACTAAATTTATAAGATATGTAGTAGTCAGTAGTCAGTACTGTGAAAATAGAAAAGCTTTTCCATAGATCAAGAACTAGCATTAAGAAGGTCTATGTTCTGCCTGTCACCATACACTAGGCACACACAGCGCTCTTCATTCCTTGGAATGGTGTTGTAAGATGGGGAGTGTGGCTGCTCTCATAAGCAAGCTGAAGTTCCCCAGGGTGAGACTCAGCTCTGACTTGATGCTGCTGGCTTTTTATTGTCTTTAGGGCCTTTTTCGGATTGGGGCTGGAGCCTCCAAATTAAAGAAGTTGAAAGCTGCTCTGGACTGCTCCACATCTCACCTGGATGAATTCTATTCAGATCCTCATGCTGTAGCAGGTGAGCTCCAAGGACTGTCTGCAAACCCAGATGTCCTCAGTGGTGAGCAAATCCTAGTGAGCTCACGAGCTGAAAGAACAGTTGTCGTTTGAGGAGTGATTGGTCAAATGAAAGGACCCCCCATGAAATCTCGTAACATGCACCGTGTGTGTGTGTGTGTGTGTGTGTGTGTGTGTGTGTGTGTGTGTGCGCGCGCGCGCGCGCGCGCGCGCGCTGCAAGCCACAGGAAAATGTAATGGAGACCCATGTACGCCTTTTCGCTTCTTTCTGGGTTCTCTTCTCCCCCTCACTCCCTATTACTAAGCAAAGGTGAAGAAGATAGCTGTGACTATCTTCTTGGAATGCCAGGGATTGTCTTTCTTTTATGTGGTCGAGTCTCTTTCTTATCTTCTACCCACGAGGCCAGCACTGCTTTGCATGGCCAGAGTAAATTTCTTTTCGGTTGAGACAGTGTGCTCAGATGTAGCTTGTATTTATTTTGAAGATGTATTTCTTCCTTCCTGTCACACTCATGACCTACGTTTGCCTGGAGAAATTTTGTATGTTAATAGAATTACCTTAAAGCGAATTTTATTTTCCATTGCTCTCTTGGTGTATTTTTGCAAGGAACTGAATTTCTTTTGCAAGGTTTCATTCTCTAAGCCCTGCTGCCAAATTATGATTTGTTTTGTGCAGCTTGGAAGACTGTACGTGAGGTACTTTCGTTTGCAGAGCGCCGCAGCTTTGGCCCCCACTGCATACTCAGGATGTGTTCATGGTTTCAGGTGCTTTGAAGTCCTATTTGCGGGAATTGCCTGAGCCCTTGATGACTTTCAGTCTGTATGAAGAATGGACACAAGTTGCAAGGTAAGTTTAGAGTGTTCAGAGTTTGGAAAGTTCAAAGCAGCGATGAACCACTGTGCCCCATTTGTAAGTCCTTGTATTCTAGGAATCATGGGATACTGAAATAGCATGCATAAGGATGTGTCCCTGTTCTGCCTGCATCCAGAGTGAACACACTCAGTATTGCTAGGATAAAAAGCTCCTGGATTATGCTTTTGTTCGAACTGGTATGGCTTCACCCACATTAATGAACTGCTGATCTCAAACCCCTTTATAGTGAAAGCAGTTCTGCAACTGGGGTCATGCATTAGAGGGCAGCTGTCTGTGCTCCTGGCTGTTTGCAGGCTCAGTGGATCAGCAATGGAATGGGAGCCTTACTTGCAGTAGTAACTTGCAGTAAAACAGTGTCCACTGCGTGCTAAGCTTTGCCCCACTCCCTCCTGCCATTCTTAATAAGCATCAAGCATCCAAAATAGGCACATGTTATCTTCATTGTATAGATAGAGAAACTGGGGCTTCGGAAGGAGCTGGGCCAAGAAATTGTCAGGGCTGGCATCCAAGATGGAGACCTATCTGCCCAAAGGCTCCACCCATTCTATGATTTTGTCCTCCACCCTCAGCTTCAACCCGCCTCGTAACAGGACAGTGTATTTCAAATGCTCTCAGCGTCTTGGCCAGCCAGGTCAAATGCTCTCAGCGTCTTGGCCAGCCAGGTGATCTCCTTGTTACCTTTCACTTCCTCTCTTAATTGCCTAATTTTTCAGTCTGAGGAAGGAAGAACTGGTCTCACCTCCACTCCTGCCCCTCCCCCTTGGCTCACCCTGTCACTTTCCTACTGAACTGACCATAGATAGAGTAGATAGAGCCATTTGTGGTGAAGCTGTGTGGCTTCTCAGGAATCTGCAATCACTGTGGACCAAGACACTTTCTCCCTGATAGACCATGAGGTTTTAAGTTCAAGGACAAGCTCTTAGTCTGTCTTGGGACTGAGTTAAATGAATCAGCAGTCACATGAATGGGGTTTCTTATATCAGGTAGTCTCCACCTCAACTCTCCTAGGTTCCTAGACTCTAAAGTTCTTCCTTAGGAGGAGGTGTCTGTCTGCTGCACATAGATACTGTAGTTGAAAAAAGCCATCCTGTTGACTTGGTGCCTGGCCTCTCCAGTGTAATCAGGTGACTCCCTGTTCTGGAACTCATCAGCATCATGGGCACCTGCTACACTCTTTCTAGAGGACGGAGTGGTTGCTCTGTGGGTTCTTTCCTTCCTGTCTCGTGTTTATGGAAGTTTGTCCATCAAAGTTGTGTGGAGCCAGAACTCTTATACCTGCTCCACATGGGAATTAGCCCCAGCCTGGAGCTTTGGAGCAGAGTTGACAGCAAGAGAGACCTGAGGTCTGGGCTCCTGGGAGCTTGGGAGTTGATCTGTGGCCAGGCTGCCTTTATGTTAAGGAAAGCTAGGCTTCATAATGCTGCTAATTAACATAAACATGCCTAGACAGAATTTCAGTGGCATCTGCTTGTGCCAAGCCTGGGGCATGGTGATTTCACAGGATTTGCCTCTAGCCTTGAGGTCATTCAACAGAATCAGCATTCTTCCCTGTCCTGCAAAGCTTGGTGAGATGAAGTACCTGCTCCCAGTCAAATAGCATGGAACTGGGATTAGACTCCAGATCTGCTCATTTCCCAGATCATTGCTATCTTGCAGACAAGCTTCACTTGATAAAGAACATGCATTAGCTTTCTGCTATAAGAAATACGTGGCATAATCAGCCTAAAGGAGGGCAGGTTTGCTGTGGTTCTTGGGTTCCAAGGTTCAGTTCCTGTTGCTTTCAGGCTTATGGCTACGCCATACGTTCTAGTGGTAGAAGCATGTTCGCTTCATGCTGGGAAGTAGAGAGCAGGTGGGGACTGGGTCCTAACACCTTCCTCCAGGATCCAAGTCTTCCAACTGCACTCTACTTCAGGAAGGTACCAACATCTCCTGCTAGCACCACAGACTGACAACCAAGCCTTTAGCACAGGTACCTCTAAGAGACATTTCAAATCTGAGTTATAATAACACATTAATATGGGTACTAATAATGTGTGCATTTATAAATTCTTGTGTATATTTCTTTCCTAGTGTGCAGGATCAAGACAAAAAACTTCAATATTTATGGACAACATGTCAGAAGTTGCCACCACAAAATTTTGTTAACTTTAGGTATGTGTATGATATATTCTGTTGCTGTGATAAACATCGTAATCAAAAGCTACTTGGGGTGGGAAGGGGTTTGTCTTTAAGGTTACAATCCATCATTGAGGGAAGCCAAGGCAGGATGCAGGGCAGGAACTCGGAGGCACAAACTGAAGGAGAGACTGTGGGAGACACTGTTTTATGCTTACTCCAGCCTTACTACTTAGCTATCACAGCCTGGGCCAACCTGCCCAAGGATGGCACTATCTGCAGTAGGCTGGGCCTCCTACATCAGTCATTAATCAAGAAAAAGCACCGGAGACATGCCCACAGGCCAGTCCGCTAGACGCTTTTCCTCAGCCTTACCTCTTCCCAGGTGTGTCAGGTTGACATCAAACTAGCCATCAGAGTGTATATGATTCTGTAAAGGAAGCTTCAGTGACGCTGGAGTGGATATGTTTCTTCCGAGGTGACCCTACCTCAAGCGTGCTTGGCACATTCAGAAGGCTTTGCAGAGTAATACAGAGCTGCTGGGATGGGGTGGGTGTGCATGCGCTGCTGTGCACTAGCATTTGGGTGATGTTGATATGCAGGTGGTCTGATGGTGTGGACACTGCAGCTGTTAGCAGAGGCATTGCTGTAAGCAGCTTCCGTAGCTGTACGTTGTGTTTGCAGTCCGAGCTGCCCTATGTGAATGCACGGTTACTCAGTAGTTACTGTTTCTGTGCCCTTTCATAGGAAGTAGTGCTCAAGTCACTGTACAGTGGAGAGTACATTTCATTATGCTAGTAAATGATGTCTCTAAGAAAACTTCCCATGATAAACTTCTGGGACTGCAGTTTTCCCTTGGACTTCTATAGCTCGGCAGAGGTGTAGAGGAAAGGGAGCGCCAGGGAATTAATTGTCTGTTAAAACCAAGCAAAGGGTCCAGCAAGATGGCTCCGTGGGTAAAGACCCTTGCTGCTGGGCCTGACAGGCTGAGTTCCTGAAACCCACAAGAAAGAGGGAGAGAACTGACTCCCGCAAGATGTGTCCTTTTGTCCTCTCTCACTCTCCCACTCCTCTTCCTCTAATACACAGGAATAAATGTTATTAAAACTTAAAAACACACCTTTCAAATCAGACGTTTTTTTTTCTTAAGAGATTTGTTTAAAATCCATTTTGCAGGTGATTTGTGTGAAATGTTACCTGACTTAAGCTTGATCTTGGTCTTTGTCTCAGCTGCATCTGATATTCCCTGTCCACATCTGAAGGGTTGGCTTGCCTTGTGAGCTGGTGGTATCTGTAACGTCCCTTGTTGATAAAGTGTAACAGACTTGGCTCAGAAATGGCAGACAATGGGAATCTCCTCGGGGTGATGTGGGAACTCAGTTACAGTCCTTAGTGTGTTGGGGTTTGACCTTTTGGATTATTTCTTTTTCTCTGTAACTTTTACTAATTGTGGGTTTTTTTCTTTGTTTGTTGTTATTTTTTTATATAATAATTAAGGACATTCTTATGATTCCAAGTTAAAAAGATTTACATTGAAAAATCTCTTGTCCCTAGCCACCTAGTTCTTCTGAGATACAGAATCTACAATTTCTTCAGTATCTGTCCACTCTACAAGAGCCTCTGTGTGCATGTGTGTGTGTGCCCATGTGCAAGTACATTCATAATGCATATTTTTTCTTTCATTGCCCACTTTTTTAAAAATAACATTTTCTTATTTGAGAATTTCATTAATGTATACAATGCATTGTGGCTGTACTCACCATGTCCCGCCTCCCTCTTCCCCTGAACCTCCTTTTTTTAGCCTGGAGGATAGGATACATTGTGCATGCCATCTCTCCTTTGCCTGCTTTGCTCCATATCTTCGTTTAATACATCTTGTAGATTTTTCGGTATCACTACATGATTTTTGTGGTTGTATGTATAGGACATTACTGTAGATCAACATAGCTACACTTTACCTAACCTGTTCCTTGTTAATAGATACCTGGTTTGTTCATACTGTTTCATTTTTATACTAAACGTATAACAGCATATGTCTATGTAGTAAATTGGATATTTTCATAATTAAAATGAGGGTTTTCAACTATAGTTTCATTTTTTTAAAAACAATTTTTATTAAATATATATTAAGCCCACTATTAATCACAGTGTAATTAATGTAGGAGTAAAGGAAATAGATTATAAAGGAAAATTAAATTAGAAATAGATATGGTGAAATCAGTGTGATGGTGTTGGACCTGTTTTCTCCTTCCAAGCCTTCAGTAATCTGTCTATAATAAAGTTCACAAGAGCCGGGCGGTGGTGGCGCACGCCTTTAATCCCAGCACTTGGGAGGCAGAGGCAGGCGGATCTCTGTGAGTTCGAGGCCAGCCTGGTCTCCAAAGCGAGTTCCAGGAAAGGCGCAAAGCTACACAGAGAAACCCTGTCTCGAAAAACCCAAAAAAAAAAAATAAATAAATAAAAAATAAAGTTCACAAGAAGTGTGAGCAGCACCATCCGTGAGCCAGGCCCCAGGTCGGCAGCAGCCTGTAGTAAGGGCCTGAGTCGTCTGTGCCAGGCACACAGCAGGGCAGGGACACTCGCAGTGTCCGACAATGCGCCTGCTCTTCTGTTTGTCTCCTAGGTATTTAATCAAGTTCCTTGCAAAGCTTGCCCAGACCAGTGATGTAAATAAAATGACTCCTAGCAACATTGCCATTGTGCTGGGCCCTAACCTGTTGTGGGCCAAACAAGAAGGGTAAGTGATTCTTCTCTACCTCATGCTTAAGTTTCTTCTTCCTGGCAATTAGCATGGGGAGTGATGGCATTCAGGAGACACGATCTCGGACTGCAGGTGACTTCAGTCCCTCATGGGCTCATGTTTTAAACATTTGTTTCCCAGCTCATGGCATTGTTTATGGGGTTGTAGAGCTATTGAGAAATGGGGCCTGGCTGGTGCAGGTAGGTCTCTAGGGGTTGCCTTTGAAGGTAACGCCTGGCCCCTGGTTCCTAGGAGCCTGCTTAATCACCTCCATGTGAACATCTTCCGCAAAACAATTCTGCTGCCATAGTTCTTTCACCTTGGTATGATGGAAACCATGAGCCAAGACAAACCTCTGCTTCCTTAAGTCTTTTTGTCCTAGCAGTGTAAAAGTAACTGATACAGCCCTAAGCAGAGTGACTTCACAGGGTTGCATTTAGGAAGCTTTGGCTGGCATTGATCAGTGTGGGTTAAGTAGAAGAGGTGGGCACAAGGGATCAACTGGAGAGCAGTCATCATCTGAGCATGGTCTCTATCCTCACACATTATCTTTTGCAGTAAATGCTGTTCTCAGATCCGTCGATGAGGATGCTGAGTCTGAAAAGAACCAGTAATGTGCCTGTTACTGTAGGGCTGTAGGGCAGGGCAGTGGTGGGGTCCAAACGCTAGTCACAGGGTCTGTATCCTTACCTCTCACTGCCTCATTGCTGCTGGCCAACTTTGCAAAGACATAATTCAAATCAGTCATTCACTTGCTCAGTGTGCCCAGTCTGGTTTCAAAAAATAGTTGTAAGCATAGAGGGTAATAAAACAAAATTATGCATAAATAGGAAGACAGGATAACTGCATAGATCATATGGCAAATAAACCCTGACCAAAGACACCATCATAGAAAGTGATGTAAATGTTTAACTCCGGGGACAAGAATGTCAAACTTCAAAAAGCAGTGTGGCTCAGCTGGTTAAAAATCAGTACATTTAACAGTAATAGACACAGCTCTCTAACACCCAGAAACTTGTCAGGAAACACCATAGACAAAAGCTAGGAAGGAGATGCTCCAAAAATCTGCAAAAGGCCTGAAAGAAAGCTTTGTGAATAATCAGCAGTTTTCTTTAAAAAGAATTGTTGGAATAGAACACACGTGGACACTTCCCCCAGTCCGGTGTGGCACTTCAGCATGAAGTCTGATCGGAATCCTCACATGAGGAAGGGTAGAAGGGTAATTTGCCAGCAGAGCTTGCATTATGCTGGAATTCAAAAGGATCTGTATGTTTTGCTTGGTTAGAAAATACATAATAATGTCTGATGGGGACCAAGGTCAAAATGACATTAAGACAGGAGAGGTTGGTTTGAGGCAGTCAGACCTGAGAATCAAGGATCCTAGGAATCCAGTAGGAAGGATTTGTTTAGGCTCACGGTCTCAGAGGTATCAGCTGGCTCCGTGGCTGTGAGCCTCTAATAAGGCAGACCCTCATGGCAGCAGGAATGTGTGGCAGAAAGTATGCCTACTTTGTACTGGCCAGGAAGCAGAGCTCAAACCAGAGAGGGAAGGGCCAGAAATCTTTAAAGGCACTGTTGGTAAAATTCCTTCCCAGAGGTGTAAAGCAGTGTCTGTCCCTTCTCCCAAGGTCCCAGCAACAAACTGAGGCATGACTCTGCCACAATTCACTCTGGGGAACCAATGAGTTATTTTCTTCCTTACAGAGCCTAGGTGGGGTGTGGTGATACTGTGTTCCCCAAAATACTGTGCACCCTAATAAACTTATCTGGGGTCAGAGAACAGAACAGCCACTAGATATAGAGGCCAAAAAAATGGTGGCACACACGCCTTTAATCCTATCACTTGGGAAGCAGAGATCCATCCGGATCTCTGTGAGTTTAAAGCCACACTGGAAACAGCCAGGCATGGTGAGTCACGCCTTTAATCCCACGAAGTGAGCCTTTAATCCCAGGAAGTGATGGCAGAAAGCAGAAAGGTATATAAGGCGTGAAAACCAGGAACTAGCTGGTTAAGCTTTTAGGCTTTTGAGCATCAGTTCAGCTGAGACCCATTCTGGATGAGGACTCAGAGGCTTCCAGTCTGAGGAAACAGGATCAGCTGAGGAATTGGTGAGGTGAGGTGGCTGTGGCCTGTTCTTCTCTGATCTTCCAGCATTCACCCTCATACCTGACTCTCAGGTTTGATTTTATTAATAAGAGTCTTTAAGATTCATGCTACAGTGGGGGTTACTTGTAGGGGTGTGGGCACTTCCCCCCACTCTGCTGCACCTGGAAAGCCTTACCCTTCAGAAATGAGGGCTCCTGCCATAGCCGCATAGTTGGAGCTCCAGTGCTCATCTTCAGCCTATATATACTCCATCCCCCACCCCCACTCCAGGCCACTTCAGGTAGACCCAGGTGGGTCAGGAGCAGCGGGATACTCAGGTGAGTGTCTCATGCCTTGATCTACCCCTCTGTGCAGGGGTAGACATCATCAACACACCCAGTTAGGTTGATCTTTTGCCAGGGTGGAGGTAGGGGAGCAGCTGAACTCCTCAAGATGTTGCTTGGCTCAGAAGATAGTAACTCATGACGCATACACTCCAGTGACCAACTTCCGCCATGCCCCAACTCCTAATGATACCATCAAATTATGAATCCATTGATTAGATCAGAGCCCTTATTTTCTAGTCCCTCTCTAAGATTGGATCCACTACTTGGGAACCAGCCCTTAAACACTTGGGGACACTTCATGTCTAAACTACAACTTAACATGTGAAAATCAGTTTAGGTCTGTTGAGAACCTAAAGCTTTGTGGGTGCATAGTAACCATCCGGCACATTGCAAGCTGTTCGATTTGGTGGCTCGGTGGTGAGTTTGATGGCAGTAATAGTGATTGTTTTTTTTTTTTTTTTTCTGAAGCCCTGGTAGCAAACCCTTTCAGCTTCTGGACTGTCTGTCACCTTGGAACCAGAGCATATATATGTGTGTGTGTGTGTGTGTGTGTGTGTGTGTGTGTGTGTGTGTGTGTGTGTATGTATGTATGTATGTATGTATGTATGTCACCCTGCCATGGGAAGGCAGGGATTTTGAGGATACTTAAAATCCATACACTTGGTGACATCATGGGCAGCAATAGTTTGGGGTGATCTTGGGTCTGCCTACCAACTGTGCTGCTGATACAGTGTGGAAATGCAAGCCCTATTCCAATCAACTTGAAGCCCATCTTTGTGTTGGTGCCCAGGTGCCCAGGCATCAGACATGATGGTTATCACAATCTGCTGGGGAAGGATTGATAGTAGTTAGGTAAATTTTCTTCTTGGGCCATTCCAGGCATACTCATAGGACCTATGGGTTTAAATTGTGTGTCTGTATGTAAATATTTTATCTGCCAGCAATTTTTGAGATCCCTGGCAGTTTACAGAAATGTGAGACTGTCAAGGTGGAACATTTTAATTGTGTGAACTTCTTGCAGAACACTGGCTGAAATAGCAGCTGCCACATCCGTCCACGTGGTCGCGGTAATTGAACCTATCATCCAGCATGCAGATTGGTTCTTCCCTGGAGGTAATCATGGTGCCAGTCTCATGGGTTGCTGAAGCTATGTGACAGTAGTGTACCACATTTTTAAAAAGAAGAAAACATGTTGATGATTATGTATTGGTTTCATTTTCTCATACTTCCCTTTAGATTTCATTCATGTGCATTTATATTTTGATATAATGATAATTATATTCTTTTCCATTTCCCTTAGTTTCACTATATTCAGACAGTATATATTGAATGCTTACTAGTTGCTATGATTGTATACTGTGTTCTCTGAAGGAACTTGGCTTCCCTGAGAAGGCAGCCACACAAACGGATCAAATAAACTTATAACGTAGTAAATTAGGGTATTGGAGAGAGAAAGGTTTGACAAACTCGGATGCTGAGAAGAGGGAGCCAGGATCTGTGTTCAGGAGTGACGCGGACCGCACAGAGGCCCTGCCTCAGTGGGCTTTCTTCCTGACTATCTGCAGCATTGTTTGCTTTATGCAAAGACACAAACTCAAGCAGGCAAGGCTCGGGCTGGTCGGAGCTGGTTTGTGCAGTCAGAGAGTCAGGGCTTCGTTCTGTAGCTGGTGGAATTTCCAGTTTCTCTTGTTGCGCTCCTGGATCCACAGAGGTTCTCATGGCTTCCTCTTCAGGAACTGGTTGCACGTGTGTTGAGTCCACATGTCCCAGCCCTGCTTTTCTCAGTGCAGCCCAACTGCCCAGTCCACTGCAGTGTGAGCTGGGACACAGGCCAGGCTGGGCTCAGTTCTTCTCTTCTGTCTTCCTGTTCTGAGAATCGTTTGTTGCTGTTGCTTAGTGAAGATGGGTAGGAGACTGAAGATTGATGTGCTGCCTGGGATTTCCTTCAAGAAAATGATTCTTGCAAAAAAGAAAAAAAATTGCTATAGGCAGTGAGCCTTTGATAATGCTTTTCATCTCTATTTTATATCAAGACTTTGATTTCCATCACTTTTTAAATGATTCAGTAAGTTCTCCATGCTCCTTGTCCCTTTCTCAAGTCTTAGATTTCTCTTAAGAGCAGTAGAGCTGTGTGTTCATCTGGCCTTTTTTGGCTTGCCTCCCACTGGGGTCACAGGATCCGTTCTTCAGATGAAAGTGCTTGAGCTGCCCTTGTGGAATATGGAGGCTGTCTTTCCACTGGAGTATTGGAGAGCTCCCCTTGTGTACCAGTCTCACATTTATTTATTTCTGTTATGACAGAGATAGAATTCAATGTATCAGAAGCATTTGTTCCTCTTGCTACCCCAAATTCTAATCACTCAACCCACACTGGAAATGACTCTGACTCGGGGACTCTGGAGAGGAAGCGACCTGCCAGCATGGCGGTGATGGAAGGGGACTTAGTCAAGAAGGAGAGGTATGTGTAGAACGGTTACTTCCACAGAAGTCGTAGACCATGGATCTGGTACTGGCTTAATGGCCCCTGTGTCATCCTGCCTCACAGAGTCTAGATCATTCAGAAACCAGACTGTCAGTCTCTGACCACAAAGTGTGTGTGTGGTGGGGGTGGGGATAAAGAGTCTGTTAGCATCCAAGCCTGTGCATCAGGCTTTACTTGACACGCTTATGTGCCCCGCAGTAGGATGGCTCACACATACTAAATTCACCTAAATGGCTGAGCGTTAGGAAACAAGAAAAGACACATAATTAGCACGTGGATTTGGGCTGAGGATCATATAAGGACAACCACATTTCCCAGTGAGCTGTGAAGAAACGTATTTTTGGCATTACTTGGCCTTACTACATTTGCTAACTGCTGAATCCAACATTTAGGTGAAGAAGCCCCAGAATTTGACAGTTCTGGAGGGGGAAATGTATGTTTTCAACTTAGAGGCAGCATGTTTCCATCCTATTGTCTATGGGCAATTTATGAGATGTTCAGTGCTAATTTAGGCCATGTATAATTCTTACCTTTAGAGGGCAACGTATCCCTGTGTGAGGCAACTTAGAGTAGCTCCACATAAGAGCTGTGTGAAACAACATGCTGTCCTCATACACATGGCAGAGTTGGCAGGCTCAGTCTCACAGTGGGCTTCTCTTGTTCAGCTTTACTTCTCTAGTCTCTCCCTCTGAAATACACCGTCATCCTTTATCATTGAGTTCTGATACCTGAGCATCATCCAGGTCCTTACCATTCTTCCCTGATGGCCTATTAGAAGAGTTAGTCCTTTGAATTTAAGTTATAACATATGGTATTACAAGTCTCACTAGCCCATGACACACAATTCTCAGCTGTCTTCTCTGCATATTCCCCAGTAAATTAATGGAGTCCAGTATCTTAATGTTCCAGACTTAATTAAAAAAGAAAAAAGGTTCTGAAGTAAGTCCATGCAGAAATGGTCTTGATGAAGAGTGTCTTCCTTCCGCCCCGTCCTCCAGGTGCCACCCTCCCAAAAGCAACTCTTTTTTCCAGCCGTATGTAACTCTCAGCTGTGTCCTCATGTGCACACACAAATGTTTCTATATTCCATGCAAGTTGAGAGGCAGTGCGGTGTGATCTTGCCAGCACTGGTATGCTTCTGGGCTTGGTTTCCACCTCCTTCCCACACACAGGTTTGAGATGGGAATCAGGTACTAGGGCAATCGACACAGAACATCATGTCACTCAACATGAGGCCTGCCTGTTCGCTTTCAGCTACACACACCAACCTGATGAGTGTGAGGTGTTGGCTTTGCTAAGGTTTAAAACTAGATCTGAGCGCTCGCTTTGGTAACTGGGATGACCACTGACACAACCTTGCCACTTAACTGCATGCTGGGCAACGTGGGTGGCTGTCCCGTTTGTGGTTTTAACCTGTGAGGACTAGAGGGCTTCCGTCTCTTTAGTTGGCTTGCGTGGTGTGTTGACTGTTTCTTCTCTCTGTGTAGCTTTGGTGTGAAGCTTATGGACTTCCAGGCCCACCGGCGGGGTGGCACTCTAAATAGAAAGCACGCGTCCCCTGCTTTCCAGCCGCCACTCCCGCCCACAGATGGCAACGCCTTGGCTCCAGCAGGCCCAGAGCCTCCTTCTCAGAGCTCTAGGGCTGACAGCAGCTCAGGGGGTGGGCCTGTCCCCTCTTCTGCGGGCATATTGGAGCAGGGGCTGAGCCCAGGTGACAGCAGGTAAGGAGCCCACTTCTGCTGGCAGTCAAGGCCAGATGCCCCTACCTTCTTCCAGGTGGCAATCTTTGGCATGGTAGCCATGCCCAAAGAATGTGGTGGCAGAGAGTGAGTCAGATTTGCTTTCACACCATTGGTTAGGGGAGAGAAAAGACTGCAGATTGCTTGTTTGCTTTTCTGTTTTCAGAAGAAGCAACACTTGTGTGTGTGCTTTGATGCTGGAAAGTAGAGACTAACCGGTGTCTAACGGTGTGCTCAGCCTATTCGGTGTGTAACTGTCAGTGTCCACCTCCCCTTTGCCTCTTGTCGTTCCATGTGCTAGCTAGGAAGCATTTGAAAGCAGTGAGCTAGCCGAGTCACAGTTTCTTGGCATTTGTCATCCATTCACTCATTCAGTAATTACATTCAGTTGCGCAGTTTCACCAGTGGCTGCTGTTGCACCAGGCCACCAGCACACTGGGTGACTAAGTGTCCCTCCACCACTCAGGGCTTTCAGTTTTATGGGGAGCTGACACATGGGTTCAAGGAAGAAAATAAGGTGGCGTGTTTTCTTAAAAGGCCTGTTCCGTCACTTGAACTTTTGACAAGCCACTGGGAGTCACCTTCAAGAGAAGATGCCTTCAGATTGGAGATTTTCATTCTGTTGGTGTTCGGTTCTCTGTGCTGATCAGGCAGCGGCCACAGTTTTCTCTCATTCAGAACTCATGGCGCTGTAGAAGATGAGCCGTACCAGAGAGTGCTTAAGTTTTAATTGTCATTGTTTTAATCCTCTTCGGCCAGCCACACAGTGCCATATGATCATATACGAGATAAAGTTAATGTGCACAAAACAAAACCTGTTTACCCATGCATAGTTTACCATACTCAGATGGATTGTCCTTGGAGAACTCTCATTGCATCTTTTTGGTTGAGGGAAGTGAAGTTGTTAACAAGATAGAACTCTGTCTGGTCTTGGTGGTGCAGCCCATAATCCCAAGGTACTTGGGAAGCAGAAGGCTCACAAGTTCAGGGCCAGTCTGGGTAACAGTGAGACCTTGTCTCAAAGTAAAAAACTAAAACTCAGGGCTGAGGCTGTAACTCAGGGCAGAGCACTGACCAGAAGTAAGACGTATGGTATGGCAAAAGATGCCAAAGAGAAAGAAGCACAAGGCAGGACTCTCTTCTCTTCTGATAGCTGGACTCAGTGCTGTTGTGCATTCCTGAGTCCTCCTTGATCCCCGTAATTTAGGGAAGTTCATCTTCAGTCAGGAGATCTGAAGCTTTGCCCTTGGCCAGGTTGTATGCATTGCTCTAGGTGCCATGCTGGCCTGTTAGTGGCCACTCTTCCATACATGGCTTGGTTTTTACGGTAAATATTTTTCTGTTTATGTGAGAAAGAGAGTATAAGCAAATGCACATATTTTCATTTCCTCGTGACAGTCGGTTTATATAACCAAAGCTAACTATTTAAGGAAGTAGTTAGTCTTCGCTGCAGAAAGAGGGATGGAGTGTCAGCCATCAGTCTCCCTTTTGTGTTAATGCTTGAGATATTTTTGTGCACACTTCACACCTGCCCTTTGGTGAACTTGACAGAATGATTGTAATATTTGGTATAGAAAGTTGTGAGCCAGGAAGTAGGAAGTAGGAAGCCTGAGTCGGCTCGTCCCCTGCTGCTCTCAGCTTTAGACTGAGTCATCAAGCAGGTCTCAGAATTTCTCTTCCCTTGATCCACATAACTGATGCTAGCTAGGCCCTTCTTAATCAGTGTTACTTTGCATTGTTAGTTTTGTACAGTAGCTAGCAAAAATCTCCAAGCCTTGTTTTCTTAAAATAATGTCCAGTTTAAGTACATGCAAAACAGAACTGGAGGTTTCTTGTGGATGCGCTGAAATGACTAGCCTTCATTTCTGTGGCAGAGTAGCTGAAACTGAGTCTGTTGCAGGGACTCTCAAAATGTCTTGTCTCTGAGTAAATATCAGCTCACTAGCCCGATACAAACTATTTAAATTTCAAATAACCCTCATCTCCCTGGGTTCTGGTATCCACAGGTCCAGCTGACTGTGGTCCAGAGAATTTTTAAAAACTGTTTCTTTAGGGCTGGAGAGATGGCTCAGTGGCTAGAAATACTTGGTGCCCTCCCAAAGGACCAGAGTTCAGTTCCCAGCACCCACAGGCTTACAACCACCTGTAACTCTAGTCTTCTAGCTTCTATGAGTACCTGCGCGCGCGCACGCGCGCGCACACACACACACACACACACACACACACACACACACACACACCCCTTAAAAACAAAACAAAAAAAACAAGCCACTGCATTGCACACTTTTTGATTGCCATTCTCCAGACTATACCCGTATCCAGCATTCCCATAGCTCCTCCACTGTATTGGTTATTATGAGAGTTGACTTAATGTATACAGAAGGGTGTTGACAGTTAGGTTCTAATGCCATTTTACATACAGGGCTTGAGCATCCTTGACTTTTGGTATCCATAAGAAGTCCTGGAACTTCCCACCCCCAAATCCCATACCAAGGAACAACTGTATTTTATGGAATGCTTAGCGTTTATACCAGGGAATGCCTGAAATCTTAACTTCACCTTTACCCCTCTCAGTCCTCCAAAACCCAAAGACACTGTGTCTGCAGCTGTCCCTGCACCAGGAAGAAACAACAACCAAGTGACCACAGGCCCAAGCCAGGCCCAGGCAGGTGGCAGCTCCCATCAGCTCTCAGTGGGCACACCTCACAGTGCAGCTGGTCCCAGCCCTCACACTCTGCGTCGAGGTAAGTGACCTGTACTCCTTGTACTTGGGGAGGGTGTAAGAACTTCCTGCAGGTACTCCAAAGAATCGGTTATGAAAGCTCTTAGAAATCTTTTTCATGGCTGTTACCGAATAATAAGCAGGCAAATCAGTCATTAAAAGGAAAAAACATCGGAAGAAACTGAAAAAAAAAATAGAGAAAAGAAAGCAGGAACTATAAAGCTTAGCAGCAGAAAGAAGGCTCTGCAGAGTCACTCCTGGATTTCTCGGGATTTGGTGTCCCAAGCTGTGCTGTGTTTGGGAACTACCGCAGCCTCTCTGCTACTGACCCTTGTGAGCCAGAGCTTCAGGGCTCAGGGTTTTCTGGTTCTGGAGTAACATCATCTCACCAGTTCCTACCTGTCTCCTTTGCCCTCCTCAACCCAGCAGCCAGGGCCATTGCTTTGAAACACAAAGAAGCTGTGCCACCAGATCCATCTCTGCACAGGCACAAGTCGTTCACTCATGCCACTGTTTGGGGGATGTTGTTGTTGTTGTTGTTATTGTTGTTTGGCCGGAGCATTTTTCTTCTTCAGTTCTCTCTGAGCCCCGTGCCGCAGGGCACATGTGGAGGTCAGAAGACAGCCTTGGGTGTTGGTCCTTGCCTTCCCCCTGTTTGAGACAGGGTCTCCTGTTTTTCCACTGTGTACACTGGGCCAGCTGCATGGGAACGTGTGGGGATTCTCTCGTCTCCATCTCCCATCCTGCAGTGGAGCCGGCATCACAGGCGTGTGCTACTGTTGCCTGGCTTTACGTGGACTCTGGTCCTCGCACTTGCAGAGCAAGTGCTTAACCTGCCTGAGGTGTTGTCCTAGGTACTGAGCGTTTGTCTTAGCCTGAATCTTTAAATCTGGTTTAGTTTATCACTCTCTCCGAGATCTTAGTGAGCTCAGGTCTTAGCTGTCTCATGCCCCTCAGCATCCTCCCCTCGTGTGCCTGCCACAGAGATGGCACTCAGTAAGCTCATGTAGTCTGGGCTCTGGGTGCCTCCTAGGTCTAGAAAAACTGGGACTAATTTTATCCCTACCTTAGTCACTGTTCTGTTGCTGTGAGGAGACACCGTGGTCAAGGCAATTCTTAGAGAAGAAAGCGTTGAACTGAGGGCTTGCTTACAGTTTTAGAGGGTTAGTCCATTATCATCATGGCAGGAAGCAGGCGGGCCTGGTGCTGGAGCAGTAGCTGAGAGCGTTACATCCTGATCTACAGGCAGCAGACACATGGAGAGACACTGGGCCTGAGGTTGGTTTTTGAAACCTCAAAACCTACCCCCAGTGACAAACCTCCTCCAACAAGGCCACACCTCCTAATTCTTCAAACAGTTCCACTAACTGGTGACTAAGCATTCTGAACACATGAGCCTGTGGGAACCTCTCTCATTCAAAACACCACAGTCCCTGACTCTGAACCTTTGTTGATGTCTGGAGCTGGTTTTGGTTGTCACAAAAGGAGAGAGGTAACAACCATTTAGGGGACAAAGGCCAGGGATGCTACTGAGCAACCAGAGTGTTCAGGCTTCTGAACTAATTTGCAGCCTCTCTGTTAGTGGTATTAAAGTGGAGAAACCATAGACTAGAGAGGGACGTGTTCCAACAAAGATGTACCAGGGACCTCTTACTCCAGGTCAAGCCAGTTAAATTCCATGTTGACCAGGTTGCCCTTTGTTCCCAAGCAGTACTTACTAGAGTGTGAAAGATCCTCACCTCACAGTATCCTGTAATTCTGATTACAAGAAACAGTGAATTTATCATAGCAAGGGGCACTTGTGTGAAGCGTATGTTTCTGAGTTTGTATTTTTTTTTAACATCTCTCTGAAATTAATACTAGGGAAAGATAGTCCTTTACCATTGGAAAACCTTCAGGTAGGAAGGATGAGGAGGATATAGGCATGATACAGCAGAGAAGTCACACCTCAGGGTAACTGGGTAACACCAGGGTAACTGGGTGTTAAGACTAAGACTGTCTGACCTATAAAGAGAAAAGATTTCTTTGGGTTTATAGTCCTGGAGGCTGGAAATCCATGGATAACATGGTGCCAGTCTCTGCTCAGCCTATGGTGAGGGCCGTGTGCAAAGCAGAAGGGCAGGGGACTTCAGAAGAGAGCCAGGGAGCCAGACTCCTCCCTTAGTGCACCTATTCCTTCCAGAAAGGCAAGAACCCATTCATGAGGCTCCTGCTCAGGTCTCCCGCTCGGCCTTGCTTCCCACCATTGCTACCGTGAGTTGAGATGCCAACACACAGACTAGGAGCAGAGTCTGAAGTCATAGCATAGACTTCTTGCACATGTGCTCATGAGAGTATGCATATTGGCCCTCGGGGAGAGGCAGGTTAAGAGAAGAGAGGAACCACCATACTTCCAGAGAAGTTGCAGCCCTTTGTCCAGGATCAGGCCCCTAGAGCATGACAACGTGAGAGCCTCTTCCCTTGCTAGATCTCAGTTCTTCGGTTGATGACTTGAGTGTGTGTGTTCAGCATGGAAGGTGCTCACACTCCGGCATGTGGGCTGCAAGGGCTCCAGGAACAGCAGCCAGGCCACTCTGCTTCTTGCTCTGCTCCCTTTCTTTCTGGCCACGCTCTTGCCATTTGATTCTCACATGCAAGGAAGGGTAAGCACATGCCTCTGGCACCATTCTGTACTGGAGAACACAAGAGGCACAGGACTGACTGCTTGGAAGAGGCATCCAGACTAGTAAGAAGGTGAACAGGTTGGGAAGGGTTGGAATGTTTCCCACCACAAAGCCAGTTGAACTCTGGCGCAGGGCAGCTGAGCGGTAGAGCTGCTTGGGGTGAGATGGGGAGAGGACAGGCAGTTCACAGGCAGTGTCGTCAGAAAAGCTGACTAGACCATTGCAGTGACCCATGGAAGCTGGCAGTGGCCGCAGGAGAGGAATGCGGGAGGTCTGGCCTGTGTCTTTGATGCCACCTTTTAATGTAGAAGAGGGAAAAGGCCCTGGACTCCAGTGTGTTCTGGCTTTAGCTTAAAGGTACACACTGGTTACAGGATGCTAACTCGACCTTTCCTAGTGGATCTTGCATATATATAAGAGAAATAAAAATACAGAGAGGGGCAAGATATAGGAGGATCAAAAGTAGAGGAGCATTACAAGTATTAAATTCATTGTTGGTTTTTTGAGACAGAGTCTTGCTGTGTAGCCCAGGCTAGCCTCACACACTAAAGTGCTCCAGCCTCGGCCTCCTGAGTGCTGGGATTGCAGATTTGTGCCACTCTCCCTCCCCAACCCGTAACATTGTGTATCTATCTATACACTCCACAAATGTTAATATACATTAATGCATCTTTGGGGCAGGAAGGCAAGCTCAGTACTGGTGTGGTGACAGGCCCCCACCCACTTCATCCTAACTGCCCCCCTGTCCTGTCCTGCCGTCCTTCCCATAGGCCTCCCTGCCTGAGCTCAGCTGTAGCTCTGCCTTCAGAGAGTTGGCTGCACAGCACCAGGCCTGCCCACAGGACACCTCAGCACCCAACACCTCCACATGGTCCCAGACAAGACCCTTTTTTCCCCAGGCCTGCCTTGGGTCCTACTGCCCTGTACACCGTTGTCAGGCTTCCTCTCCTGCGTCTCCTGCATTGTAAATGTCAGGCATGACAGGTTCTTCAGTGTGAGTTTACAGTGATTACTGCTTAGAGCAGAAAACCAGACCTTTCTTCTTCTTCTTCTTCTTCTTCTTCTTCTTCTTCTTCTTCTTCTTCTTCTTCTTCTTCTTCTTCTTCTACTACTACTACTACTACTTCTACTTCTACTTCTACTTCTTCTTCTCCTCCTCCCCTTCCCCCTCCCCCTCCCCCTCCCCCTCCCCCTCCTCCTCCTCCCATTGCTTACATCAACCAGAGTATGGCTGATACTCCAGAGAGCTTTTCCTTTGTAAGATGATGGGTTGTTTCTGTGGGGGAAGGTCTCTGAGTGGCTAGGCTCAGAGTTCTACGCCGGTTTAGCAGAGCAGGCACCACTTGGGTTCTGGGCCCTGTAAATAGGAAGAGAAGCAGTATGGGAAAGAAGAGGAAAAAGAATCCAGGGAGGCCGCATGACATAGGTTTGAATCTGTTCCATCACTTACTAGGTACGGGGTTGCTTAGAAAACAGCCTGCCTGCTCTGGGCTTCCTTTTTCCACTTTGGGCCAGTCCCACTGTGAGCTACTGGGATGCACATGAGATGTGCATGAAAGGCCTGGTGTGCACAGGAGTGGGCCAGCCCCACAGTGAGCTAGTGAGATGACGTGAGATGTGTGTGTGCACAGGAGTGGGCCAGCCCCACAGTGAGCTAGTGAGATGACGTGAGATGTGTGTGCGCACAGGAGTGGGCCAGCCCCACCGTGAGCTAGTGAGATGACGTGAGATGTGTGTGCGCACAGGAGTGGGCCAGCCCCACAGTGAGCTAGTGAGATGACGTGAGATGTGTGTGCGCACAGGAGTGGGCCAGCCCCACAGTGAGCTAGTGAGATGACGTGAGATGTGTGTGCGCACAGGAGTGGGCCAGCCCCACAGTGAGCTAGTGAGATGTGTGTGTGCACAGGAGTGGGCCAGCCCCACAGTGAGCTAGTGAGATGACGTGAGATGTGTGTGCGCACAGGAGTGGGCCAGCCCCACAGTGAGCTAGTGAGATGACGTGAGATGTGTGTGCACAGGAGTGGGCCAGCCCCACAGTGAGCTAGTGAGATGACGTGAGATGTGTGTGTGCACAGGAGTGGCAGCTGCTCCCTTCTGTCCTCTGCTTCCTGTCTTGGTGTTACCAGTGTGACCTCAGGAGAAGTAGAAATGTGTTCAGGGTTCCCCACTCTGCCCCTCCCTCTCTTTCTTACCGCCCCATTCTCTTCAGATCTCAGCTGGCCTCAGAGTAGGGATTTGATTCAGCTCATGTTAGGGACACAGCTGCTGCTTTATTTATAATCAAATCTATCTAGAATGTATGTGCCTGGAATTGGCAGAATTTCCATGAGTAAAAACCAAAGTCGGACTGAGTTCAGTCCTCTGTGACCCTCCTCCCCACACCCCCTTGGCCCCTATTGAAGATCCTTAGGCAGAGTTCTGAGTGCAGTGGACTGCCTCTCTGTTCTTCCCTCCTGGTTTGTTCCCACACTGAAGTCATGAGGGGACTCTGGAGAAAGGGCTCCTGAGGGGCCCACAGTTTACTATTTTGTATGGGTGTATAGCCTAAAAACTAAGTTTTCCGTTTTCTTCCTTTTGAAGTCATAAAATGACTGGTCACTAAAGGCCTATACGTATATCATGCCCTTAGCTTTTTACATAAATCCCTTGTGTTGGACTAGTTTAAGTCTACAGGGAAGTTCTGTTCCCACTTACAACTGGCCCTGTTACCCCCGTTGTTACTGTCTGACGTCACACTGCATTTGTCACAACTGAGACCAAGGACAGTAGTCACTAACTGCACGCTGGGTTCAGGTTTTCTATTTGTTCATAGCGGCCATCTTCCATTCCAGTTCCCGCCCAAGGGACTTCCTTGGCACAGAGGTCTTCCAGGCTCCAGTGTTCTCCAGGCCGGGAAGGGCTTGGTTTTTACTTGTGTTTCTGTTGCTGTTAGTTGTACATGGGGTGGGGTGGGGGCTCACACAGCAATCCCCCTCTTGGCACATCCCAGGTGGGGGCATGAGGTCCTGCTGAGCCGCATCCCCTCCTTACTGACCCTGTTCTCACTCTTCTGTGCAGCTGTGAAGAAACCTGCCCCGGCACCCCCCAAACCAGGAAACCCACCTCCTGGCCACCCTGGGGGTCAGAGCTCTCCTGGCACAGGCACATCCCCAAAGCCGAGCACACGCAGCCCTTCGCCACCCCTGCAGCAGGCCCCAGGCATGCGCCGCTGCTCCAGCAGCCTGCCTCCCATCCAGGCGCCCAGCCACCCACCACCACAGCCCCCCACACAGCCCCGGCTGGGCGAGCAGGGACCAGAGCCGGGCCCCACGCCACCGCAGACCCCCACACCACCCAGCACCCCACCCTTGGCCAAGCAGAATCCCTCGCACAGTGAGACTACACAGCTGCATGGAACCCTCCCAAGGCCGCGACCGGTGCCCAAGCCTCGCAACCGGCCAAGCGTGCCGCCACCCCCGCATCCACCTGGCACCCACGCGGGGGATGGCAGCCTCGTGCCTTCGGCGCCCACAGCGCCCACAGCCTCCAGAATCGTCACTGGTGAGTAGCAAGGGGTCCAGTGTTCCCTCAGACTTCTCTGGAGGGCAGTTATCTCCTGCACAGCTTTTATGCCAAGACAGCAGAGATGAATACCCGTGGCACAGATCATAAAGCTTGCAGTTTTCTTCTGGGTGTAAGATTTATCTTCGTTCACATACTGGAAAGTCTAATGCATTTAAGTCCAGGTAGAAGGTATCATACGACATTGGCGTGGAGTTCATAGTAAATTCCTCCTCGGTAGCCCATACTTGGCGACAAGATGATCAGGAGCCTCATCTACAAAGCAAGTCCTGGGCCATCCTGAACTTACTATTCTAAAAATAAAAAAGGCACATCCTAAGTGCAGAATTTCAGAAGCGGGTATAATAGAAAGCACCATATATGCTAAGTCAAATGCAGAAAAGCAGATCTCCCAAGCAGATCACCTCACTGTGCTAGCCTCAAATGGCTTGGCAGGGATAAGCAGAGATTTTCCTGTCATCCCCTTTAATCTGCCCTAGGCATTGGGTTGATGATACAGACTATAGTGCTACCTTGTGGGATATTTTTATAGATATCCTATAAAACATTTTATTTAACTATATCAAGAATATTTCTACACCAGGTACTGGACTTTGCTATTTAATTTGAAAAGGAATGGGTTCTTTAGTGTTTGTAATGGTCATTTGGGCTGTGCATCACTTCTTAACAGCAGCTTGCTTTTAATTACAGCAGCCTAGCTGTGGGTTGTCCTGTATGAAAGCGTGCTAGTAGAAGCCACTGAACTGTACCTCTGGTTCTCCAGCCTTCACAAGTGGACTTCTCGACAGATGATGACCCAACACTGTACCCAAAATAATGAGTTAACTGACTCCGGAACATAATGCTTAGTTTAACCCACATGTTACCAGTAGTTAATAACTGTTCCTATGACAGCAGGATGTTTATTTGATTAGCACGAAGCCACATTGGTTTGTTTGCTGTTTGTCTCCCACTAGATGCCCTTCCTAGTGCCCTCACAGGTGGGGAAGGTTTCCAGAACTAAGGTCTGTAATCCCTCAGCAGCTTCAACTGCAGCTGCAAACGCTCCCGCTTAGCCATGTTCTGTGTGTGTGCTTTTGACTTTGTGCTCAGGGTGGCCATTTGAGTCCATGCCGTGGCCATCAGTCAGCCGTCCATTCTGTAGCAGAGAGTTATGCCTTTGGTCCCATCCACAGCACTTGAGCTTTGGCTTTCCCCAAATCTAAGAGGTGGCTCTCACCGGGCAGAGGTCGCGGTTTGAAGCCCTCAGTAAGATGCTGTGTTGCTCCATTTTTTGTCTGGTGAGCCTCTCCCAGTGTTGTGCTCTTCCCAGCACCATTTCCCTGTCACTGGCTTATCAACATCCAGCAGGAGGACCAGGGTAACCATCAGCACAGGCAGTCGTGCATCCCTGTGTTTTGTGCTTGAATTTTTAATTTTGTATTTTAAATGCAAGGTAACTGCATGGAGCTTCTTAATTGATGTATAAAATTCTCAGCCCCTCCAAACTTCCCCAAATAATCCTCCCCTGAACTCCCTTTAAGCCCCTTTGTGTTCCAGCTTGCTTACATTTGCTTTCCTAAGCTGTACGGGCATTTAAAACAGTGAGGCTCCTCTGAACATATCTCTGGGCATGTACTGGGCCAGCAGAAGGCTCCTGTGTGGTAGCGTTGCTTTAATCAGAGCCCTTAGCCTTTTGTAGGATACATACAGTATGTGTCCACGGCTTAGTTCAAGTTGGAATGATGGAGGAGGATATAGGCATCCATCCGCTTTCCTCAGGATCTGGTGATTAATCCAGTAGTTGAGTGACTAAACTTTAGTTAAGACTGAGCCTTTTAACACTTTAATACTTACAACACCCAAATTCTACTCAGTCCTGTCCTTTTTATCTAGACTAGAAAGAAGATTGCAAACCAGGATTATGCCTGTTCGTAATACCAGAGTCACCTGTGGTGGTGTATGCCAAGATTGCTTTAATTGACTCCATAGTCACCTGTGGTGGTGTATGCCAAGATTGCTTTAATTGATTTATCAGTCAGTTAGATAGGTGGAATTTTACATTTAAAAATGATCTAAAGTGTTACCTATATTTTTTAATTTTAATTTTAATTTCTTTGCTATAAATTTTCTTAGCACAAGAAATACAAGGTCCCTGTAACTTCCTTTGTATTACTGTAGCATTAACCTAAAGTATCTTAACATCCCCTGGCCTACCCTTGGAAATGTACACAAGGCCGGCATTTGGAATCTAGGAATCCTTTAGCATTTACCATGCTGTTAGTGACTCTTCCTGGATATAGCCGATGGTTTTCAAGAAAAAGGAAAGAGCAGCACAGTCTTTTGTTATGCTTTAGCTTGGAGAACTTTGGAAAGATTCCTGAAAACATCTCACCTATTTGGATTATTTAATTGTAAAGAGCTGGAGTAAGGTTTAAGGGATTAAGGTGAATGCTTGTGGGCAGAGCACGCTGCCAAGCTGACTTGGTAGTCCTCTCCCCAAAGTTCAGTATCAGAGCTCTGGAGAAGGGAAGGATTCTGAGTCATTCTGAATGTCAAACTCTCATTATAACTCTGCAAAGCAGGAGGATTTTAGCAAAGAGTATTCTAATTTAAACATTTTATTAAATAATTTAGATGTATGACCTGCCATATTCAGTAAGAACTGAAATTGGAATGTTTAATGGTAAGGAAAAGGCAACTGATTGGCCAAAGCATTTTTGCTACTTTATGATCATATTTGTGCACTAATGGCTGTCACTAACCAGTCACCCTAACCCTGCCTGCCTGCATCCCTACTAATAGTGCATGCACTAAGGAGGGCTGGCCTTACCCATGCTTGCTGTCCATTGTTCTAAGTACTAAATGTGTTCACAGACTTGTAACAGGTGGTCACTGGGCTGGCCTCATCACTCCTTCATTGCATTCCTTCCTCTGTCCAGCAGGCTTCAGATGTAGTAGACAGAGCACGTGCTGTAGAGTTGGAGACATTCTTGGGAAGGCGCAACCTGGTTGATGTGTTAAGTGCCAGCATTGGGCACAAAGTGGTAAAGGAATTTAATTAGATGGAATAAGAAAGGCCCAAACAGCCCGTAATAGACAGTGGGTGGGCGAATGATAGTTATCTATTGTCATGTCACATGCCAGACTAGGCCTTCGAGGACCCAGAGAGCCAGAGGTCAGGGGTGCCCCCTGGTGTTAAGGTCTTTATTATAGTTGTGGAAGTCTGCGTACAGCCTGCCTTTAAAGGATGTCTCGTTTTGTTTTCTGAAGACAGCGTGGCCCATGATCTCATTTGCCCTGTAGGGTTTCTTCCCAGCATTGTGATTTCTTTCCCTTTACATCTCGTGCCATTGCCCACATAGTAACATAGCACTATTTCATCAACCACGTGTGTTGTTACTGCTTGTAGCTGAACATTTGTGGGGCTTCTGCTTCCGATTGCAGTTTAGTCTGTAGATGGCATATTCATGGGAATTCAGGTATTCAGGAGATTGAGTATAGTCTCCCCTTTGACTAGAACCAGTGTTTCTCAACCTATGAGTCACGACCCCCAAACAACCATTGGAAAACACAGAGATTTACGTGACGATTCGTAACAGTAGCAAAAGTACAGTTATGAAGTATCAACAAAATAATTTTATGGTCGGGGGTCATACAACATGGGAACGGTATTAAAGGGTCACAGCACTAGGAAGGCTGAGAACCACTGGGCTGGAGTATTAAGAGGCTGACTGTTGTTCGCAGATCAGAGCTTGCTAAGGGATAAGATCCAGGCTGTCAGAGCTGAGGACAGAGACTGGCCAGTGGCAGCAGTGTTTGAGGCTTCACTTTGCATTGTGTTGCTTTCCAGGGTGTTTGGATCTGATACTTGTACGAGTCATTATCAAAATAGCATTTTTGAAGAAAAGGGTTACAGCCTAAAGCACATAATCAAATTTATTGGAGTGAAAATTCTTCTAGATCCATACCCTAAACTGTAGAGTGCCAGTCCTGCCCCTCGGAGGGCCTGTCTCCCATATAAAGACACTCATTCAACAAAGAATGGGTTCCATTTGTTGGGGCCCCAAGTCCATCATTCTGTCTTCACTGTGCCTTGGGGCCAAGGCCTGTTATCTGGTGCTTTCTTCTGGATTTCTTGTTATTTTTTAAATTATCTGTAATACGAACTTAACACCAAGTAATGAACTTATAGACCAGCCTTTCTTGGAATACAGATAGCATATAAATTCATACCTAGAGATGTATAGAAGCATTAAAAGGGGGGAAAAAGACTGTGGGTGTCTTCTAAAGTGACCCTTTTCTTGGCTGCAATGAACTGGGTGTTCAAGACTTCAGCCAATGTCTCCTCAGATAAAATCTTCTCCTTCAGGACTTTCATGGAAGAGTAACAGAGTGCTTGGGGAGGTAGAGAAACATAATGTCCCAGAGCCCAGGCATCCTGACTCATGCTGACTTGTCACCTTGATAGAGTGGTGTCCCTTTGTACCTCCCTTTGTCTGATGGATGAGAAGAGAGAGCCAGATTGTCCTCTAGAAAGGCTTGATGGCTGGCACACAAGTAGAGATGCTGAGAAGCAGGAATCTGGTTGGGATGTCTTTGCATTCTGCATGCTCCACCAGCTCGTGTCTGTTCCTTGGGCTTTGTGAACTCTCTGGACTGGCGGTACCATCTATGGTAGGAGAAGTGGGGAAGAGGCTGAATTTGCAATAGTTTTCTTGTTTGTTGCTGCCTTTGAGTCATGACTGAGGCTGTGACAAGGGAGGGTTGGAAAGATGTTTGCACCAGCCCACTATTTATCTGCCCATCAGCTACCCAGCTACAAGGTTTATAGTGTCTGCTTTGTGCCAGTCATGGCTGTAAACACTGAACAAGACAGATGTGCCCTTGCCCTGGGTGAGCCACAGGTCTGAGACATCCTTAATTCTGTGTACACAGACTGCTCTTGACTGTGTCTCTGAACCATGAGATTCAGACCCGTTCAGTTGGTTTTCTAGTTACTATAAAACCTGAACTGTCCAAAATGGCACTGAGCGTCTGGACCCTTTAACTCCTTGGCACCTCTATAATCTAGGAATTTCCCCCAGTTATGGTGCAGGGACAAGTCTTTTGATCTAGGAGTCACTGAGAGAAAAAGAATATACTCCCAGGAAAAAGTAGACCGCAATCCAAAACTATAGAGACAGAGGCTAGGAGGGGCTTTCAGGGAAGGGGCAGAAACCAGTCTCCTGGCTTACCTATGGGTTTCATCAAGGCTGTGTCTGTCTCATTCACTATTATATCCTCAGCAGGCAGAGCAGGACCTGGCATGTGGTCATCTGGAAGAGAGCTGTGGTGAATGAAGGGGTCTTGTGAGCATGGAATGGGAGGGGCAGTGGCTTAAGGACCATATATTTGCCATCTTACTGAAGGAATTTTCAGTCAACAGAAGAAGACGTGAAAAGAGATTTCAGTGTATTAGTATTAGAAGAAATAGATTTAGAGATTTGGTGGTCCACTTAAGTTGTCAATAAGGGGTGAGTGTGCCCCATGGGGGGACACTCAACAGTGCCTGAAGACATTTCAGGTTGTCACTCTGGGGGTCAATAGTCTGTATGCCACTGGCATCTGGTGGGCAAAAGCCAGGGATTCTTCTCAACATCCTACAGTACACAGGATAGTCCTGCATCTCAGAATGACTCAGTCCAAGCTTTGACTAGGTAGAGGCTGAGGTCGCAGTTTTATCTCCAGGAGGAAATCCCTGTAGCCTCAGAAGTGAGTTCTCCCGGGGCGCTCTTCCCCTCAACTTAGATGTTGTTAGGAGCCCATAGTTGGTGATTAGAGGTCTAGGTGAAAGTGGATTTCCTTTACTCAGAGCAAGCGTGTTTCAAGGGTCGCATCACTGTGGGCTGCCCAGGCAGGCTGTCAGGAGTACCAGTCGGCTAGAGTAGGCAACTGTGTCTAGGGTCTCAAGGGCTTGACTTCTCGTGGCTGCCGAAGCCTCTCTCAAGGGACTGTGTTTATTCATGGGCTGACTCAGACCCTCCAGCCTCTCTCTCTCTCTGCCTTTGGTGACCTCTTGGACCTGACCCTCACTGATACCATGTTTCTTCATGTTTTTGTCCAGACACCAATTCTAGGGTTTCAGAATCACTTCGCAACATCTTTCCTGAAATACATTCAGACTTGGCAAGCAAAGAAGTGCCTGGCCACATTCTGCTGGACATAGACAATGACACAGAAAGTACCGCATTGTGAAAAGAGCCACTCGCCAGCCTTTGGCCCTCCGTCCCGGTGAGCGGAACTGGGTCAGGCAAGCCTCTGTCCCTGCAGACCAAACAGTGAAAAGCTTTCAGTGGGGGAAGGAAGGTCTGACTCTACAGGACTAGACTCCCACGGCCCAAGGAGAAGGTAAAGGGCCAGTACTCAAAGCTGAATGACCTGGGTCGTGAAGAAGTTGGCTTGCTTTATATATGGACGAAAATCATGCCAAAAATGATAGAACAAAGAAATACCTACAGCGGAAAGAGTATTATTACTGCTGAGAAATATATGGGAAGCCTTTGCCCATGCTGTTAACACAGACAGCAACTTGGAGTGACTAAGAAGAGACTTACCTATCTATTTAATAAAACACATTAATTATGCAAGTTACCTACTTCCTGCTACTTGGACTTTGGTCATCACGCACCAGAGGGAGCTTCTGTTCCTTCAGACTTGCTGCAGAATCCTTTTGTATTAAATCCAGTCTGTGTCTCCTCCAACCCCTAGAACCTCGAGCATTGGTGGCGACTGCTGGCTCTGTCGCCTCATCAAACTGGATGTGAGTCGTGCCTTGTGGATTGCCAGAATATGGAGAGAAATATACTGTTCTTTTTTAAAAAAACAAAACAAAACAAAACAACGTAATTGCTACTTGATAAAAGTTGAATGTTATTCTAGTTTCGTGTTTAATTTGAATTAAATATATTCTGTGGTTTATATGAAAACCTGCTAATTCTTGGAGGTAAACTTTGGCGTGTGTGTGTGTGTGTGTGTGTGTGTGTGTGTGTGTGTGTGTGTGTGTGTTGCTCCCATGCGTCTGTATGGATTTGAAAGAATAGACACTAGCATGATAGTTTCAGCACTACGGAAGAGAGAGTTAAAAGGTTGAGGCCAGCCTGGGTTACATAGCTAGACTGGGAGTTGGGAACCAGGTATGGTGGTACATGCCTGTTTTCCCAGCATTTGGGAGATACAGACAGAAGGCTCAGGTGTTCAAGGTCATCCATCCTCAACTACAGAAATGAGTTGTAGGCCACCATGCACTACATGGGACCCTGTCTCAGAAAGGTGAAAGAATAGAGACAAAAGTCACATTGGTGGGAAAGACTGCCAAGACCCAGCTGCCTGGTTATCCCGTAGCAACCTTCCATGGTTAAGACTGCATTGGGGTCCCACAGTCTTGACGTCTCTTTCTGAGTCCAGACAGACTTGGACTCAGAGAAGCTGACTCCCAGTGACTTTCAGGGCTATGTGTGTGTGTCAGGAACTGTGACTTTCATGGGAATTCTCTTTTCCAGTAACCTGGACGTTCTCCTGCCCTGTCTAAGAGTAAGACTCCTGGGAAGAGCAGAATGGGGGATTGGACCTGTGAGGCTGTCAGTGACCCCTCCCCGTGGCCCACATAGGGTGGCTTTCTTGGTAACAGCGAGGGGCAGACACTGACAGAGTTAGATGCCTGGAACTGCGTATTAATTGAGATAATCTGTGACCTCCTCTGGCTTAGAAGACACTGTGACTGGGCACAGTACCTGCCTGCTTCGAATCCCAGCACTCACGAGGCAAGAGCATCATGAGTTCAGGCCAGTCTGAGCTGTAACCACCCCACAAAATAAATATACATATGTGTATGTAGTGTCATTTTATACACACACACACACACACACACATCTAAACAAGAACAATCGTATTTCTCTTCCCTCAAAGTTCCCTCCACTTCCAAAGTACTTTAAAGCGCTTCATTTTAATTACACTGAAGATATGAAACATTTTTCTCCACCTTTTAAATTTGTGTCCTGGGGGCTGGAGAGATGGCTCAACAGTTAAGAGCAGTTGTTCCTCTTACAGAGGATGCAGGTTCGATTCCCAGCACCCACATTAGCGCACACAACCGTCTGTAACTCCAGATCCAGGGGATCCAATGCCCTCTTCTGACCTCCACGAATATCAGACACCCATGTGGTGTACATACATGAATACAAACAAAACACACATAAATCTTGTAAAAAGATAAGTCTTAAAGTTTCTGTCTGCTGAAGGCTCCCTCTTCTTCCCTTGTTTTTGACTTTACTACAGAACCAGCCAAGCCTGTGGAGGGTTTCTTTGCAGGTTGTACTTAGCATTGCACCCTCTTCCGTGGAGAGCTCTGCATGGGCAGTGCCGGCAGCACCCTGACGATAACCCCACTGTGATGCCACAGCTGTCACTCTGGGGAGAGGCCAGGGCTGAGGATAAGGACAGGTCATACTCATTCTTCCTGCCTGTGCCTCGTGCCTGCTGTCTGTGTTTCTACAACATGCCACATTCACATCATTTGCTTGTGGTACCCAGTCTTAAGTCTTGGCTGCCCAGTCCTCAGAAAAATATGAACGTTTGACTCCACGTATGTCAAAACAAACAAACAAACAAACGAGCGAACAAACCTGAAGCTACTACCATCCATCCTCATCGAGGGCCAGGCACCCAGCGGCTCAGCGCTCAGGCTTCAGAGTTACACCCAAGGCTCTCCAGATGCGGAACCAAGCATGGCACCTGGCTCTCTTTCCTTCTCTATAAGGACTTGCAATGCCTCCTGCAGCTGCAGAGGGAGTTGCTTGTGCCCTTTCATGGCACTGCACGTAGCAGAGTGCTTACCCGTCTGTCCCGCGGCGGCATCTCCGGCAGTTCAGAAAAATGATGGTCTCCCGAAATACGCTTCTGGAATCTGCGATGCTTCTGGAATCTGCCTTTCAGATGGTTTCCCTCTCTTTTCCGCGGTTTCTCAAGAGCTCGGGCTGTGTGCTCAGAATGCTCTATGGCCACACATAACACCAGGGTCATGGACCTATTCCTCTTCCCACTCTCCAATGCCCACTCGGCCTTCTGGAAGGAGCCTGCTCTTGATCCCACTCAGTGAAAGCCACCAGATGTCAGAGGTGATCTGCTCCCTAGAACTGGTTCCCTGGTGGGAATAGATCCCTCTTCTTAGGGCTCCACCCTGCAATGTGAGCTCATTTGAAGGTGTTGAGACAAAGCTTCCTCTGGTTGCTTGTCTGTGGTCTGCCTTCAGCCTTCCCTCCATGCTGTAGAGCCTCCACCCTGTTCCAGATTCTGCTGCTTCATCCCATTACACCAGAGTCCACATGGGCTCTCAGGCTCACAGTCTTCACTAGCGTCTAGACCAGTGTCTTCCACTTTTATTGTGTAACGTTGGTGGAGCTAGGAAGGAGGAGAAATGGGCCGGCAGGGCGAAGCCACTGGCCCTGGGCAGCCACACAGTACCAACTGTCCACACTCCAGTGAGTGTACCTCTCTGGCCAGTGTGGATTTGCACAGCTGTGAACATTCACAAGCCCCTTATCCAGAAGGCAGGGCCATCTCTCCTGGCACAGTGCTTAGGCTCTCTAGGTAACAATCAGTACTTACCATGCATGCCAGAGAAAACCAGCCTGTGAAGGAAGGAATCTATAATTGTACTGGGAGGCAGGTAGAAAAGCTGAAGGGGGTTTCCAAGAGTCTCCACATGTCCTTGGGGTTGTTTTGTGCTATCTCCTCACAGTAAGTTGCTTTATTTATTTTGTTTGTGTTTTGCATAAAGTTTGCTGCGTTGGTTCTTGTTGCAGCCTACCAAATGCCTCCTACTCACTAGTCTGGAGAAACTGAGGGCTTCCCATCTGCAGGCTTCCCGTGGCCTGTCCACCCCACACAGCCATCAGTCACCTGCACTTCCTTCCACTCCCCATCGCTCAACCTGTCCCCTTCACACCTCACACCTGCCAGTGATGGTTCTCTGACAGATGACCACATACATCCCAGCTCCTGGGGTCAGGGGCTAGGCAAAGCTCAGCTAGGACCTCTGCTCGGGGTCTCAAGGCTGCTGTGAAGTGTCAGGTAGGGGCTGGGATTTCATCGGGAGGCGGTACTGGGGGAGGAAGATTTCCCCACCCCAGGCAGGTTGTCAGACTTCATTTCTTGGTGTTTGTGGCCACAAGCCTAAGGCCCTGACTTCTTTTTGGCCCTCATTTGGAGGTGGCAGCTCCTGGAAGTGGCTTCAGTTCCTCGACTTGTTTTGCATGGCTCAGTGACTGCTTCATCCAGCAAGCCAAGGAGTCTCCATAGTGAGTCAGCTAACAAGACTGTCTTAAGTGTTTTTATTTTAGATTTATTTATTTTGTGAGTATGAGTGTTTGCCTGCTTGTGTTGCCACATGTGTACCTGATGCCCACAGAGGTCAGAAGAGGGTATTGGGTCCCCTGAAACTGGAGTTACGAATGTGAGCCACCATGTGGGTTCTGAGAACCCAAACTAGACCTTCTACAAGCACAGGTGCCCTTAACTGCTGGGCATCTCTCCAGCCCAGCAGGCTTTTTGTCATTACTTAATGTGGCCGTGTGTGTGCAGGTGAGTGTTCAGGTGAGTGTTTGTGTGTGCAGGTGAGTGTTCAGGTGTGTGTGTGTGCAGGTGAATGTTCAGGTGTGTGTGTGTGCAGGTGAGTGTGTTTGCATGTGCAGGTGAGTGTTCAGGTGTGTGTGTGCAGGTGTACGTGCAGGTGAGTGTGTTTGTGTGTGTGGGTGAGTGTGGGCATGAAGACCAGAGAACAACTGACATTCCTCAGGAGCAGTCCACCTTGTTAAGACGAGTCCCTCATTGGCCTGAAGCTCTCTGCATAGGCTGGGCTGGCTGGCCTGTGAGCCCCAGGGGTCTGCTTGTCTCACCTCCCCAGAACTAGGATTGTAAGTGTCCACTCCCATGCCCGGCCTTTTATTCAGGTTCTGGGGCTCAAACTCATGTCAAGCACTGTATGAACTAAGCTGTCTCCTCAGCCCGAGACAGTCATGTACAATCTAATCATTACACATAAGACATAGCGGTGACATCCCATGGCCATTGCCATCGTCTGTGGTTTACAGGCAAGTCACAGGTTCTTCCCACATGCAAAGGAAGGGAACAAGGCAGAAAAGGACCACTGAACTTCATCCATCCATCCGCCAGTACATTAAAGGTCACCACGAATGACACATGAGGCTGTATTTGAGAAGGGGAGTGCTTCATCAAGCTTGTTTCCATCCTTTCTGCCTGAATCTACGTTCATTCCTTGTACACAAACTGTACTTGAGTGAGGAAAAAAAAAAAAAGGAAAGAAAGAAAAAGAAAAATGTAGATGAATTGCTATTCGGTCTTAGTAATAAAAACCCAGAGCCAGATATTGGGGTAAAAAGCTGAGAGATCAGAAAAGCAGAAAGAAGCCAGCCACAGTCTCACCACTTGGAGATCCTCTTTATTAGGTTGCACAATATTGGGGGTCACAACATATCACCACACTTCCCCTTTTTTGTCTAAAACAAAAAAAATTAGAAAAAGTTATAACTAATATAAGAAGCACTATATATAATAAGTACAATAACTATATACAATAGAAAAAAAGCTCAAGTGGGTGGCGCCTGAGGAGGGATGGCTGTGAAGTGGACCTAGGGAGATGAGGCTAGAGCGGCAGGTGGAGCTAGAGTTGGGAGATGAGACCAGAGTGGGAGATGGAATCAACCAGAGGAGGAATCAGTGAGAGGTGGTGAAGACAATGAGTGACAGAGATGGAGTCAATGGGGGTGGGGGGTGGGGGGAGTGAGGTCAGAGGAAGATGGAATCAGGAAGTAAAACCAGAGCAGAAGGAGGGGCTAGAGTAAGCGGTAGCTGCTCTTGCAGAGGACCAGGGTTCGGTTCCCAGTGCTCATGCGAATGCTGACAGCCATTTGGAACTCCAGTTTGTGGTTGAGGAGGGGTTCTGAGCCCCTCTTGGGCTTGCACAGGTGGTACACATATGTACGTGAGGAAAAACATTCATATATATAAAAATAAATCTTTAAGAAGTGGTAGGCTTAAGAAGCAGAGGCAAGGGGCTCTCTCTGAGTTCAAGGCCTGCCAGGGCTACAAAGCAAGTTCCAGGTGAGTCAGAGCCACACAGTGGGACCCTATCTCAGAAACAACAGCGAATGTGCCAAGGAGAAGGGGTAGAAAATGGTGAGGCTGTGGCTGAAGGCAGCAAAAGGCAAGGGAGGAGGCTGGTGAGGGCAGGAGGAGCTGGGCATGGAGGGCCTGTACCGGGAGTTTATCAGCTTCCCAAGGAGAGTGCGGTGAAGAGCTGGGGAGAGAAGGTTTGTATTTTACATCTCCACAAGCCTATGTTGTAGAAGAAACAGACCTGGGTGGAGGTGAGACTGGATGGGGAGACCCCTTTAGAACTGGTGCTGACATTGGCCCACGTTAAGGACAGTGGGGAGTGGACAGTTGGGCACTTTTCTCGGGAGGCAGAAGTAGCGTGATCTGGCTGATTCTGAGCCCTCCCCAGACTTGAGAGTTGACTGTAAGAGCTGCCCAGTTATAATGAAGGACTTGGAAGGTCTCCTCCATGAGCTCTGACTACAGGTTACTACGCTGGCACAGACATAGTTGTAGCACTAAACTTAACAGTCTTATTAATAAAAAAAAATCCGAGGCCAGGTATGGGGTGAACGCTGGAAGATCAGAGAAGCAGAACAAGCCACAGCTTCCTCACCTCACCAATGCCTCAGCGTGTGTTATTTCCTCAGACTGAAAGCCTTTGAGTCCTCATCCAAGTGGATCTCAGCTGAACTGCTGCTCAGAGCCTAAAAGCTTAACCTGCCCTAGTTCCTGGTCCTCACGCCTTATCTTATATACCTTTCTGCTTTCTGCTATCACTTCCCGGGATTAAAGGCGTGAGTCACTATGCCTGACTGTTTCCAGTGTGGCTTTGAACTCACGGAGATCCGGATGTATCTCTGCTCCCAAGTGATAGGATTAAAGGTGTGTGTGCTACTATTTTCTGGCCTCTGTATCTAGTGGTTGTTCTGTCCTCTGACTCCAGATAAGTTTATTAGGGTGCACAATATTTTGGGGAACACAATATCACCACCATGTGTTCCATGGTATAAGGGACTTGGGCAGGAGTGAGAAGACAGGCTGGCTAAAGGTGATCGGTGGTAGCTAGAAGGTATGGAGCCAGGTTACATGTGTGTTCTTGAGGTTGCCACCCATTTACCCAGCAGACGCTATTCCAGACATCAGTATGACACCCTCTGCCTTCATGCAATCAATGTTCACTGCATTTGAGCAGTTAAATATTTGTGTGTGTGTGTGTGTGTGTGTGTGTGTGTGTGTGTGTGTGTGTGTGTGTGTGTGTGATGGCTGCTCATGTTTGTAGATGTGCATCCAGAGGCCAATATCAGGTGTCTTCTTCAATTGCTTTTCCATCTTATGTTTTGAGATATAGTTTCTCACTGCACCTGAAACTCACTGACTAGACTAGGCTGGTTGGTCACCAAGCCCCAAGGATCCTCCTGTCCGCCTCTGTAGCAGACATGTAGCGATTATGGATGTACACCTGGCTTTTAAGGTGGGTGCTGGGACTGTGATCTCAGGTCCTCGTGTTTCTACAGAAGTGCTCTGCTGACTGAGCTCTCTTCCCAAGCCCTTGGTATATTTTGAATGCACATGCCATCGGAGGGCGCTAAGTAAGGAAGGCTTTCTAGAAGTGATGTCTGTACGTGTCTAAATCCTAGAGTAGGATTTAGGTAGAAGAGAAAGGAGGGATTGTTGTATTGGATGTGGGTTTACGTGGGTCCGTGGAAAAAAGACACAAAGGCACTCTAAGGATTATTTTTAGCTTTTTTCCAGCTGCAGAGGGATCAGCCTCTGGCAGACTGACTCACTGGCTTAGCAAAGGGCCTTTTTATTGTTACACAATTCACACCTTTAACAAATCAATTTCCATATACCAATACCTCTTATCTAAGCTCCCCAAAGAGACAATGCCAAATGCAAATTCTCAGGAGACATCTCAGTTTGCCAGTCCTCCGAGAACCGAGGACCATTCCCTCCTTTGGCTCCTGGAGAGGAAGACTTACTCTTTTCTGTGGACTTAACCCTTGAGCCCTTTTGCCTCCCAAGTCATCTTGGGCTCTTGCCAGGATCCAGCTTTATGGGTCTGGCTAGGAATTGTGTAAGCCATAAGCTCCCCACGTGCCCTTCTGGGAGGTCTTAGGGAGCCTTTTGTCCAGACTGTTGTTTGGATTAGTGTTAAAGGTACACACTGACTAATGACTCCCATTGGGCCAGCTGGTCCCTGTCGCCATGGCTATCACCTAGAAACTCACTGGATGAGTAGGTGGCCAAGTGACTCCTGTTTTCCTTTGAAATCCCTGGAAATTAGAGTCTCAGGAGAGTTGGGTGGGGCCTGTAAGTAGCTCCACCCATCGTCTCTTTATATTAGGTCTGGACAGCTTGTGTCTGAGGGATACCTCAGAGGTGGCATTGCTCTTAGCTGTCCTGTACACTGCAAAAGCCAATCTGAATCATTCCATCAGGGCCCAGAAGAAAGAAGCTGCTGGAGAAGGCCCCACACAGACCGAGGTCCTGGACATCCCAGGCCCCCAACCAGAGGCTTCATGCAGGTGGATCTTCCCAGCTGTCTGCTGAGAAGGCTCTTCCTGTGGAATTAAGAAGCCAACTTTTCAAAGCTAGAATGTTTGAGAAAGATTTATTTTTATTTTTGTACATGTGTGTGTTCGTGTGTGTGTGTGCGCGCGCGTGTGTGTGTGTGTGTGTGTGTGTGTGTGTGTGTGTGTGTGTGCACATATATGCAAATGCATTGGAGTGGCCACACAAAGGTGTTGGATCCCTAGAGCTGGAGTTACTGGGGGATCCTGGGAACCAATCTGGTCCTCTGCAGGAGCAGCAAAGAGCTCCTAACTTCTGAGACATCTCTCCAGCCACTAAGCTAAAATTCAAGAAGTGCACACAGTTACCTCATCTTTTTTTCCTTTTCTTTTCTTTATATATATATATTTTGAGGCAGGGTTTCATGTAGCCCAGGCAGGCTGACCTTGACCCTAAACTCCTGTTCCTCTTGCCTCTACCTCCTAGGTGCTGGGATTACAGATGTGCACCACTGTTCAGGTGTTTTGTGTTTTTGTTTTGTTTCTTGTTTGAGACAGAGTCTGTCTATGTAGCCCAAACTGACCTCAAACTTGGAATCCTAATTCAGAAAGGGCTGGGATTACAGACACGTGCCACCATGCAGCCCCTGAGTTTTAGTGCCTGAGGTTTCAGGGCACTGCACACGTGTGTTTCCCACAAACTCTAAGCAGGACGAGTACCACAGTGAGAAAAGCTCCAGGGCCAGCCGTTCCTTTCAAGAAGAAAATGCCAATAGGGTCGTCAGCAATACCTCTGAAGCTTTATGGCAAACAAACAAACACAGGCTTTATTATCATTTTGTTTTCTATTGTTAAAAAAAAAAAAATAACAAGGCACTGAAAACACACAGAGAGCTTGGATTCCCCGGACTCCCCCGTGTTAAGCAAAGTAGCCCCAGAGGAAGATGGCGCAGCTGATGCACACAAGGCAGTTGACGTCTAGCACGGTTTTCACCAGGGGATTTTCCTCCAAGGAAACTATGACAGGTTCTGCTTTGCTTGGGGGCTCCTCTTTGTCCTTTTCCATTCCACAGAGCCACAGCATAGCCTTCAGCACCTTGGACTGTTTGCGGGACACATCCTCTAGAAAGAACCCAGCAAAGGAAGGTCACAAGGGAGCTGCCTGTCCTCAGGAGGAAGAAGAGGATCGACAACATGTGTTCATGCACTGAGATATGGAATCCATGTTCTTCTGCTGGAAGGCATGGTCAGCCTTCGTATTTGGAGGTTTAACCGAACATGAGCAGGATAATTCAGAGGAGTACAGACTTGTTCATCATCCGTCCCTAAACAATACAGCATAACTTCCACAGCACTGACCTTGTATGAGGTGTTTAGAGATGAGTTCAAATACACAGGATGTACACATGGTATATGCAAATGCTGTGGCATTTGTGGGTGCACATGTGTGTGAGTGTATATGTATTGCCTGCACGTGAGCCGGAGGACAACCTCCTATGTCATTCTTCTGGAGTTGGGTTCCTTTCTGTTTTTTGAGACACCTTTTCACTGGCCCGGAACTCAGTAAGTATGTTAGGCTGACTGGCAGATGAGCCCCACTGATTTTGGGAGGGCAGGGGCTGGCTCCACCTTCCAGGTGCACATGCCACCGTAACCCTGTAGTTTGGTTTTTTTTTTTCAACATGAGTTTGGGGCATCAAATTCAGATCTTGATGCTTTCAAGGCAAGCACTTTACTGGCATCTATCTTCCCAGCCCCTGCTTTGCCGTTCCATACAAGGGGCTTGATCATCTACAGATTTGAGGACCCCTGTGGTCCTGGGATCAGATTCTCTCAGGCACTGAGGAACAACTAAATCCATTAGTACCTTAAGTCTATAAGATTATCACTGTCTTCAGATGAAGAAATCAAGGCTCACACTAACTTTAGCAAAGCCACATGGCAGGTAGTGGCCAAGATGGGCTTAGGACCTAGCTCTGTTCCTCTCTGTATCACAATGCCTTGGGAGAGGATGAAGAACTTGGGGCACTTTGTGTAATGCTATTTCTCTCTGTGGAGCTCAGGCTGCACACCCAGAAGCTTACACCTGAGTGAGGGGAAGTTTGTTTACACATAGAAAATGATGACAGTGTCTTCACTTCTGCAAAGAAAATCTATGACCTGGAGTTTCCTGTTTTCTAGGCTGAGTGGCCGAGCATGCATAAGGCCCTTGGTTCAATCCCTAGCATTGGAAGAAAAAAAAGAAAAGTTCAAGAAAAAAAATACCTGTGGAGTTTCTTACCTTGAGTTGACATAGGTTAGTATCCATGATATTTTTTTTAATGATAACCTGAACCTTCATACCATGGAGATAACTTGCCGTGTCAACATGGAAGCCTGGTGTCGCCAGATTTTCCCATGGTTCAAGAGATGGAAATTTAGGATCTCATGTGAAGTCTCCACATTTTAAAATGTTAACTCACATTGTATAAGTGAGCTAAACTGAAATAAGTGATTTGAAGATTACTGTAGTCTCCACCCTATGGTGTAGGTTTTCATGAAGTCTTGTTAGGCTCTGGGTTTGCTGTTCATGTGTCTCTGGGGAGTCCCCTCTGGTGGGTGGGGAAGACCAGGCATCAGAGCCAGGGGATGCTGAAATTCTGACATAATCTTCCCTGAATGCATAATGGTTCCTAAGCTCTACTATAACCGAGACCAGAGGCAACTCACGGCTATGGGCTTTGCTCTTATTTTCTTGAATTGTCTCCAACTGGATGCTGGTGCTGGCGGCCTCTGTAGTCCCATTCTGAGGAAGGGTTGTAGTCAGGGGGTTTGCCAGTGGCACTGGCTCCTTCTGGACCACAGGCTCATGACGAGTAAACCAAGTCAGGCGGCTGACCTGAGAAGCAGAGGCAATGTGAAACTCAGATGGAAGCTGCCATTTTTCCTCCCTTCCCCCAACCCAGCATCTACCTCAGCCTTCATGTTGGACACCGACTGCTCATGGTGTGCCTTCTCCTCCAAGCAGCTTCAATTCCCTCCACTCCTCAGAGCCAAAGGTTGTACCTTTTTCTTGCTCCCCTGTCCTCTGATAGCCCTCCTCTGTCCTAGCCCTAGGGTACTGTGTGAGCCATAGACTTGGCCCTTCAGCTCAGCCTTTCTTCTGGTTCAAGAACAAGGTCGCACCTGAGCTGATTGGAGCTGCTAAGAACCAGGATCAGGACTGCTTATGGCTTTACTTAATGGCAGCTTAAAAAAAAAAAAAAAAAAAAAAAAAAGGTAGGGGGCACAGCCCTCGGAACTCCTTGGCCTGAGAATTGAAGCAGAAATGAGAAATGGAGTCTGATGATCTTTTCTGAGTTCTGCATCGACATGTCCCCAAAGCCCCACTCTGGACTTTCTGAACATTCAATTATCTTGCTTAAGCCCAGAGTCCCCATTCTGTCCCTTTTGGTGTGTCTCAGAGGCTGTGCCTGTCAACCCAAATGTACCATCTCTTTGGAGGGTGTTTCTGTGAACCAGCTCACGGTGATCACAGTGATGAGGGTGGCAGAAGACAGAATCATGGAGAAGTAGAGATAGTGGACATCCTTCACCACAGCTGGGCGATCATCGGGCTGGTCACACCGAGGCTGCACGTAGATAAAGTCCAGGACCAGCCTGACCAATCCTAGCAGCAGGCCCAAGATCAGACCTGAGAAGGCACCCTGCAAAACCAGAGTAAAGCCATCTTAAGGACGCCAAGGGCACCAAAACTTCAAGAAGCCATTTCAAGAGCTTGTCTTTCTTATGATGCTCACTATATTGCAAAGATGTGGAACTATATACCTGTTCATCTTCTACAAATACAGTCAGCCTTTGGTATCCTAAAGGGTCAGGACCCATAGATAACAAAGTCCATAGCTGTTCAAGTCCCTTGTATAGAATGGCATAGTGTTTGCATGTGGCCTATGCGTATCCACTTACATAATTTAAATCGTCTTTAGATACATATAATTTACATATAATACCCAGTGCAATGTGAATATTATGTAAATAGTCAGTGCACTATATTATTTAGAGCAGTGGTTCTCAACCTTCCTAATACTGTGAACCTTTAATATAATTCCTCATGTTGTGGCGACCACAAAATTATTTTCATTGCTACTTCATAATTTTTTTTGCTATTGTTATGAATTTTAATGTAAATATCTGTTTTCTGATGGTCTTGGGCAACCCCTGTGAAAGCGTCATTTGACTCCCAAAGGGGTCATCACCCATAGGTTGAGAACCATTAATTTAGAGGTTAATATCAGAAAAAAAAATGTCTGTACTTGCTCAGTAGGGACACAACTTTTTTTCCTTTCAAATATTTTTATTCTGCTGTTGGTTGAATCTGGTTGAACTCACAGATGCAGATGCCCAACTATAATGAACTGATTACATATGACACACTCACTCCTTTCTAACTTGGCTTCTCTAGTGCTGGCAAGAGTGTGTCATGAAGCCAAGTATGGTGGTTAAAACCTGTAACACCCATAATCAGGAAGATTGTGAGTTGGAGGTCAACCTGAGTGTGGTAGTTAGGTTTGTCAACTTGACAGAACTTAGACTCACTTGAGAAAAGAGGCTCAGTGAGGAACTGTCTTGACCAGGTTTGTCTGTGGGTCTGTCTGTAGGATTGTCTTGAGGTAGGAAGACTCATCTTGAAGGTGCAGCACATTTCCTGTTCTGGGGCCCAGGGCTGTATTAGAGCAGGCGGCTAGCTGGACACTCAGCATGTGTATATCATCTTCTCTGTGGTGGTTTGAATGAAAATGGACCCATAGGCTCATAGGGAGTGGCACTATTAGGAGGTGTAGCCTTGTTGGAGTAAGTGTGGCATTGTTGGAGGAAGTGTGTCACTGGGGGCGGGCTTTGAGGTCTCAGATGCTCAAGCCAGGCCCAGTGTCTCACAGTCTCTTCCTGCTGCCTGCAGATTCGGATATAGAACTCTCAGCTACCTCTCCAGCACCATGTCTGCCTGTGCTTCCCACCATGATGACAATGGACTAAACCTCTGAACTGTAAGCCAGTCCCCAATGAAATGTTTTCCTTTACAAGAGTTGCTGTGGTCATGGTGTCTCTTCACAGCAATAGAAACCCTCAGACACTTCCTATTCTTGACTGGATGTGATGTGACTGCCTGCTTCAAGCACTTGCTACCTTGACTGTACTGTAGTAACGGACGGTGACCTGGAACTGCAAGCTCATACTCTTTCTCCTCTAAGTTGCTTTTTTGCCAGGATGTTTTAACACAGAAATAGAAATGTCCTACATAGGAAGGCCCTGACTCAAAACAACAAAACACATAAAGACACATCTGAGAACGCCCATCACATCTTTTCAAAAGCCTGACGGCCCCTTCCTACGTGTTCCCACACAGAGCTCGTTCTCCCTAGTGACACTAGAGTCTAGCCCACACAGGCAGACCATTTCCCACCATTTCTCCCAGTGTTCATTGGCAGCACCTGGGTATTGTGTTGCCGATCCAGATTTACCTTTTCATTGGTACGCTTCCAGAAACATCCCATAATGAAGACCACAGCCACCGGTGGCTGTAGGTAAGAGCTGATGGATTGAATGTAGATGAAAAGCTGGCCTCCCTGGCTGGCCTGCACCACAGGGATCCAGAGGATGGAGACCAACACCAGCACAAGCACAAACACCCTGTGAGGAGAGAGGGCAACACAGCTGTCTCCTCTGAACACCTGCTTTCCTCCCTTTATTGTACGGCTTCACTGAGCTGTAAGTTACATGAGACCCATCAGTCCTGAGTGTATGATCCAGTATCCTTCACTAAATCTGCAGAGTCGTGCAACCCAAACGACCATTGACATTGAGCACACCCATCATGCTGAAATGTTCCCTCCCAGAATTTACAGTTTATTCCTCCTGCCTCTGAGTAGTCATGAATATGCTTGCCCCCTCTGTGTTCACCTTTCCTGGAGCTCCCTACAAATGCTCTCTGCCATACGGAATGTGACCTTCAGCTGCTGGCTCAGCTGCATATTGGTCTTTGAGGTCCATATAAGGGGTAACACATATCCATATTTCATACTCCCTTCCTTTTCTGAGACAGGGACTGTCTGTGTAGCTCAGGCTGACTTTGAATATATGACCCTCCTGCCTCTGCCTCCCAAGAGCTGGGATTACATGCATGTGCTAACTCACCAGGGTATTTCATTGAGTTTTAAAAAAAAAAATTATTGGGGCTGGGGAGATGGCTTGGTGGTTAAAACACAGGCTGCTCTTCCAGAGGACCTGGGTTCAAGTTCCAGCTCCCACATGGCAGTTCACCACTGTCTGTACCTACAGTTCCAGGAGATCCAATGCCCTCTTATGGCCTCCAAGGGCACCAGGCACACACATGGTGCACAGACATACATGTAGACCAAACAGTCATACACAGTAAATAAATCTTTAAAATTCTTATTTTGAGCCAGGCATTGGTGGCACACTCTTTAATCCCAGCACTCAGGAGGCAAAGGAAAAAAACAAAATCTTACTTTGTAGGGGGCATTCAGGGTGCATGGCCCTCACGTGGAGGTCAGAGAACTTATGGGTTCTCTTCTTCCACCAGGTGGTGCCTGGGAATCAAACTCAGGCCATCGAACTTGGTAGTAAACGCCCTCACCAGCTAAGCCAGCTCACCAGACCATTTCATCGCTTCTGAAAAGTGCTGTATCATGAACACACCGTTTCTTCCCACTGCTTGTCTTCCACCAGTTGATGAAAGAATTTCTGCCCCCTTCTTTGCAACTGTAAACGACTTGTGTAAACGTCTGTATCCGGGTCTTTGGACATATGTTCTCATTTCTAGGAGTGCAAACTGTCGAATCATCTAGTAAGTTTATGCCTAACGTTTTGAGGAACTGTAGGACAGGCTTTTAAATAGAATCATTCATAGTCCCATCTGTACTGTATAGGAGTTCTAGTATCTCCACTTTTTTGTCTCTTTTTGTTTAAAAATTTTTTTTTTGGAAACAGGGCCTCACTGTGCATCTTAGACTGCCTAGAACCTGCTGTGTGGTCCAGGCTGGTTCCACACTCAAGGTCTTCCTGCATCAGCTTCCCAAGCGCTGGCATGACAGGCATGCACCACTGTGCCTGGCTGTTACTGGCGTTCTAGTGGGGAGAAGTGGTACCTCATGTAATAAATGATGCTGAGCATCTTGTCACGGGCTTGCAGCCATTTCTACATCTTCATTGGTGAAATGTCTGTTCCGCTGTTTTGGTGGTTGGTCACATTATGTTCCAAGAGTTCTTTACATTTTCTAGATTCTTTTTTTTTTTTTTAAAGATTTATTTATTATGTATACAGTGTTCTGCCTGCACACATCCCTGCAGGCCAGAAGAGGGCACCAGATCTCATTACAGATGGTTGTGAGCCACCATGTGGTTGCTGGGAATTGAACTCAGGACCTTTGGAAGAGCAGCCAGTGCTCTTAATCTTTGAGCCATCTCTCCAGCCCCCATTTTCTAGATTCTTAAGCATGTAATGTGGCCTGCAAATAATTTCACCAATCTGTGGCACATCTTTAGATTTCTTTAACGGTGTCTTCTCGAGTGGTCAAGTGCAGTGCATCTGGCTTTCCTTTAGTGGGCTAACATTCAGGGTCATGTCTAAGCACTCTTTCCCTGGACGATGGCTGAGACATCCCTCTACATGCATCTTTTTGAGTGACAGGAGCAGCTTTTTTGTGTCTATTTTCATGACGCTCATTTCTGCTCTCTTACTAGACTTCAGGACTTTGTAGGAGTCTTGGAATAGAAATCAGTCCCCCACACTCCAGAAACCTGCCCCTACCCCACCCCTGTCTTACCCAGCTACCTCCTACCATCCCCCAGATCCCAACCCAGATTGGTGCTTCCCATCTGAATGTCTAGGTCTCCTGATTCCCAGTTGGAACACTCATCAGGGCTTTGATTGTCTGCTTGACTTTTCCTTCCCCTACTTCCAGCACCATGCCAACAGACACACTTCTTTTAGTTCTGTGTTCTACTACTAGAGGACTGATTTTAAATACTGGAACCTTTTTAAAGTACTGGGGTTTTTTTTGTTTTTTGTTTGTTTGTTTGTTTGTTTTTGTTTTTTCCAGACAGGGTTTCTCTGTGTAGTTTTGCGCCTTTCCTGGATCTCGCTCTGTAGACCAGGCTGGCCTCGAACTCACAGAGATTAGATCCGCCTGCCTCTGCCTCCCGAGTGCTAGGATTAAAGGCATGCACCACCACCGCCTGGCTCTAAAGTACTGTTTTAAGTCCTAGAACACAGCAGGTGTTCACAGGACATCTCTTGAATGTATGACTAACTCATGCGGAGTTCCTGCTCCTTGTTGTCAACAGCAGAGGCTGAGCAAGCTTGGGCACATTGGCTTTGCCTGTCTGTGAGCTCAATTCCCTCCTTGCTAGGTGTCCGGGCTTTTCACTACTCTCTATGGCCTTACCTGCCCACAATCATGAGCTCCCTTTCAGATGCCCGTGGCCGGATGTTGGTCCACAGGTCCATGGTGAAGATGGTGCTGGCGCTGTTAAAGATGGAGGTGAGGGAGGACATGAGAGCCGCCACCATCACAGCCATCATGAGCCCACGGAGTCCTGGGGGCAGAAGGGAGGTCTATAGGCCTTGGGCTTTCTCCTGACAGCTTCTGCCTTCTCTTGTGACCCTGTCACCCCAGGCCTAAAGCTAGCTGATCCCGATGGTTCAGCTCTGAGGTAGACCTGCTGGTGGGGTAGTCAGACAAGACTTTGTGGGCCTCCCAAATTCTGGCCTTTGGGTGCCTGTAGCTCTTACATCTTGTCCCTACCTCAGATCAGCACCCAGGCACTATCCTCTTTTCTAGGTGGTCCAGGAGACTAAGTATAGGGGTGAGGGGACATTACCTGTGGGCAAAAGTTCCAGCACAAGTTTAGGATATGCGATGTCTGAACAGCCAGAGGGATTGCTACAGACCTGCTGGCAGATGTCAGGATGAGCACAGGCCACTTGATCTATGGAGGAAATGTAAGCCCAAAGTGAGGCAGACAGGTCCTGAGCCCGGGCCTGGCTACAATTGTGCCAGAACCAGACCAGCACCAAAAGAAGGGTCTATGAGCTTATAGCTGAGAGAAATAGAAAAGAGCCTCAACTCCATGCCCCTTCAGGTTTCTGAGCTCCTGCTGCCCATCTATAGAACTGGGTGATGACATAACTACCTCGTAACATTAGCATGACTGCTGTCTGAAACCACACTGCTAAGAAACTGTTCCATAAGGTTAGAACGACGGGGCTGGCAAGATGTTTGGTCAGTGCTGACAAGGCTGGCAACCTGTTTGATCCCCAGATCCCATGTAGTGGAAGGAGAGAACCAAAGCCCATGTGTGGTCTCTGACCTCTACATGAATTTCATAATGCATGCACACTCATGCACGCATGCGTGTGCACATGCGTGCGCGCGCACACACACACACACACACACACACACACACACACACACACACACACACACACACTTGCCCCCACTCCACCCCCCATATACACACAGTTCAGAAGTTAAATGAAGGGCCGGCAAGCCCGATGACCTTAGTTCAATCCTAATGTGCAATATTATAGAAGGAGAGAACTGACTCCTGCAAGTTGTCCTCTGACCTCACACAGGTGACATGGCACACTTGCATGCCTATGTGTGCGCGCACACACACACACACACACACACACACACACACAAATAACGATTAAAAAATAGGTCAATGGAACCAGGCAGTGATGGCATATGCCTTTAATCCCAGCACTCAGGAGGCAGAGACAGGTGGATCTCTGTGAGTTCGAGGCCAGCCTGGTCTACAGAGCAAGTTCCAGGACAGCCAGAGCTACACAGAGAAACCCTGTCTTGAAAAACCTAATAATAATACTACTACTAATAATAATAATGTCAATGGAAAAAAAGAGTATGACAATTGCCTGAGATAATGCACATTAAAACTTCAGCCCAAGTGTGATCATACATGACATAGTAAAAACACATCACCATTTTCATTGGACCCCAAAGAGAGCTGTGACACCTAATAGCCAGTCATGGGTAGAGTCCTACCTCAGACTTCATCTTCTCAGCTGCTATGGGGACAGTGATTCACAGTGATCTACAGTGAAGTCCCTCCATGATACTTTTTAAAAAATGCTTAACTTTTTTCTTCTTGGCATTGGATCCAGAACTCAGGGCTTTGTGCACACTGGGTGCCCACTCCACTGCTACTGAGATGCATGCCGGCCCTGTCGGTACTTTCAACCCCCCTCCTCCCCTGCCTCCCACAGCTGTTCTAGGGTTCTGGTGCCACCCACTGCTCATGTTAGATTCAAGCTCATTGTGAGTTTCAAACCCTGAGGATCTTTTCTCTCTTAGAAAAAATACTGTATTTTCAAATTATATGTCCATGTATGTGTCTGTGTATGGTCTTGTGTTCGTGAATGCAAGTGTCCACAGAGGCCAGAAAGGGGCATTGGGTGTCCTGGAGCTGGAGTTACAACAGGCAGTTGTGAGCTGCCCAGCCTGGGAGCTGGGAACTGAACTCAGGTCCTCTGGAAATGCATTAAGATCTTCGGTAGGAACCACCTCTCCAGCCCCTTCTTTCTGCATCTTTTTTCAGTTCTTTCCTCTCCCCAGCAGTTCTCTGGTCTCTCCAGTGTGAAGTTGCCCACCCATCCTGGTTCTCTGGTCTCTCCAGTGTGAAGTCGCCCACCCATCCTGGTTCTCTGGCTCGTCTCCACAGTGCACCTCTGCTGTTGCTAGGGTGTGGTTTGGGTTCATGTGTTGGGTGTTTTGGTCCTTAGTGTGGCAATATTGGGAGGTGGTGGGGGCCCTTTAAGAGGCGGAGCTTAGTAGGAGGTCCTGAGGTCATTGGGGGTGTGTCCCTCAGAAGGGGTTAAGACTGGGGTTAAGACTGGGCTCAGGAGATGGCTCAGTCAGTCACATGCTTGCTGAACAAGCTTGGGAACTAGAGTTGAGCTCCCAGCACCCATGTGAAAAGCTTGGCACCGTGGGGCACACTGGTAATGCCAGCATAGGAACGAGGGGTAGGAAAGCAGATAGGAGAATCCCTGGAGCTCACTGGCCAGCCATCCTAGCCAATCAGTGAGCTCCAGGTTCACTGAGAAGCCCCGTCTCTACTAAAATAAGATAGCAACTGAGGAAGACACTTAGTATCATCTTTTGGCCACCACATGTACATGCACACATATGTATGTGTGCCTACACACACACGCAAAAACTTATCCACCCATATGTCACATACATACACATTCCACCCCTCAGAAAAATCAAGGGCTTTTGAGGAAACCAGCGGAGAAGAAAACACTCAACATTCTCACTGCTGGAGCCCAGAAGCCTCCCATTGCTGAAGTTTAAACCTGTGTGCCTCACTCTGTTCTGGGGAAGCTCCCCTTCTCCACGCAGACTGAGAAGGAGCAGGGTCCTCTCACGGACATTTAACCATTAACTACAAAGGGTTTTTCCTGCTAAGAATGCAACCTTCAAGCATGCGACACCTGACTGGAGCAAAGTTTACACGTTCAGTGAAGAACGCAGTGTTCTTCCTAGAGTATGTTCGGGGCCAGGGAAGTGGCCTGTTGGGAAAGCGCTTGCTTCACAAGCATGAGGACTGAGTTCAGGTGCCCAGCACCCATATGAGGCTGAGCACAGTGCAGGTCTGTAATCCAAGAGCTGAGGAGGCAGAGACAGGCAGATCCCTGGGGTTCAGTGTCCCCTAGTCCAGCTGAATCAGTGAGCTCCAGGGTCAGTAAGACCATTTCAGAAAGTAAGGTAGAGAGTGCTAGAGATCAACCATTGCTGCACACACGCATGCCTGCACACACACACACACACACACACACACACACACACACACACACACACACACTAAAAGAGAGAGAGACAGAGACAGAGAGAGACAGAGACAGAGAGAGATTGTTCACCTTGGTGAAATTAATTGGTTCAACTAAGTTTTTGTTTTGTTTTTGTTTTTCAAGACAGGATTTCTCTGTGTAGCTTTGGTGCCTTTCCTGGAACTCACTCTGTAGCCCAGGCTGGCCTCGAACTCACAGAGATCTGCCTGCCTCTGCCTCCAGTGTGCTGGGATTAAAGATGTGCGCCACCACCGCCCGGCCTTTCAACTAAGTTTTAATTGACTCCAGCAGCCCTGTGATAATTAACACACCATTCAATAACATTGTTACCTGTTAATTAACCAAGAATTTATATGTAACAAGTTTGCTTGATGCAGACCTCATCCCCACCCATCTTACAGATGAGGAAACAAAGGAAAGAAAGGTGAAATGATGTATTCAAGGCCACGTAGCTCCTGCGTGGCAGAGCTGAGGCTCAAGCACAGGTAGTCTAGAACAGAGCCCACCACCAGCCCCTGTCTGTCCTCTACAACAGAGCCCACCACCAGCCCCTGTCTGTCCTCTAGAACAGAGCCCACCACCAGCCCCTGTCTGTCCTCTAGAACAGAGCCCACCACCAGCCCCTGTCTGTCCTCTAGAACAGAGCCCACCACCAGCACCTGTCTGTCCTCTAGAACAGAGCCCACCACCAGCCCCTGTCTGTCCTCTAGAACAGAGCCCACCACCAGCCCCTGTCTGTCCTCTAGAACAGAGCCCACCACCAGCCCCTGTCTGTCCTCTAGAACAGAGCCCACCATCAGCACCTCTCTGTCCACAGGGACTTGCCCTTAGCAGGCACGCAGTCAGTGTGGTCCCTTTAAACCATGCCTGTTGTTATCTGTCAGGCTTTACAGCAGTCACGTGCTTTTCCATCAAGTCACTAAGAAGCCAAGATCTCAGATCTTGCCCCCTCACGCTTTTCCCAAGCTGTGTGCCCCCTGCGTGGAGACATGACCCATGATCCCCATCTGGGTTAAAGAGGCAAGCTTTCAGAATTCAACACCATGGTCGGTGTCCTTCCCCCAACTCCCCCTTAATTCCTAAAGATTCTGAATGATTTCCACCTAACTGGACTGGCTAATGAATGGTCATTCACCCTATTTTTTTTTTTTTTTGAGACAGGGTTTCTCTATATAGTTCTGGCTGTCCTAGAACTCATTCTATAGACCAGGCTGGCCTCAAATTCACAGAGATCCACCTGCCTCTGCCTCCCGAGTGCTGGGATTAAAGGTGTGAGCCACTACTACCCAGCCATCCTACTCTTCCTTTGCATCTATAACTTGGTGGTTCTCAACCTTCCTAACGCTGTGACCCTTTAATACAATTCCTCATGTTGTGGCGACCACCACCACAAAATTTTCATTTCGACTTCATAACTGTAACTTTGCTAATGTTATCAGTCATAATGTCACATAATCTGATACGCAACCCTAGTGGGGTCACGACCCACATCTTGAGAACCACTAGTATAACCTGTGGGGATGAGGAACAAGAGGATGCTTTCTGGGAGGATCTGATTTATGGTCTTGGTGCTTACAGAGGAATGCTCACTGCTTAAAGAAGAAACAGGTTTGTTCTGTGCAGATCACCAGCTCCTGACACCAGAGACTCCTGGTCACATCACCTACGAAGTATTGTTTATGTATATGTAGAAGCCTCTTGACTGCATTGAAAGAGAAAAAGCTAGCCAAACATGGTAGTGCACACCTGTAATCCCAGCATTTGAGAGGCAGACATGGGAGCATCATAAGTTCAAGCCCAGCCTAGGCCACATAAGCTCCTGCATGTGTGTGTGTGTGTGTGTGTGTGTGTGTGTGTGTGTGTACATGCACTCCTGTAGAGTTATTTATGTCCCCTGATATTTCCTGTCACAGGAGGCCAAAGTTACCAGAACACTGAGCTTGAGCCCTAAAGCATGGGCACATGACTTGTCTTGTGGGAGTAAGCGTGTGGAACCACAGAACCTTGGACTAGTTTGTGGTTTGAAGATACAGTGGAAGACTCCCAGGAAGCATCCACTCCCTCATCTTGGAATACCAGTGGGTCTTGTCTGCTGAGTCAGTGCTGGACAGCAGCATGAAGTAAATAGATGGATGGGAACCCTCTATCTAGTCACCAGGCCGGGACTCTAATCCTACTCTTGTGGGACATTGAGTGACACATTGAGAACATTACCTAGAGCCTGAGACTTGCGGACAAACAGACGACCTTTGCCCCCAGCAACCTGCTCACCTGGAAAGAGGACTCTGCTGACCATACCAGGGAACACCATTAGGAAAAGAGGAAGCACTTTCAGGTACGCTGCCATCAGGGAACCTCCTTTGGCATGAGACAGGTTCTTGGCAGCCAGGCTCCGCTGAACAATCACCTGGAGCAGGGTGAAGGGGTTGGAAGCTGAGGACGGTTTGCTCGCTGGCCCTGTGTAGCTTCGCAGTAGCCCTGGTGGAACTGAGGCCTGGGTCTGCCTGCCTTGCTTATAAGAAAGCATTTCTCCTCACCTTTATCCCAGGTCCAACTGGGGTGGCCATCACTGTCCCCTCCCTATTATATACAGACCCTGTCAGGTACAGTTCACTCCAGAATTAATCCACTTCTTTGGCTACCAGAGTTAGGTAAAAGCATGTACTGAAGACAATCCAGTTTAATCTCTCAGTAGAACAACTTCTTATTTAACAAAAAAAAAAAAGGCAAAGGGCAGATGGAGAGATGGCTGAGCGGTTAAGAGTGCTGGCTTCTTTTTAGAGGAACCATGGTTGGTTCCTAGCACTCACTTGCTGCCTCACAACCATCTGTAACTCTGGTCCCTGGGGATCTGACGCCTTCTCGCATCTACAGGTACCCAGGTACACACACAGTACACAGACATACATTCCGGCAAACATACATAGACATAAAATAAAAGTGAATAAATGCTTAGAAGGGCAAAGGAAAGAGGTGACCTGCAAGGAGAGCCTCCGGTGGGGTTGCTAACTGTGGAGGTGACACGGACTGGCAGTCTGCACCCTGACGTCACATGGTAAGGCTCTCTGAGAATGAAGTGACCTCGGAAAACAGAGAGGCAGAGAAAGAGAAAGGGCTTCCAATGGTGTGGGATGAGTCCTTCCATTTAGCTCTGGCTACAGAATGCACTTTAGAGGTGGAGATAGCCAGCCTGGGTTCAAATCCTGTCTCCTCACTGCCTGGCTGTGTGAATCTGAGCACCGGGTGTCACCTCTAGCCTTAGGGTTCTCATTGACCAAATGGGGCTAATACTAGGCTTGTTTTGAAATTAAGTAAAGCAGGCCAGGCGGTGTTGGTGGCAGCGGCACACATCTTTAATCCCAGCACTCGGGAGGCAGAGGCAGACAGATCTCTGTGAGTTTGAGGCCAACCTGGGTTACAGAGTGAGTTCCAGGAAAGGCACAAAGCTACACAGAGAAACCCTGTCTTGAAAAACAAAAACAAAAAGCAAGAAATTAAGTAAAGCGGAAGCATTTGGAATACTTAGGATAGCATCTAACACATAGTAATTTCTCATAGATAATAATTGCCATAATTTGTCTCTAGCTTTCTAGGCATGGAAGGGCTTTTTTAAAATATCCTTTTGTGTTTAAATTATTATTTTCCTTACTAAATTTAGTCTTCACTCAATCAACACCCTTAATAAGAAGGATGTCTGATGGGGGAATGTCTTTTTGTATGCTGTGAAAATATGTTGCTCTGATTGGTTGATAAATAAAGCTGTTTGGCCAATGGTGAGGCAGAATAGGGATAGGTGGGACATTCTAACTAGAGAGGAGGAAGGAGAAAGGCAGAACAGAGGGGACGCTGCCAGCTGCAGCCATGAGAAGCAAGATGTAAAGATAATGGTAAGCCATGAGCCACGTGGCAAAGTACAGATTTATAGAAATGGGTTAATTTAAGATGTAAGATCTAGGGCTGGAGAGATGGCTCAGAGGTTAAGAGCACCGACTGCTCCTCCAGAGGTCCTGAGTTCAAGTCCCAGCAACCACATGGTGGCTCACAACCATCTGTAATGAGATCTGGCGCCCTCTTCTGTATACATAATAAATAAATAAATCTTTAAAAAAAAAAAAAAAAAAAAAAAAAAAAAAAAAAAAAAAAAAAAGATGTAAGATCTAGCTATCGAGAAGCCTGAGCCAGTAGGCCATACAGTTCGCAATTAATATAAGCTTCTGTGTGTTCATCTGGGTCTGAGCAGTTGCAGGACCACGAGGCCGTAGGAGCTGGGCGGGCACAGGAAAACTTTCAGCTACAGATGTCCAGAGATGGGGTTTATTCACCTCTGTACCACTCCCCTGAGTTCTGTTAGATTTCACAGTACACTGTGCACAAATATGAGGCAAAAGAGATGCCACTTTGAGGCCTATTTCTCTGAAGAGCCTGAACCTCATCAGATGACTTCCAGAGGTTTCACAGTTAAACACAGAATGCTCTCTAAAGATACAACTGCAGAAATAGTGACAGATATTGAGCCCGGGGACAAGTGTTGGGACTCAAGGGATTCATCCATTCAGAATTCACAAAAGCCCTGGTCATGACCGGGACATTAGCAGTCTGTGACTTTCAGATTCTGAAAACGATAGAAATTGTAGCAATTGAGTGGTTCTTTTGTTTTTGTTTGTGGGGGGTGGGGGGAGGGGGTCAGAGAGCAACTTTGGTCAGGTCCCTCCTCAGCCACTTTTTCTTGCAACCCTATTTTAAATTGCATTTCCCTCACTCTCGGACTTCTTCTGCCTCACCCTCCTTTTTAAAAGGTGACACCCTTTAATGTCTCACAGGAGATGCTTATTTATCATCTCTCTGTCTCTCCCAGGCAGTAGCAGGGCAGCTCCATATGGGCTCCAGATTGCTCAAGTACCCAGAGGCGCATCTGGGGTGTCTGCTGGACAAATGACGTGCGTTGCAAATCATGAAATGAAATGTATCATCTCCTTCATACGATTGAGTTTATGACTGACTCTTCCCAGGCAAGCAGGGTATGTTAAGTTCCCCCTTTTGCAAAAATCAGCAGCTCCAGACTCACCATTAGCATTTGCAAGAGTAAGAAGCAAAACATCAGGCTGAGTAGAGGAGAGGATGGAAGGAATGGGGGTATGGGGACAGAGGAACACACACAGCAAAGTCACTCCACTGAAGTCAGCCAGCCTGGCAAAGAAGCATCAGGGAGTCAGTCAGCTCTCATACCTGATCTGTGCACCAGTACCAGAGAGATGGGACGGACATTCCAAATAGGATCCCAGGCCAGGGGAGGTCAGAGGTCACTGGGTCTCGGAAGATGTGGAAGGCATCTTCTCGGGGCAGCCCACAGCTGCTGTTCTCACTCCGGTTACTAGCCAGGGCTGAGAAGTACTGGTCCTTCAGGCCTTCCATCCCACCAACAGCTGCAAAACCTAGGATGCAGAGGAAGTCTAGGGTTGCCAGGAGTTCGTGGAGCCTGCAGCAAGGTAGAGGCAGATGATGGCCTAGTTGGGGCGGAGCTACTGAGGAACAGTGTCCCCTTAAGGGTTCTTAACCTCTGTCCTTTTTCTCTTGTGCCTTTGATAGCTACTGTAGATGGTGTCTCAGAATAACTTCTCTCTGAAATTTATTTATTTACAAGCAGAGACTTGGGTGTGTGGCTGTATTCATGTGCACATGCCACAGTGTGTGTCAAGGTTAGATCGGAGGGCAACTTGTAGGAGTCAATACTCCTTCCACTGTGAATTCCAGAGATTGAGCTCAGATCATCAGGCTTGGCAGCAAGTGTCTTTATGAATCATCTCACTGACTCTGACTACCAACTCTAAATGCATAATATAAAGCACAGAGGATTGTGTATACACACACACACACACACACACACACACACACACACACACACACACGGAGGTATTCAGATCACAGTGGGCTGGGGAGATGGCTCAGAGGATGAAGTCCTTGCTTCACAAACATGAGGACAAAAACAAAGGTAGAAAGGGATTGAGGAAGACACCTAACATCAGCTTCTGACCTCCACATGCATGCTCATGAGCAAGCATACCCATAGACATGTACACATACACCACACACACACACACACACACACACACACACACACACACACACACACAGAGGCATGCATGCAGGCATAACACCCACACACATAAAAGAGATTAAAATTTTTTTGAGAACAGATAGATCACAGCAGCTAGAACAGTTGGGTATAGAATTGGAACAGGAGTGGGATCAAGCTTCCTAAAGTTAACACTGAATCACTTGGTGATTATTGAAGTACAGACTATGGGCCAGAGGGAAGGCTGGCACCTGGGATTCTATCTGATTATTGAAGTGAGGATTCTGATTCAGCAGATCTGGCTGGCAGCTGGAATTCCTTTTATGAGCTTCAGGGTGACACTGAGGTTGCTGGCCATGGATAACACTGAGTAGCAACAGTGTAGGCACTATCAGGGTACCAAATGAAGTTCCACTTTGGTAAGGAATAATGGTTTTGAATTTTAGTTTTAATCTACTCAACTCCTTTCCTGGTCATTTTTCCAGGTCTTTAAACAGCCAATCATATCAGTATCTGTAAATAACTTTACTTGTTGATTTCAATAGGTATCTTATATTTTATATGTCATGAAGTAATGAGAACATTCCTTTACTTAGGAAGGCTTCTAGTGTCAAGTGGTCTGGCTTCTTCTTTAGGAATAAGATTATCAAGGTTTCCTATTTTATCCTGAGTCAAATTTAATGTCACACTCTGTATATGAGCAAGGCATGGTGTCTGTCTCTTGCCCTGGCTGTTTCCGATCATATGTCTGCTTCCTGACTGTAATGATGAAAACTTGTGTTCCACAAGGCTTTCCCCACAATAACAAACTGATATCTCTGAAACTGTAAGCCAGATCTGTGAAACAAATCTTTCCTGTTTCTAAGTTGTTCATGTCAGGCATGCCACAGGAAAGCTAACACAGACATTAAAGAAAAAAGAAGAAGAAGAAAAAAACTTCTGGAAAAGCAGACCCTATCACAGCACAGGTAATGCCCAAGACACCTGAAGCTGAAGGTCCACAAAAGGCAACCAGAGCAATCACTGAAAAATATAAACTCCACCTCAGCCCCTGACCAGATTGACCTCTCCATTAGCAACTTGACTAAAGAGCTATGCTTGTATCTGAACATAAACTCAATTTACCCCAATCTCACTGTCTTATATATTATGTCCAACATGGAAGACAATTATGAGTTACCCAAGAAAGAAAGAAAAATGACCTACCGTTATGAAACAAAGTGATAAAGGCAAACTGATAGGTGACCCAGATGTTGCAACTGTCAGACAGGAAATGAAAAATAACTGATTAATAGGTTATAGGCTGTAGTGGGAACATGGGCAGTATTCATGACTAGATGGACGATCTCAGCAAAGAGATACACAAGGCAGGACTGAATGGGACTGGGGGTGCAGTTCAGTGGTAGAGTGCATGCTTAGCGAGCGTGAGGAGGTGGGTTTGCTCCCCCAATAACTGAAAAGTGAATGAGAAGTGAATGAGAAGGGGGAGAGAGGAAAAGGTGAAAGGATATAGTGGAGATGGTAACAGAAATGACAAATCTCTCATCAGTCAGCCCATCAACAGACAACACAGCCAAAGAAGCCATCAGCAAGCTGGAAAACAGGTGAATAGAAATAACTCATTCCAAAATACAAAAGAAAAGAGGCCATGAGATGGTGTCATATGGGCAATTTGGTGACACTGGAGTTCCAAGAGTAAAAGACACTAGCCAGGTGTGGTGATGCACGCCTCTAATCCTAGCACTTAAGAGACAGAGGCAGGAGGGTCTCTGTGAGATGGAAGCTAGCCTGGTCTACATAGCAAGCCCGTGACAGCCCCAACTACACAGAGAGAGACCTTGTCTCAAAAAAAAAAATTGCAAGAAACAAACAAACAAAAAACAACAAAATGAAAGACTAAAAACACATTGATGGGAGGTGGAGATGAAGAAGAAGAAGAAGAGAGGAAGCAAGAAGAGAGGTGAGAAATTATTATTCTCAAAATGGCTATTAAATCACAATTCCCAAAATCTCAGGACTCTCAATCAGGATAAACACAACCCCCATTTTCATCTATCATACTAGAAATGCTGGGAATGAAAGGGAAAGGAACCGGGCACAGTGACTCATGCCTACTGTCCCTGTACTGGTGTGTGTGGGGGCGGGGGGCTAAAAGGAGGAGGGTCAGACATTCAGAGACAGCCTCAGCTACGCTGTCAGAAAAGGCAAAAGGTGTTAAACATTAAAAAATAAAAAAGATGAAGCAGAAACATTTCCATCAAGGCAACCAAAGTAGGGGGTTGGACTCACGGCACACAGAGGAATGAAAGTAAGAATCGCGGACCTCCCCACTGTGGTACGGGAGGCAGTAGAGGCTCCTCCAATGTACTGGGAAATCAAACCACAGCCGAGGTTATTATATACAGTAAAGGCATTTTTCAAAAGTAATCAATAAACAGGGATGTTTTCAGAGAGACGAAAATTTACTACAGGAGGGAGAGAAAATAGAAATGAAGAATTTTTTTTTTTCTCACAAGAATGCAGAACAGCCTGGCTAAAAGCTAGCAAGTGGTTTTGTTGTGTGAATCATGACACAAATGTATTACTCCATGGTTATTTCTTTGAAATCTCATTTAAAAGTCAAAAGTGACATCTGTCCAAAACACAGACATGTGCCCTGTGCAATGCTAAAAGCAAAACGTGCCTTTAGTATCCACTCCCAGGTGTCTCCACGAATGGCAGCAGTTTCACTTCCAGCGGCAAGATGATTGAGGTTTGAAGTCTGAAGGCACTTATCTAGATTTGAGGCCTAGCTTTGTGTTTGTTTTAATTTATTATGTCTATTTATGTTGCCCAGGCTGACCTTGAACGCATGGGTTCTCAAGTACCTGGACTGCATGTTTTCATCACCACACCTGACTGCACCTGTGCATCACCACACCTGACTGCACCTGTGCATCACCACACCTGACTGCACCTGTGCATCACCACACCTGACTGCACCTGTGCATCACCACACCTGGCTGCACGTGTTCATCACCACACCTGACTGCACGTGTGCATCACCACACCTGACTTCACGTATCACCACACCTGACTGCACCTGTGCATCACCACACCTGACTGCAGCTGTGCATCGCCACACCTGGCTGCCATCTTACTCTACCAGCCATGCTGTTTAGCAGTTATCACCTTGAGTTTTGCAATCTAAAAGAGTAACAGGTTAGGAAGAAGGCTCAGTAGCTAAGGCACTTGCCATACAAGTATGAGGACCAGAGCTTGGATGCCCAGAAGCCATGGATGAACTAGTTGGGTTTCACAACCCACCTGTAACGTCAGCATGTAATAGGCAGAGACTGAATCTTCGTAGCAGGCTGACTAGCCATACTAGAATTGTTCATGTGAAGAGATGTAGACACAAGATACTCAATGTCAGCCTTAGACTTCTACATACAAGTACATACACCCCCACATATATGCCCACACACAAGCAAATATGCATATATAAGTGCATGCAACACACACACACACACACACACACACACACACACACACACACACACACACGCAGAGAGAAAGAGAATAACCAAGATTCCTGATGTCACTGTCCCGAGCTTTACATGGACATATATCTAAATGTCACATGCTTTAGCATGTCATGTAAGACGGTGGTGGCCCTGGGTGCAGAGTACATGAAAACACTGTTCTGCTGTTATAGTCTTCAGTGTCTAAATAATCTCAAAAGGTCAAAAACATCACTGACTGTTAAAGTTATCCCTCCCTCCGTTTCATATATAAATGATTTATGCCAACATTTATCCATACCAGTATCAGAAAATATCAATTTTCACTTTGAAAATTAGTAAATCCATTGGTTATCCAATGCAAAGTGGTCATCCCTGAAATCATATACACACAAGCAATGAAAACAGACTTAACAGGTTGTATTTATATACATACATATATGTGTAACAATAATAAAGAAAAAGGTGCCGGGCAGTGGTGGCACACGCCTTTAATCCCAGCACTTGGGAGGCAGAGCCAGGAGGATCTCTGTGAGATTGAGGCCAGCCTGATCTACAGAGCGAGATCCAGGATGGGCACCAAAACTACACAGAGAAGCCTGTCTTGAAAAACCAAAAAAGAAAAAAGAAAAAGGGACCATAAATTTGAAAGGGAGTCGGGAGGGGCATATAGGAGGGGTTTGAGAGAGGAAAGGGAAGGGGGAGGTGATGTAATTATACTTTAATTTAAATTAAAAAAAAAGGAAATTAGTAAATTCCAGGGCTGGGGGTATGGCTATAACCCCAGAGCATGGGGAAGGGGGAGACAAGCGACTCCAGAGCACACCAGCCAGTGTAGGCCAATCAGTGAGCTCCAGACTCAGTGAGAGACTTTGTCTCCAAACATTAAGGTGGAGAGTAACTAAAGAACTCTGATGCCGCACATGCAAATGATCTCTCTCACTCTCCCCCCCCCCCCACACACACACACTGGAACAGGAGGGACCAGGTAGTAAGTAACTAAGCATGCGTCCTGATCCCTGAGTCTGCTTGTCAAAATGACGAAAGCCGCAGTCTCCACTTACTGTAGCCCATCAGGATGAATGCACCTATGAGCATGATCCCAGTCTGCAGCGCATCTGTGTAGATAACAGCAGCCAGACCACCTGGAGGGGGGAGCACAGAGTAGGGTCAGGTCACATGGGAGGATTGCTCTGAGTTGGAGGGAGCCTAGAAGGTGGAAATCCCATAGAGCTCTGAGAATTGAGGAGTCGCCCAGATGGCCACCTCAGCTGCTCCCTGTGCACTCTGAACATGTAACAGCACTGCTTTGCTGCTCCTTCATGGGGAGCTGAAGTTGATTTCTCTACTTCTGTGGTATAGGCCTGGTCCTGTGACTCGCTGTGATCAAAAGAATAGGGTGGACATGCTTGTATGTAGCTCCAGGCCTTCCCTCAGGGAGCTCTGGGACTTTGTTGCCCTAAGAACAGCATGCTTTAAGAAGCTTCAGAAACTGTGGTACCATGTGCCTGGAATCCTAGAATGTGGAAAGTGGAGACGGGAGAGGCAGGAGTACTGTGCTTGCTCATGGCCAGGCTAGGAAACATAAGACCACGTCTTCAAACAAGTCTAAGGTAGCTAGCTGGAAGGAACTGGGGGTGGGGGGTTAGAGCACTTGCCAAGCCTTAGGTTCAATCCCCAGCCACACTTAACTCATTGGAAGGGAAACTGCTCCCCACAGCCCAAGCTAACCACCTACCACACCAGGGAGGCCATCTGTTTCAGCCAGCTGTTCCAGCTGTCACTGAACTATAGTTCCACAAAGCCAGGTGAGACCATCAAATCAGCCATCCAGGCAACCCACAGACTATGGGGATTAACCGGCCATTGTTTAAGCCCCTCACTGTGTGGATACCTTGTTACATGGCATGTGGGTAGCTTGTTACACAGCAGTTCCTCAGTGATACAGGAAGTGGTACTTGGACTACAGGCCTAACTCTGAATGTTTTCCTTTTTTACTAAAAAAAAAAAAAAAAATTTAGATTAACATGCCAAATATTAGGTTTGACTATGGAATATTCAAATAGAATTAATTCTTAATTCTCCTCTCCCTCCCCCGCACGTCACCCTGGCCCCCTGTTAGCCACAGCTTCTTTTCTGCTTTCGTGTCCCATGTCCCTTTGCCTTCCTTCTTCCTTACTTCAGCTTTTCCTACATGAATACCTTCAACATTTGTGACGATTACTTTATAAGAATTATACTTTATTTCAAAATATTGAATTTCGTTTATTTGTGTGTGCATGTACGTGTGGAGATCAGAAGACAGCTTGAGGGACTCAGTATTTTCTTCCACCAGGTGGGGTCCAGGGCTTGGACTCACTCTGACAGATTTGGTGGCAAGCACCTTTCGCCCAGAGGCATCTCTCTGGTCCAACACCCTTATTTTTAAGGTTGGAAGAAGAATGTGAGTTCTAGGTATCCAGAACACCACCCAGGCTTCTTTAACACCATCATGGCTACCTAAGAGGATCCTCATTGAATTTGCCCTCCCAAAACATCTTTGTGGTGTTTGCAAGTCCATCAACATGGACAGAGTAAGATCCCAGCCTCTCCCCAGTGTCTCCCTCCATATGGGAAAGGAACATTGACCTGATACAAACGTGTTCACATGAGGGCAATTGCTATGCAATGAAGAAAAACATGGAGCCAGGTGTGGAGTAGCCAGGCGGTGGTGGCACACACCTGTAATCCCAACACTCAGGAGGCAGAGGCAGGTGGATCTCTGTGAGTTCCAGGCCAGCCTGGTCTACAAAGTGAGTTCCAGCACAGCCAGGGCCATTACACAGAGAAACCTTGTCTCAAAAAAAGAAAAAAGAGAAAGAAAGGAAGGAGAGAAGGAAGGGAGGAAGGAACGAAAGAAGAGAAAGAAAGAAAAACATGTAGAAGAATATGGTATCCTTAACGTCCCCTTCCTGGTCAGCAATAATGGAGCCCTCTTTCAAGTGACAGGGGACCTGGCTTACAATCCCACCCTAGTTCTCTGATGCCCCTTCAGTGAGCCAGAAGTCTTAAAAGCCCACAAATTTGGTACCGCTGAGCCCATCTTACTTCTATATCAAGACTTACTGAATATTGCCCACTTACCAGGCACTGTGGCACAATTAAAGACAATTAAAGATTTCATTTAATTGGTCACTGAATATCTGGAGAGCATGCTACCATGCTCTGTGTGCCCACCAAGTGGCATGTTCCTGCTCTCATAGAACCTCCAGCCTCACAGAGAGGACAGACTCCTCGAAACAAGGAACTGGCCATGGCAATTAGCTCCCTCTTCTGCTCCTGCTCTGAACACATGCCTTCCAGGAGGCTTTCTGTATCAGGGGCCTCTCACTGTGTGTCCCCTCCCTGATTAGAGTCTCCAGTGGTGTTCCATATCACTTGGAGCAAAATCCAGGATCCTCTCATTGCCTGCATAGCTCTGGTCCCTTCCCTGCCTCCTAGCTGGTTCCTATTCAGAGCGATTGAAGTTAGGGTCTGAGGAAACCCTTTAGTAGCGCCCCCTAGAGTTCAATGGATACAAGGCGCATTGTCATTGCCACTGACCCCCTTGCTAGTCCATGGCTGGGGGAAGTGTGCTTTCATTCCATAGGCCTTAGAATTGTCTTTCCCTCTGCTTGGAATTCTCCACACTTCTCATGTCACTTAAATTTGGTTGAAAGACAAAGATTGCCTTTGTCTATGTTTTTAAAAAAGCCTTCCCTTCATTGGTCCCCAGCTTCTCGGTTCACCCTTGATCGCATTCATCAAGTATAATAACATACTCTGACATTACCAATTGATTTCCTTGTCCATTTGTTTCCTCATAGCCACTAGAGTACGTGTGTGTGTGTGTGTGTGTGCGTGTATGTGCACATGTACATACAACAGTTTTGGGTTTTGTAATTAGTTTGGTTCTGGTGGTTTTCTTTTTGTTAGGAGAGGGTGTTAAGAAATAGGGTTTCTCTGTATAGTCCAAGCTGGCCTTGAACTCAACATTCTCCTGCCTCAGGCCCCCAAGTTCTGGGATTATAGGCATAAGCCAACACACCCAGCTTTACAGTAGAGACTGTCTTCCTGGTTCCTTTCCATACCATTTTCTCTGGTGCCCGGCACATAGTAGGTGATCCACATGCGTGAATATGTGTATATGCATGTACATTTGTGGAATGAATTATACCAAGGGGTGGCAGAGAAGTGCAAAGCTAAATAGGTGACTATTTAAAAAAAACAACTACTTGAAAGCCTACTATGTGCTAGGCATTTTCTTGAACACAAATCTAAGAGAAAAAAAAACAAAGCTGCCTGAACTTAGGCGTCAAAATCAGCTGTTCATTGCCCAGCTTTGTATCGTACATGTGGACTCACATGCTTAGCACTTAGTAGGTTCTCAACTAGTCCTTCTGGAATATGAGACTAGGAAAACATTGTGTAGCTGTGGGATGTTTTGCTTGTTTGTTGAAACAGGGTCTCACTACATAGCCCAAGCTGGCCTCAAATGCAGAATCCTCCTGCCTCAGCCTCCTGAGTGTTGGGATGATGGACACAAACCACCTCGTCTGGCTTCTGTGTGGTACACTTAAGTAATCCCTTTTCTTATTAAGTAACCCCCTTTCCTTTGGATAAGGCTTTTAAAAATGTCATTGTTCAGGCTAGTGGGGTGAGATTTAGTGAATAGATGGCCTTAGCAAACTAAAACACCAGAAGTTGTGCCAGAATAAAGTGGGTTGGCCCATCGCCCTGCCCGCCAACTCTCTGAGCATCACCCATGTCCCATGATACCTGCAACGGTGTACAGAGCTGTGATGGCCAGCAGCCCCACTATGGCCAGGTACAGATCCAGGTTCAGGGACTGCTGAATGAAGATGGCACCTGCATACATGTCTACCTGTAGGATGAGAAGTCAATGGGTGAGTGGATGAGAGGGTGGACTAGAGAAAGGATGGGGGAGAGACTAAATGGGCAGATGGGGGAGGGAGTGAATAGGTAGACACATGAAGTCGTGTGTGGATGGATGGATGGATGGATGGATGGATGGATGGATGGATGGATGAGTGGACGGAGGAGGGAGTGGGTGGTTGATGGGCCAAGGAATGGATAAGTGAACGGAGGAGGGAGTGGGTAGATGATGGCATTCACAACAACTCCCCAGGGGCAGGTTCCCTCCCAGACTCTACAAATACAGAAGAGCTACACACATTAATTTCCTCAGCCATCTAATCCTAAACTGGGGGACTCGAAATGAAGCCCCGTGGGCAGCTAAGTTTGAGAGCCCTGCCCTGCTCTCTGGCAACAACCTCATGGCCTTCCCGCTTCTGCTGTGGGTCTTCCTACCCACTCTCCTCCACACTGCAGCCTTTGCTCCACCCAGGATGGTATCATCCTTCTCCCCATTAAAGCTCTTGTGTGGCTTTCACCTCATCCACCGTAGGGCTGGGGGAGAGCTTACACCAGACCCTTCAAAGTCGGCAAGCTGTTAACCTCATGTTCTTTATTCACTCTGTGTTTCTAGGGCTCAGGCTTTCAGAAACAGTCCATCTCCCAATATATTATGTTTTTATTCATCTTCCAGCTTCGGCTGGTGGTGGTCCAGCCATCTGGAATGGCAATGCCCCTATTTCCAACTGGTGGATTCCTTCAAAGATGACACTCACCCCCTACCAGGCTATAAGTAAGCATCCTAGAAGGAGTGCCTTGAGTCTGCAGCACGGACAGTCAGTTGCTGCTGTTTGCACCAAATGGAATTTCTTCTGCCCCTGCCCCATGTGGGACTAGATAATTGCCACCCCCAGAGCCATGCCTGGTGAGCAACCCGTGCTTGGAGGTAACAGTGCATCTGCTCTTTGCCACCTTCCTGCCGATCAGCCCATCCAAAGGTCAGGGTGAGGCAGGCCCTGGCTGCCCTCAATACATCTGATTACTATCTGACCACGCCCTTGTTTTTAGAGGTAGGTCACAGTCCTACCCAAGAGCAGGGGCGTGGGGGTGGTTCTTGGATCTCTATTCAGTGACCCCATCATTATGCTGAGATGTCACCAAACTAGCTTTGGCAGGCATAGGGAGGGATCCCTTGTCCTTCTCTGTCTGTCCTTTCTACGTGCTTCTTTTGCCCTCCTTACCTCGACTTCCCTCTAACATCAAACCTGCCCCAGGGGAGGAGAAGGAGATATGAGGAAACTCCTCACAGTACTCTAGGGGGGTGGCCAGGCCATGTGTCTGCCTTACTGAGATCTTGGTGAAGATGTAGATGAACAGATAGAGCACAGCCAGGGTGATGGAGATCCTGCTGCCCCCGAAGCGCCTCCTTAGGTATTCTGGCATCGTGGTTACCTGGAGGTTGAAACAGTTTTTATCGAACCCAACTGACTGTGGGCATTTGCCTCCTCCGCCTGGCCACCAACCCTGGCCACCTCCTCCATCCCCACAAAGTCAGATGAGCAGAGCATCATCTTGGGCTTCTCCACGGGAGACTTTAAGGAGGAAGAGGACTTGGGGAGGGGGTGGACTGGGTTCTATACAGGGCTGTGCACCTAACTATTGTTTCAGGTTTATTTATTTGTGTGTGTGTGTGTGTGTGTGTGTGTGTGTGTGTGTGTGTGTGTGATCAGTGCATTCCACAGCACAAGTGTGGAGGTCAGAGGACAGCTTGCAGGAGTTGACGCTCCTTCCACCATGGAGGCCTGGGGCTCAAACTCAGGTTGTCAGGCTTGGCGGCAGACACCTTTCCCGGCCAAGCCCCTTCAACCCCACCCCAACTACTGTGCTTCTGAACATGAGGCGGAGTTAGTTCTCCATCCTAGTTCTGCTGTATGCTGGATTTCTTTAACGTAGTGTTTTCTATTTAAGCGAACTTGCCTTTTTACTTAAATAACTTTATCCAACAAAATGATACTTTTTTTTTTTTAAAAGCAGTTCTGAGAATTGGATTCTGGGCCTCTTGCATGTTAGGTCAGTGTTCTTCCCCCTGAGCTAATGCTAACGCTTGAAAATGAATTGCTACTGCTAAGTAGAAATCAGTCCCAAATTTAAGGGAACCCAGAAAAGCGAATGTAGGAACAACAGAGCAGTGAAGGAGATCATCTGTTCCCTTTTAGCAACTTCCTGTTGCTTAGAGCCGCTCATGGGGCCAGAGGGAAGCCACCCGTGAGCAGATGGGCAACACTGACTGGACACAGCAGGGTATTAGGAGGAGGGGCAGCAGCAGCACACAATTGTAAGGGGACACATTGGGGCCACCCAGGGTGGGGAGTTGGGGGAATAAATGTATTCACACATGAAACTGTCAAAGAACAACTTTTGATTTTAGAAGAGAGGAGCAAGAGGAACATTGCTGAAGTGCTGAAGGCATCCAAGCTGCACACGAGACTTTGCCCTTTGTCCCATGATAAGATGAAACGCACAGTGATTACATGTCAGGTAAGAGCAAAATAAAACTCACTTCAAAAATTAAGGGGAAAAATCACCAAGCAAGGTGGTATATGCTGGTAATCCCATCATTCAGGAGGCTGAGGCTGGAAGACTGAGAGTTTAAGGTTGTACAGTAAGAACCTGTTGCTCAAAAAACAATGAATGTTCTCTCTCAACCACTCTGGGACTTCTGACATGCCGATGTTCTCCCACAAGGTCCCCAGTGTCAGGTGGGCAAGGATGGGGTGACGATACTCATGGGTACATGTCTACACTTGGAGGGGGGGGGGCGCACTGTGCTGTGGTTTGAGCTCACAGCATCTTCCAAAAACTCACATGTGGAAGGCTTGGTCCCAGTTGATGGATCCAGTCAGAGAAGTGATTGGATCCTGGGGGCTTTGACCCAGCAATGGGTTCATAACTTGATGACATTATCATAAGGTGGTGGGAGCTAGGAAGAAGGCCTGGTTGGAGGGGTAGGTCACTGAAGACCCGCCTTGAGGGATAGATCTTGTCATGAGCCCCTTCCTGTCTCTCTGCTTCCTGGGTGCCATGAAGTGAGCTGCCTTCTCTACCACCTTTCCCCTCCATGATGTTTCTGCCCTGCCCTGGGTCTAAAAGCAAGGAAGCCTGTGGACAAGAGATTGAAACCTCTGGAAATGTGAAAATAAACCCTCCCCTTCTCTCAGGTATGATGTTGAAGTGATGAAAAATGATTAACAAGGGCTGAGTGGCCAGACCTGCTTCAAGAATACCAAGTCCTTGCAGTGATCCCAGCATTTAGGAGACTGAGGCAGGAGGATTATCAGTTTGAAGCCAGCCTGGGCTATCTGGTAAAAATCTGTCCCAAAAAAGTTAAACTAGGGGGCTGGAGAGATGGCTCAGCGGTTAAGAGCACTGACTGCTCTTCCAGAGGACCTGAGTTCAATTCCCAGCACCCACATGGTGGCTCACAACCACCTGTATTGAGATCTGGTGCCCTCTTCTGGCATGCAGGCAGAACACTGTATACATAATAAATAAATAAATCTTAAAAAAAAAAAGTTAAACTAGTAAGTTCATAGTAGAATCTGACTGGATGTTCTAGTGTTTCGGGTAAGATAAATTGAATGTTGATGCATGTTTGAATTTTTCATATTAAAATATTGGCAAAAAATAAACATAGCAATAGCTATTTTTAATAGGGTCAATAAAGCTGCTTTATCCATCTCTTCTCCTCAAAAGGCAAGGATGTCCTGCATGAGTCCTCTGATTTGCTGAATGGCAAGCTCAGCAGGAAGTTTGCAGAAGTATTTTATACTGAGCTCTGACACTGTCAGGCATGGTGCGAGGAGAGTTGAAGACAGCCTTGTACACTGTGGGACTCGGGCCCTAATCAGAGAGTACAATGGGCACTCCAGTCCATTCAGATAAACGTGCCAAAAAGATACTCTGGGCAAGCACTATCTAATCTGTGAATGACAAGACAACTGCCATCTGGGCTTGCTTCCTGAGCTAGACTCTTCTCATTGGCTGCTGGCTCTGACTATCAGTTGACCCTGGGGTCAATCCAGGACAGCTGCTACAGGAAGTTTCTAGTTATTAAAAGACAGGAGAAAAGGAGGAAGAAGTGGAGGAGGAGGAAGAAAGGAACAAAGGAGACCTTGCTTCGTTAGCACACTACACAAAAAGCTTTCCGATCTCAAAGGTAGCCCTTATTCCAAAGTCCAAGCCACTCAGGAAATGGCCTATTGAGTCAGAAAGTCAAGACCACAATACTCTGACTACAGACTCAAACCACAGCTGACTTCAGTGAGGAAGGCCCAAGGGACCACATCCCTCTTGCTGGTGCTGGCTAAATGGGCAGAAGAAGTAAATGCAGCAGCCTGATACAGTGGCACATACCCAAAATCCTGGTAGGAAGATCACAAATTCAAGATCAGCATGGCCACATATTGAGACTGTTCCCAAAGCTGACTAAAACAAAATGAACTGAACAAAAGACGGCCGCTCTTAGAGATTCCTACTCCAGCTCCCAGGGCTCTGGCTGATGGTGGCTCTGCATCACACACACACACATTCTCCACTGATGATAGAATCTTTGGAGGGGGTCCAGAGACTGTGTCCTCTCTCCAGATCAGATCCAGTCTGCCCCTCATCCATGCCCATGGGAACCCCCTCACTACTCCTGTGAAATCAAGGACACCTGCATGAAGCTGAATGCATGGCTCTTCACTAGATGAACGCACAGAGGAAATGTCACAAGAGCACTTCGGTTGCTTGGCGGGCACCTGAGAACTACGACTCAATCTCCATGTCCGTAAGCAAAGCTAGGCTCTAAGGATGAGAAGTATTTGAGCTGTCCTCTAACATGGTAAATATACAGTAACATCTAAGGGGAGGTCTCAGTCTGTAAAATACAGTGGCATCGTAGGACTGGGGAGATACTCAGTCTATCTTGCTGTGCTAGTATGAGGACCAGAGTTCGATCCTCAGAACCCGTGTACAAACTGGATGTGGCAGCAAGCACACTTAGCAATCCCAATACTGAGGAGGCAGAGACAGGAGATCCCGGCCAGTCAGCCTATTTGAATTGGTGAGCCCCAGATCCCAGTGAAAATTCCTCTCTTAAAAAATAAGGTGGTGTTGGCTCCTGAGAAACAACACCTAAGGCTGAACTCTGGCCTGCATGTGCATAAGCATGCATATACACCCACATACAAATAATGAATAAATAATCAATTCTCAATGGATAACAGCAAGTGGGGAAGTTCTAGAAGATATTATAGAAAAATATCATAATGACCTTGGAGTAGGTAAAGATTTTTGTTGTTATTATATGAGAGAAGGTTTATATACTCTACAGCCCAAGCTAGCCTGGAACTCATGTAACCTAGGCTTGCCTCAATCTCATGGCAATCCTCCTGCCTTAGCCTCCTGAATGCTATAATATAACAGATATGAACCATCACACCTAACTAGGAAAAGACATTTTTAAACAAGACATTGAAATGAAAGGTGATAAATGGGACTATGGTAAGATGGAAATCTGTTTATGGAGAAGCTCCAGGAATGAAATGAATGGCTAGGTGTAACAGTGATAGAATATCTCCCTGGCCTGTACAAGGCCAGGCTCCATCCCTGGTGTCACACACACACACACACACACACACACACACACACACACACACACACACACACACACGGGAAGGGGGTGCAAAAAAGGCCAGCCTCTGAGTAGAAAAGATGTTTGCAACTCTTAAGCACCCCAACAGCTTATTTCTAGAACTGACTTTGTAAACTGCAGAATTTATAAATCAATAAAACAAGTGATACAGCTTAATAGCATAAAAATGGGCGAATGCCCTAGATGACTACAGTGGCTCCCTTCACTCAAGGGGATCGACTCGTGAAGGCTCACAGTGTAACCCCGATCCACGTGCTCACGGTTTTGGTGTTGTCCCTGTCCGTTTAGACTTGCGGCAGCACCATGGTGGGAGCCCGTGGCCCAGCAAAAGTGCCCTCTTCACTTCCAGGAAGCTGAGGAGAAGAAAAGGCCGAGAACATGGTCCCGCAGTCCTCTCCAAGGGCTCTACATTTTAAACCCTCCTGTAACGGCACCTCCCTGGAGATCTGGGTAACACTTTAACCTCCTGGGGACATTCTAGACCTAGACTGTAGCTACCAGCTGCTCCTTCAGAGATGACATTCAAATGGCCAGAAAGCCATGTGAATTGGCAATAGAAAGTTCAGAGATGGGGCTGGAGAGATGGCCGTGTGATTAAGAACCTTTACTGCTCCTGCGGCAAGTCACATCGAGTGACTCATGACCACCTGTCACTCCAACTGACTCCTTCTGGCCTCCATGGGCATGGGCACTGTACACACACACACACACACACACACACACACACACACACACACACCGCACAGAATTTTTGATATCAGACAATACCAAGTGTTGGCAAGGATGTTAAGCACTGGACAACTTGGGCTCCCAGACACTTGGAGGTGTGGGGAGTGGAACTGCTCTGTGAGAAAGATTGACAGCATCGTGTGAATTTAAGATTCTCCCCCTCAGCATGTATTTTTGTACATCAAGACTTGTATAAGCCAGGAGTAGAGGAACCTACCTGCAATGCCAGTACTCAGGAGGCTGAGGCAGGAGGATTGTGTGTGGAAGGCTAGCCTGAGCAAGATCTTGTCTCAAAATAACATGTAAGAAGGTGTCATTAAGCAGCGCTGTCCCAATAGCATAAACTGAACGCCCACACATGGCAGAAGGATTAATGGCAGGAGCTGGAGCCCACCCTACCCCACAGTGCTTAGGGCAGTGGCCTCTCATCCCACTCACTACGTAGCTGAGGGTGGCTACACACATCCTAACTCTGCCCACACACAGCTTGAAGGAGTGAAAGCAACTGATTGAAACTCCATTTTGCAGGGCGCATAACTGAAACTGTTAACACTAAGCCAGGAGGTGAGTGCCCATGACTAGAGGAGAAGAAAGCATCTAGAAGAGAGGCAGGCTTCCATCCCGATGTGGGTGTTCCTTTTACAACAGTCTGCTAAGTGACACATTTGTGCTTTACGGCTCTACTGGATGTTTCCTGCCAGCCTGCCTTTACTTCCAACCAAAGCAAACTGGATGGTGGTTTATGCTCTCAGTCCCATGGCACTCACCCAGCATAGGCTCACCCTCTCCTGTGAATACTTGGAAGATGCCGCCCAAAGGATGTCTAAAAAAAGTCCCGGGAATTTTATTTGATTTTTCCTTATTTTGTGGTGCTGTGCATGGAACCCAGGGCCTCATGTTGGGGCTAGCGAGGTACCATTGGCCTGCACCACAGTCTTTACTTCATCTTGTTATAGAACAGTATGAGCGTTGCCCAGCTCTGTTCACGTTGTCCCTTTTCTTGGCCTTATGTACCATGGAAAGGATGGCCCCTCTTGGTTGGAAGGCACTGTGGCTATTGATGATTTCTCTACTACAAACAGCTATAGCAGCCTGAGTTACCTCAGATCTTTGTGACTTTTCTCAACCTCACCCCACTCCCCACAGCCAACTCCTCAGCAGGTGAGTTTTCTGTTTGTCAGAGAAAATGGGATCCATCCGCTGAGAACACCTGTCAATCCCCTTCAGCCCGGAAGAACAACCTGCATCTCACACCCCTTCTTCTCCCCCAAGTCTGATCAGCTAAAATTATTGCTTAGTAGTGGGTAAAGGTGATTGCAGCCCAAAACACAACAACTCAAGTTCAATCCCCATAACCCACGGAAAGAAAGAGAACCAGTTCCTGAAAGTTATCCTCTGACCTCCACAACCTCTCTGGCACACATGCACCCACACTTACACACACACACACACACACACACACACACACACACACACACACACATACACACAAGTTGGTATCTTGTCTGTGCAACACTCTGTTGATATTCCATCTTAGTCAGAAATAGCTCAATTATAGATTTGAGTGTGAAAGGAAAGGGACCACTGTGTCACATACATGCACACATATATACATGTGTGCGTGCATTTTAGCTAAAAGCAACACGTTATGGCTTATGCATGTAAGGGATTACATGGTTTATCTTTGTGTTCTGTCATTGAAAAGATGTTTCTGAGGCCAGCCTCTGAGTACCCCGTGTGTGCTATGGATATCGGGTACCATTCAGATCTGTGTGGGAATGGGGTTCCTTTCTTCTTTCTCACCTGTGTACCATCTGTCCCCGGTGCCGGGTGACTTAGCGGCTATCTGATGACTATCCACATGTGGGAGAGGATGCGGGCTAGCCTTCCCAAGGGTGTTCACACGCCATATTGCCCGCCCCCCTTCACACTCACCTGGCCAGCAATGTAGATGGGAAGGAAGATCCAGGCTAGCATCAGCACAGAAAACAAGCCCTGCCCCAAAAAAACACAATCAGAGCTGCTTTGCCCACACGATGGAGCCAGTCCCCTGTGCCTTGAGTTGGTCTAGCCTGTGCTCCACCCTTGCTAAGGTGGTTCACTTTCCCTGGCCTTTATATCTCCATGTTTAAAGTGATGAGAGATTAATAGCATAGGGCAGGGTGCCTGAGGTCTCAGCTTCTTGGAGGCTGAGATGGGGTCATTTGAGTCAAGGAGTCTGAGACTAGTCTGAGGAACATAGTGAGACCCTCAAAACAAAATGAAACAGAAACTCTCAATGAGAGAGAGAGAGAGAGAGAGAGAGAGAGGAGAGAGAGAGAGAGAGAGAGAGAGAGAGAGAGAGAGAGAGAGAGAGAGAGAGAGAGAGAGAGAATTAAGTAGGAGAAAAGAAAATGAGAATAAAGACTTGGAGACATCTAATTCTGTCTCCTAAATACCACACTGTCTTCTTTGGTCCATTCTGCACCCACCTCCTCTTCCCCTGCAGTGGTGGGCTATACCAACAGGGAGCTGAGGATTCTGGGAGAGTTACCACAGGTCTCAAGAGCCATCTTCTTCTTTTATGGGTTAGACATAAGAGGACGTCACTAGATTGCTTCAGGAGAATCAATCAGTCCAATGGTGCTGAATGAGCAATTAATTAATCCATACCAGCCTCTCTTCCACACCCTTCACAATTAGGAGTTTAATCAATCCTCACACACGAATGTTACATGGCAGGGACCATGATTACCCCTAATGTACACAGGAGGTCCAGAAAAGTCAAGTAACTTGACCAAGGTCACACTGCTTGCAAGCATGAATGCTGAGGCCACCTGGTTCTAGCCTGTAGGTTCTAGCCTGAGAGTGTATGTGACATAGGTGTCTGTGCCTGGCACAGGACAAGCACTTTAAAAGTGTTCATGAACTGGCTGTTCTTCCAGAGGTCCTGGATTCAAGTCCCAGCACCCATACGGTGGCTCACAACCATCTGTAATGAGATCTGGCTCCCTCTTCTGGCCTGCAGGGATACATGCAAACAGAATACTGTATACATAATAAATAAATAAATCTTTAAAAAAAAAGTGTTCATGGTTATGAATGACACAAACACCCACAGGAGAAGCTGCTCTGAGGTGCTTGCTATGGAGAAGAATGCATCTCTGTGTCTCTAGGGACATGAAGGCCACACATCACTGAACATTCTCTTTCAGTAATGGCCAACGGATGCTTAAAATATACAGCTATATCTTCTGTCATCTGCCACCTGCTATTTTCTACTTATGCAAGGAAGCATCCTGAGCCCTCACCCTCATGATTTTGAGGGTTGTGGCCCTATGGGTCCCCACCAAGCAGATACAGGGAGACCCAAGTAAATTTTGTTGGCTAGGAGCACCTTTGAAGCCTGTTTGCTTAACTAAAACCGCATTTCACTTTTAAAGTGCCAAGCATTCCCACACCTCCCCCGGTTCTACTGCAGAACAAAGGGGAGATGTCTGTATCATGGCAAAACTCACGTTAAGCTCATAGGCGGCGACAGAAATGCCCACAGCAGCACCGGACCCTGCTAGGCCAATGAAGTGTCCGCTTCCAACGTTGCTGGCGAACAAGGATGCACCCACCTGTAGGGAAATGAATGGGAAGGGTCCTGGAGCTGGGCCTGGGAAATTGTCCCTATTCCCAGTTTGGACCACTCTTCCAAGGGACCCAGACAAGCAGGGAAATAGAGAATGTGGGACCATTCTATCCTACATGCCATATTTGTGCAGTAGACAGCTTGAACAACTGTCTGTAGCATCAGTGGTGGACAAGATTACAGGTAAATACTTCATGATGCAAACCAGCTCTGGTGTCCAACTCAACTGCTGCAAGCCACAGGAAAATGTGATGGAATTCAGCTACTATCACAAAAGCTACTACTTGGAAAGGTCAAGGACTTTTCAGAAGGTCAAGTGATGGCTTAAGAAGTCTTGGTGATATTTTAGCTTTTGTATATATATTAGCCGATTCCTGCAATGACTTCCTTGTATGCTGTGTATGCTTCCAAGAACTACTAACAGTGTATTTTATCTAAAATACCTATCAAGCATCCAAGGCCAAAAGATCTCCTGAATTAAGGTAAACTAAGCTCACACCCTCCTTTCTTATACAGCCCTAGTGGTATTTATACTAACATTATAGACTCCTAACATTTACCTAACCACCTCTAGGAATGTAGTTTGAGCACATAAATTCCCTTTTCTGATATATTAACAGATTTTAGCTCTTAGTTGACCTCCTCCCTTACCACTCCCCTTTTGGGTTGTAAAAGAAACCGATGGTCACTGCCTGAGGAAAACTCTTGTCTGCCTTTATGACCCTGTAAGAATTCAAGCCTGGTGACCTTGCTTTAGCTAGAGCACTGCTATTGCATGGGTATATAACTGTAAACCTCAGAGACTGGGAGAGGATTTTGACTGGAGAACTAGATGGAGAACTAGAAGAATGAGATGGAAGATGAGGAAGAGCCAGATGGGGACAAATGAGATGAGAAAGACCAAGATGGGGCAGAACTAAGATGAGAGACTTAAGATAGAACTTAGAGAGGACAGCAGATAAATGTAGAGAGAAATTAGGGAAGAAATGAGCTAGGCATGAGAACAGAACTGAAGCTGTGTAGATAGGATTTTATCCCAGAAGAATAAAGTAGACGGACTAAGAGCTTGGTGTAATTAGATTCTTTTCCCAAAAATAATTTGCACAGTTCATAGCTTCTCTTCTGGGCCCCTGGGAAGAAGATTATTAAGGCTGGACCATAATAATTTGAGACTCAACAAAGTGTGTGTGTGTGTGTGTGTGTGTGTGTGTGTGTGTGTGTGTGTGTGTGTGTGTGTTTGACAGACAATGTCTGTAGATCCACTTTAAAGGAATAGCTAATTGGACTGTTGTATTTGTTATCTGTACTTGGTCCCAGGAATGGACTCATATTTTCATTCAGACTTTAGCAGCCCAGCATGTACTCCCCAGGGCAGGTGCTGAGCATGACAGCGAGGCTTGAGCCCAGGCAGTACAGCAGTCTACTGCTGTGGGATGGTCTGAATGTCAAATCTGTTGCTCTGATTGGTCAAAAAATAAAACACTGATTGGCCAGTGGCCAGGCAGGAAGTATAGGTGGGACTAACAGAGAGGAGAATTGAGAGAAGAGGAAGGCGGAGGGAGTCACTGCCAGCCGCCACTATGACAAGCAGCATGTGAAGATGCCGGTAAGCCACAAGCCACGTGGCAAGGTGTAGATTTATAAAAATGGATTAATTTAAGATGTAAGAACTAGATAGCTAGAAGCCTGGCATGGCCATACAGTTTGTAAGCAATATAAGTCTCTGTGTTTACTTGGTTGGGTCTGAGCAGCTGTGGGACTGGTGAGTGACAGAGATTTGTCCTGACTGTGGGCCAGGCAGGAAAACTCTAGCAACAAGTCTACCCTAGCCATGGTGACTGGTACAGTGATGAACCTGAGATGCCGTCAGAGATAAAACATTTTCCACAGATACTGCCAGGGAAGCCGATGCTCTTCCCATGCTAGCCTGGAACTGGAGAGGGTGAACACATGCTAGCCTGAAACTGGAGAGGGTGAACAGTCTGGAATGTTGTTTTCCCTCTTGTTGCCATGAAGTTGAAAGTGTTTGGCTATTGAGATCTTACAGGGGAGAAGCCTAGGCACATAAGTGATAGCGAAGTTGACAGGTGACAGATGGACTGATGGATGGATAGATGCATGACAGGTGGAGTGTTGATAGACAAAGGTAGATGAGATCAACAGATGGTGGAGGGATATTTTGAGAAACTAGGTCATCAGGCCTTAGTAATATTGATAAGTTGGGCCTCTGCAACCATCCTATAGGTGAGCTGACAGATTCTTTTTGTGTAAATCAATTTGAATTGGAGCAAGGCTTTCTTTAGTTCTCACTCCACCTTGAAGACAACATGGAGCAAACAGTGTCAGAGCTCGAAGAGCCTTGGAGAAATGACGTAATAACGTATTTGTTGGCAGTGCTGGAGTGGGAACCAAAGCCTTGTGCTCACTAGGCACACATCTACCACAGAATTCCACCCCAGCCTGAGAAATGATGGACTGAACCAGAGACTACCTACCGGCCACCACACCATGTCACCTCCAGCCAGGAAGTAGCCTTTCACTGTATCTCGCTTGGTCCTCACTGTGGACTGTAAGAAAAAAGAGGGCTGGTGAGGAGAACGCCAGCGCTCAGGCATCTGAAGAGGGCAGAGGCTGTGAGCTGGGAGGCCTCGTTTGGACTGAGATTCTTTTCGTCTGACTGAAACTTTGATGTGAACATCTTTAAAGCAGACCTCCTCTCTGGCCAGTCCCTGTCAGTCCCCACTTCACAAGTTTGGGATAACCTACATGGTCCTCTAGACATCTGAGCTGTGGCTTGCTAATGGCCGCTCATAATGGATTCATTGTTTTCAATGTTCTAGAAACTGTTCCTATGAGATATTTCATAAGCACCAGCTCAGATACATTTAAAACAATTACATTTTAAATTAATTAATTAACAACTGTAATTTAAAATTACAGGTTTTTAAAAATAATTTTTTTTAATTTTATGTGCATTGGTATTTTGCCTGCATGTACATCTGTGTGAGGGTGTCAGATTTTGGAGTTATAGACAGTTGTTAGCTGCCATGTGGGTGCTGGGAATTGAACCCGAGTCCTCTGGAAGAGCAGTCGGTGCTCTTAACCACTGAGCCATCTCTCCAGCCCCTAAAATTACAGTTTTTAATTACATTTTTAAATTTTTTTTTTGTTGGTCGGAACTGAGGACCGAACCCAGGGCCTTGCACTTGCTAGGCAAGCGCTCTACCACTGAGCTAAATCCCCAACCCCTAATTTTAAATTTTGAGACGAGTTCGCAATGTAGCCCTGGTTGGCCTGGAACTCACTATGTAGACCAGGCTGGCATGACTCAGAGGTCTGGCTGCCAAGATTCAAGGCATGTACCGTACATAGCCAATAACAGCAGCTTCTTTTAATCCCCACCCGCCCCTATGGGGTTGCTGTTTGGGGGCTGGTGTCACAGTTGAAACGACCAAGGCTCAAGCCCCCATCTATCCGTGCTGCTGAAACAACCCAGAGAGAGGGATCTGTCAACATCAAAATGTCTGTCTCCCGGTTCTGGAGAGCTGGGGGTCGAAGGTCAAGGTGCCAGCAGCCTCAACCTGTGGAGAGGGCTTGTCTCTCTAGAGAGAGCCTCCTCTGTGTCCTCCCTCATGTGATGGGAGGAAGAGGCACAGAAAAGACTGACTAGTACCCTGTCTCTTTTCTAAGGCTGCCACCCTCCTGACAACCACTTCCTGAAGGCTCTGCTTCTTACTGCCACTACACAGAGATTAAATTCCAACATGAGGGGCTCATGTAGCCTAGGCTTGGCCTCAAACTCCCATGCAGCTGAAGGTGACCTTGAACTCCTGATCCTCCTGCTTGCATCTCCAAGTGTCCGCATTATAGTTGTGCATCACTGTGCCCAGTTTATGCTGCACTGGGGATAGATCCTGGGGCCTCACGCATGCTAGGTGAACACTCTACCAACTGAGCTAGCCTATAAGTAGTTATTTTTTTATTTAAAAATTTTAATTACAGTTATTAATGTGTTAATTTGTGTTTGTGTATGTGTGTGTATGCATGTGTACACTAATGTTTGCTCTGGCTGGGCGTGGTATCACACACCTATGATCCCAGCATTCAAGAGGCTGAGGCAGGAGGATCACAAATCTGAAGCTAGACTGGGCGATGTAGCAAGACCTTCTCTCCAAAGTACATGTAATTTGTTCTGATTTGCTTTATATATATATATATATATATATATATATATATATATATATATTATTTGCTTAATATATATATGTATATGTATATATATATATATATATATATATATATATATATTCTAAATTCTTTGGGCCTAGGTTTTCTTTGTCTGTAAAATGGGTACAAGATCTTCCTTAAGGGACTGGAGAAATGGCTAAGTGGTTAAGAGTGCATACGGCTCTTGCAGTTCCCAGCACCCATATCAGGTGGCCCACAACCATGTGTAACTCCAGCTCAGGAGACCCACACCCTCTTCTGACTTCTGTGGGTACACACACACACACACACACACACACACAGAGTAAGAAAAATACTGCTTTTTTAAAAAGAGATCTTCCTTGCAAATTACATGAAATAACATAAGTAATACATGCATTGACTTATTGTCCAACACAGTCAACACACAGTAGCATTTAAGAAAAAAAAAATCCAGAGTCTCCCCTATTCTAGCCAAGTGTGCTCTACCACTGACGTGTACTCCAGGCTCTCCACATAGTTTGGGGGATTTTTTGTTTTGTTTTGTTTTTTTTTGAGACGGGGTTTCAATGTATATCTCTGTCTGGTCTGGAACTTGCTATGTAGGCCTATCTGGCCTTGAATTCATGGAGATCACTTGCCTCCACATATTTTAAGTCCTAATTACTGTAGTTCATTTCTTCCTCTCTTGGTATCTTGTTTTCCCAAAGGATAGGGTTTAGTCTGGGGTTTTGACCAGAGATTCCCTCCTCGCCCCATCTCTCACCTTATCTCCTGGCTTACCCATAATCCAACAGCCAGGACAAAGAGGAAGTACAGAACCAAGACAGCAATGTCCCCGGGCTCCAGGCTCTTCTGGGGGAAAGCCTCCAGGGCATCAGACTGTGGAGGTCGAGGGCTGATGGTGCCGCTCTCCATGGTGCTGAATGAACTTCCCAGTCCTGGGGAGAGCAGAGCAATGTTAGAGTCCAGATCCCAGAACCTCTTTCCTCACTCCATCTAGGCTTCCCCCGATGGAGCAGCAGCAGCAACAACAAAGACCTGCCTGGATGAAGGTGTGGTGGAGACAGCTTCAGGAAGTCAAGACCAGCCCTCCGACCCTGACCCTCTTACCACCCTTCCATTCGCTCGTTCACCCACCCAGAAAATACATAGAAGGCGCTCACATCTCTGCAATGGATTTGCTGGTTTTCATTTTAACAGTTCAACTACTTGTTCATCAAAATATAAAGAACAAACAATTGGAAGAGTACAGACAACACGGGACATGTTAGTAATCCCAGCACTCTGGAGGCTGAGTTGGAAGGATCACTGAGTGTGAGGCTAACCTGGGCTACATAGCAAGATGCTATCAAAAAGAGAATAGGGTACATAAAGTTCCAGCACACTTTCTGTATTAGTCTGATTTCTGTTGCTGTGGCAAACACCATAACCAAGGGCAACTTGGAAAAGAGTCTTACATGCTGAGGAAAGAAAAGTCAGGAGCTCAACGCAGGAGCTGAAGTAGAGACCAGGAGGAACACTGCTTCCTGGCTTGCTTCCTCCCAGGCTCATGTTGAGCTACCATTCCTATATGCCCAGGCCTACCTCCCAGGGGACTGCCCACAGTAGACTGGGCCTTCCCACAGCAATCAGCAATTAAGAAAATGCCTTGCAGACATGACCACAGGCTAATCCGATGGAGGTAATTCCTCCATTGAAAGTTCATCTTTCTAGGTATCTTAGTTTGCTTTCTGTAGCTGTAATAAACACCATGACCAAATGCGGCTTGGTAAGGAAAGGGTTGATTTGGCTTACACTTCCATGTCACAGCCCATCATTGAGGGAAGTCAGGCCAGGAGCTCATGCAAGAACCTGGAGGCAGGAGCTGTTACAGAGGCCATAGAGTGGTGGGGCTTACTGGCTTGCTCAGCCTGCTTTCTTATACTACCCAGGACCGCTTACCTAGGCGTGACACTGCCCACAGTGATCTGTACCCTTCCACATCAATTAGGAAAATATCCCACAGACTTGCCCCCAGGTCAATCTAATGAAGGCAATTCCTCAACTGAAAGTCTCTTTTTAGATGTGTCTGTGTGTTGAATTGACAGAAGAAGAAGAGGAAGAAGAAGAAGGAGAAGGAGAAGGAGAAGGAGAAGAAGAAGAGGGCTAGAGAGACGGCTCAGAGGTTAAAAGCACTGGTTGTTCTTCCAGCGGTCCTGAGTTCAATTCCCAGCAACCACATGATGGCTCACAACCATCTATAATTCGATCTGGTGCCCTCTTCTGGCCTGTAGGCATGCATGCAGGCAGAACACTGTATACATAATAAATAAGTCTTTTTATTTATCACTGGCAATTGGTGGTGCACGCCTTTAATCCCAGCACTCAGAGGCAGAGGCAGGTGGATCTCTATGAGTTTGAGGCCAGACTGGTCTACTGAGAGAGTGCTAGGACAGATACCAAAACTACAGAGAAACCCTGTCTTGAGAAACCAAAAAAAGAAAAAAAAGAAAAGACAAAAAAAAAGAAAGAAAGAAACCATTTCTATGGAGATTACACTTGGACCATGGACATTTTAAGAGAGTCCTGTGACAGGCAGAATAAATGGCCCCGAAGGTATGTATATCTAATCTCCAAAACCTGTGATCATGTGGTGTTCACAGAAAGAAACAAGATGGCTAGCCAGCTGACCTTAAAATAGGCTAGTGCGTGGCTCAGCCGGGAGCATCTAATGCTATCACAAATGACACCGGATCAGAAGGGCCAGAGAGGTGATAGTGTTAGAAGGTCCAGCTCAGCATTGCTGGCTTTGAACCGGGGATGGTGGTGTCCTGAACCAAGGAATGCAAGTGGCTTCCAGAAGCCACTAAAACAAATGAACAGACTGGTCCAGGACCTCCAGGAAGAATTCAGCTCTGCTGAGGCCTGTGTGTGTGGTAGAGGATAGACAAGCTGTGCTGTTGAGTGCCTGTGCGTGTGGTAGAAGGTGTGCAAGCTGTGGATGTGCCTGGATGTGTGCCGCTGCACAGGTCTGCGGGGTATGCAGAGGTCACCATCAGGTGTCTTCATTTTCCGGCTCTCCACCTTATTTTTTGAGATAAGGTCTCTCATTAAACCTGGATCTCACCCAGTGCCTAGACTGGCTGCCCAGCGAGCCCCAGGGATCTGTCTGTCCGTCTCTGTCCTTCTCAGAGCTGGCATTACAGGCATGCACCACCCAGCTTTATACGGGGGCACTGGGGATCTGAACTAAGGTCCTCATGCTTGCACAGCAAGTCCTTTACCCATTGAACTATCGCCCCGGCCGTTTGCTGACACCTAGATTTGAGCATCGAGCACTTTAAACTCCAGGTAAGAATGTATTGTTTTAGCCACCTAGTCTGGGATAATTGGCTGCAGCAGTGATGAGAAACTAGCAAAATCCCTTAGGTGGTTCTGACGGGGGCATGGGCATGGTTATGCTATTCCCTGTCAGTCGTGGAGTCAGGAATGGCCAGCCCCCACCATCAACAGTGTGCAGCCCAAGGCTGGGACAAATCCCCTAGAGACAGCAACACTCTGTGATGGTCTGTGTGGTACAAATGCAGAGACTCAGACAAACCAGATCTTTAAAGAATTCAAGCTCTCGAGGAGCAGTGTTAGCCCATGCCTTTAATTCCAGCACTCAGGAGGCAGAAGCAGGCGGATTTCGGTGAGTCTGAGGCCAACCTGGTCTACAGAGTGAGTTCCAGGACAGCCAGGGCTACACAGAGAAATCCTATCTCAAAAAAAAAAAAAAGAAAGAAAAAAAAAAGAATTCAAGCCCTCGGGCTGGGAGTGGTCAGTCAATAAAGTGCTTTCCGCATAAACATGAGGACCTGAGTTTGAAGTTGGGCATAGTGATACAATCTTGTCATCTCGGCTCTTGGGAGGCAGAGATAGGAGGTATCTCCAGGGCTTGCTTGCCAGTCAGGCTAGCCACGGGTCCAGTGAGACACCATCTCGAAAAAGCAAGGTGGGCGGTTCTTGAGGGTAAGACTTCTAAAGTTGATCCAAATTGACTTGTAGCATCCACTTGCATATGCACACACATGCACACATACTCACACACATGAACTTATATGTGCACCAAGTGGGGGAGGAGGGAGGGAAGGAGGGAGGGAGGCAGAAAGGAAGGAAGGAAGGAAGGAAGGAAGGAAGGAAGGAAGGAAGGAAGGAAGGAAGGAAGGAGAAAGAAGAAAGAAAGAAAGAAAGAAAGAAAGAAAGAAAGAAAGAAAGAAAGAAAGAAAGAAAGAAAGAAAGAAAGAAAGAAAGAAAGAAAGAAAGAAAGTGATTAAACTTACAACTAAAGTATCACTGTGGTATACCTTGCTTCTAATTTTAGAGTCTTAGGAAAATTATTTTAGACAATACTGTGAATATTAAAAACAAGTACACAGTAGTGGCTCATGCCTTTAATCCCAGCAGTTGGGAGGCAGAAGGATCTCTGAGAGTTCGAGGCTAGCCTGTTCTATGTAATGAGTTCCAGGACAGCCAGGACTATGTACAGAGATGCTGTCTCAGAAAAAAATAACAACAAAACAAAACAAGTACACAAGTGTCTTCCATAAACTGGAGAAGGTTCTAGATAGTGCAAGCATGTCTTTTGCCCCCATGGACTGTCTGGGATGTCTGGAAACCTTAGCTATGAAATAGTTCTGCACATGGCAGCATGTGTTGCATCTGGTCTCTACATACTAGGTGTTAGGATTCTGCCACTCCTCCAGCTATAGGACCGCACATGCACAGTTCAGTAGCTAAGCAAGGGGTCTTAGGTCATCAGTGCACTGCATGATTATGCAATCTGCACATGCATGGCTGGCATAGCTCCATAAGCCCACATGCGCATGTGCAGGGAAATCCTTAAAAAGTTGTCACAGACTCCTCCCTTCTCCTTGCTCTCTCCTCCTCCCCCCTCTCTCCCTGCTCCTCACATGTCTTTCATAGGCCTGGTCACTCTCTTCTGTTCCCCCACCCACCCCCAATAAAGCTCTGATACTGGGTTTTGTCGTGCCTTGTGACCTTTCTCGCATGGTAACAAGCGCCACATTGAAAACCAACACCAGGTGTCCAGTGGTATAAACGGTCACAATCAAAATGCTCTCTCACAACCTGAAAGACCTATATCTCTAGTGCACACCTTTGCTCCAGGCTAAAGAATGTCAAAGAATTTCTAATAGAAAAATGAAGGGCCTGGAAATGTGGCCCGGGGGTGGAGCACTTGCCTAGTGCGCCCGAGACCCTAGGTTCCATTCCCAGCACTGCAGTATAACGCTGATGGTGATAATAAGAAAATAACGTGGGCAGTCGAGAGTGAAGAGATAGGCTCAAGTAGCAGCCCGAGGTGGGCAGGAAGGTGAGTGTGAAGGTCATGACTCTGCCTGGGCAATGCACAGAGTGGGTGAGAAGGCTGGTGGGTCTGTTATTGTAGCCATAACAAAACACCTTAGCCTGGATACATTTTTAAAGGTTTGTTTTAGGTGTACATGCTCGTGCCTGAGTGTATGTGTGTGCACCATGGGCATGCAGGTGTCTACAGAGCCAGAAGATGTCAGATCCGTTGGAACAGGAGTTACAGGTGGTGGTGAGCTGCTTGATATGGGTGTTCAGAACTGAACCCAGGTCCTTTGCAAGAGCAGCCAGTGTTCTTAACGACAGAGTCATCGGCCCCTGGAAATATTTATCAATAGCATGACTCTGTTGACCACAGTTCTAGGCCGAGAAGCCCCCGACCAAGGTGATGACAGACTTGCTATCTGGCAAAGGCTGATCCTCATTAAATGCTTTTTCTGCATCCTCCCAGGGTGGAAGGAGCAAGCGGCCTCCAGCAAACTTCTCTTATAAGGGAACTAGCCCTGTTTATGAGGGTTTTGCTATATGACCTAAACATCTCTCAGTGGCCCTACGTCTTAGCACTGGGGTTTGGGTTGTGACCTATGGA